AAGGGATCTGAATCCATGTTTTGTTTCCCCTATTCCCCATACTTCACTACCGTATAGAGCAATAGGCACAACAAGGGAGTCAAATAATTTTTCTAATAACTTGCATTGGCTATTAAGTCCAACTGGTTTTATTTTAAATGGCTTTTTTGCCCTTTTCAAAGGAAATGAGCTGCATAGGTTTAGATTCCCGGCTGTGTACTGCAGTGTCATGCCAAGATAGCAGTATGATTTATCTGTTTCCAGGAATTCATTACTATATTTTAAAAAATTATTATGGAGAGAGCATTTAAAGCTGTTTGTAATCCCTTTTCAGAATTTGATAATAAAACTATATCGTCTGGTTCTTTGAAAACTAGGTTAAATAGTTTAGTTATAGGGTCGACTAGTATTGGTATACCATATTTGATCATTTCATTAGAAATCAAGTCCTTTGCCGTGGATTTACAATTTTTCAGGGTTTTAGAGGCTTAAATTATTTCATCTGTCGTTATTGGTTGATTATAAGACATATTATCACTTTTATTTAGTCCAATTATAAGTCCATCTATTTTTTTATGGATAGTTTTATGAAATTTGCTGTCCTTTGATTGAGCTTCACAAGAATTTAAATTTTTGAAGAATTTATAAAATGTTTGCTCATCAATATTTTTTGTGGATGATTATTTTCTGATGCTGGGATTAATTTATTAAGTAAATCCCAGAAGGATTTTAGTCATTATTGGTATTACTGGATAGATATGAACATATTCTATGTTTGTATATTTTTTTATCCTTGTTCACATTTTCGCCTTAATTTTGAGCGATGAGAGTAGTATTCTTTTCTGTAAGCTCCATTAAATGGAAATTTATTTATAAGAAATGCATAGTGCTTAACGGTTTTATATAGTCTTCACATGACCCTGAAAACCTGGGTTTTCTTTTTGGTTTATTTGTTGTTTGTTTTTTAATTCGCCCTTTGATAAATTTGGCAGAGGCCACAGCTGTTTCTTGAACAATTATGTTTAGATTATTTACAGCCTCATTACAATTTGAGTATTTTCTACTCAGAAAATTTTGCACTTTGGTTTTAGAATTAGTATTCCTTAAAAACAAGAGGATGTGATATGATTGCAAATGGGACAACTATCCACCAGAGACCAAATGGTGTAGATGCAAGCAATTCTAGGTCACCATACGCCTTTCCACAATGAGCAAAACCCATGCCGTATCGTGAGCTATATGGTTGGCCACCCGAAAACACGTTTAATCCCGCCACATTCTTTATTGGCCTGTTCCAGGTCAGGAGCCTGTAATTCAGTGGTTGCCGTTAGTTCATATGGAAAATCATATTTGAACTATTCTAAATATAATGGAAATGTCATAGATACTGTCAATCGATATTGTTACTTAGGTATAATGCTTAAATGTAATGGTAACTTTGATTTAGCCATTTCCGTGTTGATAGAAAAAACTAGAAAAGCTTATTTTAAAATAAAAAAAAACAGTTGGCTTGAACAATCCATGTAAACTATTAGAGAAACTTTTTGACTCAGTTATATCACAAACATTGTTATATTGTTGTGAAATGTGGGGTATAGAGAATGCTTTAGAAATTCGTGACTCTGACCCTTATGAAACATTTCATATTAAAAGTTTTAAAGAAATCCTAGGATTAAATTTTAAAACTTCTAACGATGGAAGTAGAGCTGAATTGGCTAGATTTCCCTTAAGAACTAAAATTATTATGTCCTGTATTAAATATTTGGACCATTTAGTTAAATCTGATCATGATTTATTTGAAGCCAATTGGAAAACAAATCCTTTGGCAATTAAAATTGTAACATATCTCCAAAAACTTGAGTTCCCCTTTTTGGCCCAAGAGTTAAATGAAATATTAAACCATTTTTTAATCAATCAGCGCATTTTATATCAAATCGTACAAGATCAACGCTCCAAAATTTTTTATTCTGAAAAATTAGATTTTTCCGTAATATTTCAAAGGTAGGAGAACTTAAACCATTTGTTGATCAACTCACTTTCAAGTCTGATCGTTCTGCTATAGCTAAAATGAGATAAAGTGCTATTTCCCCTTAAATAGAAAGAGGGGGATATAACAGAACGGTAAGAAATGAAAGATTTTGTAAAGTGTGTACACTAAACAAAATTGAAGATGAAAATCACTTTATTTTTGATTGCCTTAAATTTCAAAAGGAAAGAGAAATCCGTATAAAAAAATTGTCTTAATTTTACCCAAATTTTAGAAATATACATAATGATAGCATAAAGTCAAAACTATTGTTAAACAGTAAGTAACTAAAAATATCAAAGATATGTTCAAATTACATGTCTGAATTGTTGAAAGTTAGAAATAATATTTTACATAACCATTAATAATATTAAATATCAATATCCTATTTAGAAAGTATTGATTATTTAGTTGTTGTAATTTTTGTTATGTATTTCTATAAAATATACTAAATTGAGCCTTCAAAAAATGTTATAATTGCGTTTGTGCTAATAAAATATTGCCTATTGTTCATATCTTTGATATTTGTTATTCGTAAATTGTTTTGTTATCGACTAGGCCGCTATTGTTCTCGTTTGAATTGTTTCACATTTTTTCATTTAAATAGTTGTTTTTATTAAAGTATGGATAGTAAAATAAGGGATATTTTCAGAGTGGGTAAATTCATTCGAAACCAGGTAAGGCAAGCTTAGTAGTGTTCAGTATGTGGTATAGAAATAGAAAATTGAATATTCAGTGCAAACAACGAAAATATAGAAATTATCAAAACCCTTTACCCAAGCGCCTGTGATGATAACAACAAAATAACAACAAAAAAGCTATTATATACACATCAAGCAGTCAAACAAAATAAGGTTAGGCAACTCAATAGAGATTTGTGCAGCATTATAGCGAAAAGATTTCAAACCATACCTGGTAGTTCTGAATCTCGAGAGTACTGCTGTTTCCTGTGATCAAAACTCATAGTCAGTCTGAATTTTAATATCAATGAATTCTTGTAGATAACTTGAACTTTTTCATATATTTTTAAAGAATGCAATTCAAATTTTTCTAGCATTTTTACGTACGAACTATCATAATCTTCATACGAATCCAAGAGCTCTTTCTTGATTTTTTTTTCAATATCAAAAGATGTTTTCGCTACAGTAGTGCCAAATTACTGGACAATAGTTAAATTTGGGAGAAGGAATGAATAGTATGCTGTTAATCTACCTAGCCTATTTAAATATTTTCCCATTCGTTTTAGAATATTAATTGTCTTGATGCCTCTTCTATATTTTTTTTAACAGATTTCAGATATATTACTGCGAAAGTTTAAGTCCGAATCTATAGTTACTCCAAAAAGTTTAACATTTTCTTCACAGAAAATTTTGTGTCCGTTTATGTTTATTTGTTTTTTTCTCAGCTGGCTTTAGCCTGAAATTTGTCAGTATTAGCCTTCATTAAATTTGTCGAAAACCAGTTTGGTGGATAGTTGTCTCATTGGCAATCATACCACGTCTCCTTATTTTATATTATAAGATTTAAACTATCAGTTTCTAAAATATTAACAACCTTATCTATATATTAATCACTATATGATACAGTGTTATCATCAACATAATTATAAATGGTGCATTTTTGTACAAAAAGAAATATGTCACTTATGAGGACATTGAAAAGAACTGGACCAAGAATTGACCCTTGTGGTACACCTTTCATTCTAAGAACTTCTAACTTTAATACGTTGTTTTCTGTTTTCTAAATAACTTTGAAATATAATTTTAGATAATTTTTTTGACAGACCATATGCTTCAAATTTTAGTTAAAGTAAATCTTGCGGTTAACAATCAAATGCTTTAGATAGATCAGAACTGCAGCAATAAATTTGTTGTCGTCCAGAGCTTTTTCCAATCTTCTATAATCTTTAAAAGTGCTGTTTGGCAACCAAAACCAGACGTAAATGCCGAAAGTATAGAGGAGGAAAATGTTTATTTAAAAATTCCATTTATTGAATGCTTTAATAATATAACAATGGTTTAATAGTGGAATAAAATGTTGTTGATTTTAGACCACCAGCTGTTAAATAAAATATGTTTGAATTGAGCTCTTTTTAATTTTTGTAACAAGATTTGTCTGTTTTCTGTTCAACTCCCACTAGTTGGTATCACTTCTGTTTTGAAGAAACCTCTTATGGTACATTCTTTTCTTGTAAATTGCCCTTCTAAGATCTTTATTCGTCAGTAAAGGGTGCAGGTGATACTATTTCCTGTCTCTTTTTCATTGGTGTGTGCCTGTCAATTATATTAACAAATTCAGATGCTTTATAAATCAGAGAATAATATACATCGTAAACTGACAACAAATTATAAAAATTTACACAATTTAGGCACGTGGGAATTTTTCATGATCAAAACTTTTAAAACTTCTGTAATGAATAACTTTCCTTCTTAGTTTTTGACACAAAACCTTTTAACTGATATGAAATTTTGTTGTGAAAATCACCGATAGTTCAATTAAAATTAGATATATTTTGACAAGAATTTGGTTTTTGTTTGTCAGGATAACATCAAGTAATGTTGGTAATGGGATTTTTTTGGTAAAACATGTAGCATTTTCACCATGTTCGTACAGACACACACACACACACATATCTGGGACTATTATACTATTTAGCATAATAGTCCCAGTATATATATATATATCTGTTTAACTTTATGGTTTACATAATCGAAAACATCACACATATTTTTGGACTGTACGTATATACACTTTTCTTCTTCTAAACAATTGTAATTTAAATCAACAATAATGATGATAATAACATTGTCATATTTTTCAGATATTTTTCAGATATTTTGTCACATGTTTTATTAGTTTTCAATAAATAAATTATCATTAAGTGGTGTGGACCACATATTAAAGATATTTATTGGCCATTACTACATATGAATGTGATCTTGCTATATTGGTAATAAGTGATTGTATCGGGAGATAACCCTTTACTTCCGCCAAATTTTGAAAATGGCCTTTCGAAAAAATACTAAGATTAAAAGTGATAGTTGCAAAGATTTAATATTTGACGGCGGAATTCAGTCGCACACTAGATGTATATTAGTCAAAGAATACTTGAAATATATTTTATACGAACGACAACAAATCCCTGTTCCATACGAGCAAGTTAAACAAGGGTTGAAAATAATGGAAGACCAATTACACAATGTAAATGATGTTAAAACTGGACCGGAGCATAAACAACAGGTGGTTGTTTTGATATTTATGTCTCTATTAAATTACGATATAACTCAAAGATATAACCCCTTGGACTTCCCATTGATTTAACTGTTTTTACCTCGGTCCATAGATTTAGGGACCGCAGTCTTCACGCTCAACCACAGGCCCAGCAGCCAAAACTTGTAAAAATGCTGTCGGGTCTGTAAAAATCATCTCTACAGAACAATAGAATTTTCGTAAAATTCAGCTTCAAGCCTGTAGATTCAAAATTTACCGTGAAGACTGGGACCGTCAAATAAATGTCAATCAAATAAGATTTATTTTAAGTGGGCTAGTTAAATATTAAAATAACAATATAACATAAACTCTAATCAAGCTTTTGAACCTACGTACATAATAAATGAGAGACCTGCATATTATATACAGTGCAAATTTTTAGGGTATGCAACAACTCAGTGAGTCTCATACCTTCGCCAACTTGTACTCAACCAACACATACTTTTATATATATAATTACCAACTAGTACCCAAACTATAATCTTATTGGCCTATTTTTTTGCCCAATTCTGCATTTTTTACTCTTTATTTTTATTCTGTAACCCCCATCCAGACCATCATACATGTATTATGTATACATGACTCTGATCCAGTGATAAAACACAAAAGTTTATTGATATACATTGTACATCATGTACATGGCTTTGTTTGGAATGCAGCTTAAATCTTTTTTGATTGTGAAGTTACAAATTCATCAGTTTTCTCTCTTGTTGGTTAATGAGGACATGGCCACACTTCATCTCAGCTTAAAATCTGCAGAGAATTTTGAAAAATGTATACTTTGACTGAATTTTTTGTTTGGTGTGTTTTGAAGATTTCTATTTTGGTTAGTTTCTCTTTGAGGACTTCGCCATCTTTTTGATATCATAAAGCTACCACACACATTAAACAAATGCAATTGTTAATGCTTGTGTGACAGGATTTCTTCCCTTCAGTAGTAGATACTTAGCCAGCCATAAGCAGTTGAGCTACATTGTAGGGAATTACTTCTTTAGCTCAGTCTGTTGTAACACAGAGGTTCTTGGTTCGAGTCCCAGAGGAGACAAAGTGATTTTGTAATAAGAACCATGCTCTCGGGTTTACACTTGTACAAGTACTTATGTCATTCAACATAATGTTAAATTAAATAACAGTATCTGTTCTTTTTATATGTACACTCAAATGTCATCTTTTCTATGGCAGTTTTTTGCTTAATTGTTTTATATCTGTTCTGTATTTCCTTGTTACATGATGCACATATCTCTCTATGTTATTATTAAAAAGATGATTTGAATGAATTTAAAACAATTGATAATGGATGTAAAAGGGCTAAATTCTAACTCCTTGGTTTTATTTTAGAATTAATGCAATAAGGTTAAACAAAGTATAAAGACTTGAAATTATTTTCTGATGAGGGGATATCTTCAAATTTGCTTTCCCTTGTCAGTACAGGTAATAATTACTAGAATTATTTAGTAACGTTTTAAGTCTGTGTTCTGTCCACCGTAAAGGAAACATGCTGTAAAGCTTTTGTGTGCTGCGCAGAAAGTATTGGCTAGGTACTTATAGACACCTTGGGTCCCACAAAAACAATGAACGTACAATTTTAACAAATACAAAAATCCTTCGAACATGTTGAAATTTTACATTTAAAAATCCAACAAAATAGAAATACCGGTACCGGGTAATTGAATTTAAGAATAATATCTTGTTTCATAACCCTTTTTCACACAATGTTTTCAAAGTTTAAAAAAAAACTTCATCCAAGCAGCATTAAAGCACATCCATATCACTCACAAGTGCTAATGACCTTTTCTTTTTCAAATCAAAAGTGATTTTCCTAACACTTGAAGTCTATTTCCATTATATACTGTTCTACAAATTCAAGTTTATTTTCGTAATTTATAAAACTTAAATATATATATATATAATATAATTTTTAAATGACCTGTTATTCCAATAAAATTTAACCATTATCTCTAGTACATGTATCATACTGTTCTTACAATTTCCAAAATTTAATTCATTTAGAAATCTACTGTTTGTTTCAGTAAATCATAACTGTCAATGATAGAAATTGTCATTTTTTCAAATTATGTAAGATAATGTTATAGAATTTTGCAAGCATACTCAAAACAAACAATTCCTTAATACTACATTTTGTTCAATAACATTGGGTATGTTAATTTGAAGTTAAATACACATGAAATTAATTTTTTGTGATATTATAAAAGAACAATTGTTACAAAAATAGTTGAAATAGTTATTGTCCCATATGAGCATTATAAATAAAAATCCCCACTCACATGATTTTTCCCCACAAAAAAGTTTCTGCCCTGCTTTTCTTAGTAAAAGAAGTTTTTGCCCTACCAAATATATAGCATAAAAATATTTGTCCCTCCCAAATTTGCACCAGCCCATCCCTATGTTTAACCTATGTTCTGACTGACATTATTGAGTTTCCAATTAGGGTAATACCATTATATATACCCCTGGCTGTTTCCGAATACAAATGTATATACTGATATCTCTGTGTTGTTATCCAATCACAAAACTCGACACATTTGTAATTGGAAAAATGTTATGGATACACAACTAAAAAATTTAAACATTTGGGAAAATGTTAACGTTTAGTTTTAAAAGCAATATATAAAAAAAATACCATGAACAAATCCCATATTGAATGATACATGGGGTAATTTTGCAATGCCATTTAATATCATTTTTTGTTCATTACATGTATTTAAAACAAGAAATTTTGGATCTTATTAAAGTAGGTGTCCATGATAGCACAACATGACAAGATAAAATACTTTAAACCAAAGGAAAATGACAAAAATCCTGAAATGAAAAGAAATATGTATAAAAAAATATTTGTTTGCACCTAGATCATCAGGTTTGACAATGTATGGAACAGTAAAGTTTAGTATCTAATGCAAACCTGTGATCTGAGAGGTAAATTTGTGATTCTTTGTCAACACAAGACACTTCAAACACATCTTTAATCATAGCTGGCCAAATATTCTATCATTCAAATCAACCTGGATGATGGGCATCTGAAGCCTGCCTCTTGGTGCGGGATTTTCTCACTGTGTTGAAGACCCATTGGTGGCTTTGGGCTGTTTTCTGCTCTTTGGTCGGGTTGTTGTCTCTCTGACACATTCCCCATTTCCATTCTCAATTTTATCACACATTTATAGTCTAAACACTTGTCTTAAAGAATGGAATTCTAAGAAATAATTTTGAATCATATATTTTGATGATTTCAGAAACCACCTGTGAGAAGGTCATTTGTGTCCAAAATGGAATTAAGGAAGATTACAAAGCTGGTCAAAGGTTTAGATGAACTATTTGAGAAACTTGTTGAAAATTTTGAGATTTGTCCAGAAGTACGCCAAGTGCTTTTCCTCCTAGGTGGTACTACAGTAAGTCCGAAGGAGTGTTACCTGATTACCTTACCACCGTATCACCCAGAATCAAACAACTTATCATCCAAATTCTGTATTAGATACTTAATGAAGGAATTAATTATGCAGGATTTTGTAGGAAAGTTGAAAGATGTACGTACAACTAATGCTATAGTTATGTTAAATGCACCTGCAGACAGTGGAATAAAATGGTTTTTACCAAAACCTAATTTTACTCTGCCATCCAGGGGAACAAAATTTTCCTTGAATCTAATTTCCAATCCAAACAGTGATGTGTTTAATCACGATTTAACTCATGAAGAAAATGAAATAGAAATTTCTGGAATTGAACCATTTGATGTCTCAGGATTAGATGCTTCTTTAGAGGAGGAAATGATGAAATTATTTATTTCGAGTGATCACACAGAAAAACATGGACATATACACATAGAAAAACATGGACATGTTTTAGCCAGTGTAGACAAGGCTAAGAGATTATCAAGGAAAAGTTTCTGTTTGAACAATGATGACGATACTATTGAAGAAAAGAACAAATCTTCTGCCAATTTAGAAGACAAGCTTAGAAATTTATCTTCAGAAAATAATAATGATATAAGTTTATATTCTCAGGAAGACACGATTCTTCAGAAAACAATTGATGATAGTAAAATATTGACTGATCCTGGTGCCCCCTGTATTTGGTTTCAGGCTCCATGCATGTTCAAAGGCTATAAAGACAAAACTTCAAGACAATCAAATGGTTTAATGTAAATATATACTCCTTTGTTCTATCATGTTTATAATCATCATGTTTTATGTGATAAGTTTTGTATAATAAGTAAAACTTCATTTTATTTATAGTCAGTTAATGAAAACCCTCAGAATATGAGATGTAAAAGTACTATCGCCTATTAATTTCTTTTTATCATGATTATTATAAAAAGAAGATGTGGTATTTTTGCCAATGAGACAACTCTCCACAAGAGACCAAATGACACAGAAATTAACAGTTATTAGTATTTATTCCAAAAATGAGAATTGTATGTATAATGGAAAAGAAGGAACATTTTGTATTACTTTGACTTGACTAAGTGTTGCTCTCCGACTATTGCAGTTCATTCGAAATTCTGACCCAATCACAATTTGCTTTATTAAATCAAACTGTTCAACAGAAATTTTAACCAACTGCTTTAGAAAACCCCAGTCAAGTCATCAAAGTGAAAGATGATAAAATAAAGCATACTTACAATCCTATAAGACTTTAATTCTACTTCATTGCATCCTATAAGACTTTAATTCCACTTCATTGCTGTTATGAAAATGTTGCAAGAAATGTCTACACATATTTTTATTGTAAAGAGTCATTGGAAAGATGGGAGGTAGTAATTTTTGAAATGCTAAAATAAAATGTCCAAATTTAAGTTTTTGAATTATTTCTTCTAAAATGGTGTTTTCTATGCATGCTACAAAGCTTTCTTTAAATGAATATCTAAAATACTTTGAAAAATATACTTTACACTTAAGGTACATGTAGATCAGACGGGTGTCTTTTTCTGATCATCCATTCTAGGCATGTTGCAAAAATACTTTTTTGGTTTAATTTTTTTTTAACAAGTATCATTCAATATACAACACAAACATCCAAAACTTGATATTTTAAGATTAAACTATAAAAAAATTAATTGTTAAGTGTATTTAAAAAAATATGTTTAAAATCAAGGGCAGATAATTATTATGAATTTGATAGGACAATTTATTTTGGATTTTTCAAGAAAAGAAGGCCCATGACCCCCTATTTATATTTGATATTTTGGAAGCATTTATGAAAAGTTATTCTCTCATTGAATTTTCACTAATTCTGTCGTTAGTGATAGTCAATAAGGTAAAAATTAAGTTTCCCCCATATAAAATAACTGACTTTGTTAATTTCAATGCATTTTAACGAGAAAAAAACAAGGTCTGTGACCCCCAGTTTTTATATTAAAATTTTTAGAGTTCATTGACCCAGAAGTCTTTTACAGAAGTTTAGGAAAAATCTATCGTCGAACATTTACACACTCCAGCTACCTTAATATGTTCTCTTGAAGTTTTAAAGGGAGATAAGATCAATGATTTTTAGATTATCTCCCATGGAAACTTATCAACAACATATTGTAATTTCACAGAACATAGAACATTTTTATAGTAATTTTTGATTATAGTAATTCAAAAATTATTATTTCTCACCTTTCAAATGACTCTTTTGTGTAGTAGTCCATGAGTGCACAGACTACCAAAGAAATTAATAAACATGTAGCCTTGAAGTTGTAATTGCGGATGAATCTAGGAGAGACTGACAAAAAGGTATAAGACGTAGGTAATACAATCCCTATTTCACAATAAAGGGGCATTTCTAACATTTTTAAACCTCATTAATTAAACTAAGTTTAAGGTTCAAGTTCACTTCTTGTACAATAAGATGTTAAGTAAAATGTCCATAAAAAAAGAGGTCACTTATAATTTGATGTGTCTTGCATTTTACATTTCTTATATTAAGGATAATAAATTGAAATTATTTTTCAAGATGGGGGCGAACTACAATCATACATGTATATACCTGGTACAATGTTACTTGGTGTAAGGATGCAACAGTATAACAACCTCCCATTAAAAGTACACATGTAGGTCACTTCTGTACATATTTTGCTATAGTTTTTCATATTACTAGTAAGTTTGGCATCCAAGTTCTTTTTTCAAATACTTGGTGACCTAAATTTCCATCTTTACACCTTGAAGTTGACCATCTCTGAGTTCCATAAGATATTTATATATATATATAAAATGAAATATTTGATGAGCTTTATCATTCCAATTCTGGGATAAGGCAACATTTATATCTTAGATTGTCTATGAATTACAAAAATAATTATATTATTTTCATGATATTTCTTTTATTAAATGTATTAAATGTATTATATGCAGGAACTTTCCATTTGTATTTATTGTTGATTTGTCACATGTATATTTTACTGGGTTTGGAGACAGGATTTGATGTTAGGGAGGGGGTGGCTCCTTAGAATTAGAGATTTTTTGACAAAAAATTGGCTGTAATTTTACCTAATTACCTTTTTGTTTTAATTTTAGGGGTGTCCCTCGCCTTGTGCACCCCCGTCTGATTCCATGCTTGTTTATTTCATTTGTTTTAGTGGTGAAATGATTTTAATCACTTTAAATGTGTGTACTCCTTGATGGTAGATATAGAGGACTTTTTAACCTGTTACCATCCTGAATTGTAGAAGCTCACCTGAAAAGGTGTAATAAATCAGGTAATAAGGGAGTATTGAAGATAAAAATGGGAATATACATGTAGACACATATACATGTATGCATAAAAAAAAAGGATTTTATAGTATAGTTAAACAACAATGAGATTGCAACACTAATACCACAAAAATGAGAAAAGAAGTCTAGAGGTCAACAGAATATATATAAACAAGTGGCTATACCTTCTGCCAAATTCTTAATCCACCCCAGTTATTATAAAATAAATTGAAGAGATTATTAAAAATATGCCATCAACACCAAATTTTTTATAAAATATATGAAGGTAAAAACAAAGATCTTTTGATTTGGAACAGATACATTAACCTGGTGCTGATGATGACCGATAAATAAACATAGTCCTGACGATGACTGATACATAAACATGGTCCTGACAATGACAGATAAATTAATCTGGTGCTGACGATGACCGGTACATAAACATAGTCCTGACTTGGAAGAGGTACATAAACATGGTCCTGATGATGACAGGTACATAAACATGGTCCTGACTTGGGATAGGTTCATCAACATGGTCCTGACTTGGGATAGGTACATTGACATGGTCCTGACGATGACATGTACATAAACATGGTCCTGACTTGGGATAGGTTCATCAACATGGTCCTGACTTGGGATACATGTAGGTACATTAACATGGTCCCAACGAGGACAGGTATATTAACATTGTTCTGACTTGGGACAGGTACATTAACATGGTCCTGACTTGGGATAGGTACATTAACATGGTCCTGACGATGACAGGTACATTAACATGGTCCTGACTTGGGATAGGTCCATTAACATTGTCCTGACGATGACAGGTACATTAACATGGTCCTGACGATGACCAGTACATGAACATAGTCCTGACTTGGAAAATAGGTACATAAACATGATCCTGACTTGGGATAGGTACATTAACATGGTCCTGACTTGGGATAGGTACATTAACATGGTCCTGACTTGGGATAGGTACATTAACATGGTCCTGATGATGACAGGTACATTAACATGGTCCTGACTTGGGATAGGTACATTAACATGGTCCTGATGATGACAAGTACATTAACATGGTCCTGACTTGGGATAGGTACATAAACATGACCCTGACTTGGAAGAGGTACATTAACATGGTCCTGACTTGGGATAGGTACATTAACATGGTCCTGATGATGACAGGTACATTAACATGGTCCTGACTTGGGATAGGTACATTAACATGGTCCTGACGATGACGGGTACATTAACATGGTCCTTACTTGGGATAGGTACATTAACATGGTTCGAACAAGGACAGGTACATTATCATGGACATTTTTAGTAATCAGCCGTTCCCCTTTTATCTCAATCATTGGGCTTAAAAAAGTTCTTTATACAATATATGTACATTGTCAAAATAGAAACTCTCTAAGCTTTTTCTTTAGGGTTTAAATTTTTTTTTATATTTTCCCACAATGTATATATATATATTGTTTTTTCATGCAATTTAACATTGATGCTTGTTAATTTTGAGTGTTTTAACTCCCACTTGTTGTCTTTGGATCTTTAATGCAATCGTCACTGCTACTTAGACACAGACTGGGAAAAGGACTTTAAAATAAACTGACATGAACAGAAATTTTAATGTTTGTTAATATAAGTAGCATGAGATTATAATTGTATTGTAAACAAATTTCTTTTTAAATTTATTCGCACATCTGTATTTATGTAGTGAATGACTAGTTGCAGAATAATTAAAAGAGAGTACAATAAAAAGTCAAACCTTGACTGGAGATAGACCTTCTTCAAAGCACTTGGATATAGGAATTTGATGATACATGTATTTTGTTACTATGTACATTACAATTTGATGTCTTTAAATACATAATGACCCCCTTCCTCCCCATGTGATGTAAACTATATGTCCTTATAATTTCTATCCCTTGTACATATGTGTACTGTTACAAATTGGAAAATAAAAATATATTTTTAATCTATATGGACATAATAAATTGCTGGAATCTATTCTGTTTTTTAGTATTTCTTTATACAGAATGTTGCAATTTTATTGGTCCCACTTACCATTTTAAAGTTTGCACATTGACAATTCTCACGTACACAACTTCATTATATTTATGTACTTTTATTACTTTGCTGTATGAGCTTTTATTACTTTGCTGTATGAGTTCTGCTATGAGAATTAGTTATTAAAGTAAGACAGAAGCAAACTTAGCCATAATCATCCTTAGGGTATCTAGTTCAAAAATTGTGTGACAACCTTGCCTGCCAACCAACATGGCTAAAAATAAATAAAGGGGTAAAATGCAAGTTTGTCTAATATCTTGAAAACCACAATAGATACAGAAAATCAGACAGGGGTAGAAATTTCAGAATGATAAGATCTTCCTGCTGTCTGAATCACATATTCACAAGGAATCATGCCCTTGAGTATCCAGGAAATCATGAAAGGCATCACAAACCCTTGAATATCCAGGAAATCATGCCCTTGAATATCTTGCAAATCATGAAAGGAATCACAAACCTTTAATATCCAGGAAATCATGATAAGAATCACATGCCCTAGAATATCCAGGAAATCGTGATATGAATCACAAGCCCTTGAATATCCAGGAAATCATGATAGGAAACAAATGCCCTTGAATATCCAGGAAATCATGATAGGAATCACAAACCATTGAATATCCAGGAAATCATGATAGGAAACACAAGCCCTTGAATATCCAGGAAATCAAGATAGGAAACACAAGCCCTTGAATATCCAGGAAATCATGATAGGAAACATCAGTCCTCGACTATCCAGGAAATCATGATAGGAATAGACAAGCCCTTGAATATCCAGGAAATCAAGATAGGAAACACAAGCCCTTGAATATCCAGGAAATCATGATAGGAAACATCAGTCCTCGACTATCCAGGAAATCATGATAGGAATAGACAAGCCCTTGAATATCTAGGAAATCTTGATAGGAATCACAAGCCCTTGAATATCCAGACAAGCAAGCCCTTGAATATCCAGGAAATCTTGATAGGAAACAAAAGCTATTGAATATCCAGGAAATCAAGCCCTTGAATATGCAGGAAATCATGATAGGAAAAACAAGCCCTAGAATATTCGGGAAATCATAATAGGAATCACAAGCCTAACAATATCCAGGAAATCATGATAGGAAACACAAACCTTGAATATCCTTGAAATCATGAAACGAATCACAAACCCTTGAATATCCAGGAAATTATGATAGGAATCACAAACCCTTGAATATCCAGGAAATCATCATGATAGGAAACACACGCCCTTGAATATCCTGAAAATCATGATAGGATTACACAAGCCCTTGAATATCGTGGAAATCATGATAAGAAACACATTCCCTTGAATATCCAGGAAATCATGATAGGAATCACAAACCCTTGAATATCCAGGAAATCATGATAGGAAACACAAGCCCTTGAATATCCTGGAAATCATGAAGGGAATCACAAGCCCTTAAATATCTAATAAATCATGATAGGAAACACAAGCCCTTGAATATCCTGGAAATCATGATAGAAATCACAAACCCTTAAATATCCAGGAAATCATGATAGGAAACACATGCCCTTGAATATCTAATAAATCATGATAGGAAACACAAGCCCTTGAATATCCTGGAAATCTTGATAGAAATCACAAACCCTTAAATATCCAGGAAATCATGATAGGAAACACATGCCCTTGAATATCCTGGAAATCATGAAGGGAATCACAAGCCCTTGAATATCTAAGAAATCATGATAAGAAACACATTCCCTTGAATATCCAGGAAATCATGATAGGAATCACAAACCCTTGAATATCCAGGAAATCATGATAGGAAACATCAGTCCTCGACTATCCAGGAAATCATGATAGGAATAGACAAGCACTTGAATATCTAGGAAATCTTGATAGGAAACACAAGCCCTTGAATATCTAGGGAATCATGATAAGAATCACATGCCCTTGAATATCTAGGGAATCATGATAGGAATCGCAAGCCCTTGAATATCCTGGAAATCATGATAGGAATCACAAGCCCTTGAATATCTAGGAAATCATCATGATAGGAAACACACGCCCTTGAATATCCTGAAAATCATGATAGGATTACACAAGCCCTTGAATATCTAGGAAATCATGATAGGAAACACATGCCCTTGAATATCCTGGAAATCATGATAGGAATCACAAGCCCTTGAATATCCAGGACATCATGATAGGAAACACAAGCCCTTGAATATCCAGGAAATCATGATAGGAATCACAAGCCCTTGAATATCCTGGACATCATGATAGGAAACACAAGCCCTTGAATATCCAGGAAATCATGATAGGAATCACAAGCCCTTGAATATCCTGGAAATCATGATAAGAATCACAAGCCCTTGAATATCCAGGACATCATGATAGGAAACACAAGCCCTTGAATATCCAGGAAATCATGAGAGGAATACACAAGCCCTTGAATATCTAATAAATCATGATAGGAATCACAAACCCTTGAATATCCAGAAAATCATGAGAGGAATACACAAGCCCTTGAATATCCAGGAAATCATGATAGGAATACACAGGCCCTTGAATATCCAGGAAATCATGATAAGAATCACATGCCCTTGAATATCCAGGAAATCATGACAGGAATCACAAGCCCTTGAATATCCAGGAAATCATGATAGGAATCACAAGCCCTTGGATATCCAGGAAATCATGCCCTTGAATATCCAGGAAATCAAGCCCTTGAATATCCAGGAAATCAAGATAGGAAACAAAAGCCCTTGAATATCCAGGAAATCATGATAGGAAACACAAGCCCTTGAATATCATGGAAATCATGATAGAAAGCCCTTTTATCATTTAAATACAGAAAAAATGAAAACAAAAGATTTTCAAAATATTGCTTTGGAGTTGTCTTTCAATCATAAAAAATCTAATGTCCAAGTTTCATCAAGTTCCATAAATGTTTGACAAAAAACTTTAAACCACAGATGATGATGACAGAATGAATGATAGCCTTGTCCCACTTCCTTGACATTTTAGGCTTAACAAAAGAAACAATGGTATACATCAATGAGACAGCAACCCAACTATACAAAGATCCTTCATTTGCACTGGCTAGAATCCATGATACTTTCAAGCAACGAGCAGAAATTAGTTAAAATCATGAATGTGTTTTGGAAGATGGCTATACAAGTCAATAGCAGTAAAAACAAAACAGTTTTATTAGCATTGTTAAACATACTACATTCTTACACACAGATACACATTTTCTCATTGGTTAACAATCAACAGTAGATAGAATAAACAACAACAGAATATATATAGAATAAGGGCATTTTTGTTTTTGATACCGACTTTATCAGCAGGAATATCAAGGGAGCCCACTAGGGGGAGCTGATATTCAAGCTGATGAAGTCAGTATCAAAAAATGAAATGTCATTATTCTTTTTATTGGCAATTAGTCTTAACTGTATATTTGTTTGGTTGAGAATTAAAATAAAATGAAATAAGTAAAACTACTTTTACGCGTACACAATTTTTGGATAGTTGTTCGGTTACATGCATTTCATTGATAAATTGACAAGGATGGACTTGAGCATGTGAATGTGGTCTAAGAACTTAAAAATTTTTAATTTACCTATTCAAACCATAACATTATTATTTGCTTTTATATATAAATCAGAAATAACCAATTTAAAATGGAAAATTAAAAAAAAAAAAAGGAAAAAAAGGAAAAAAAAATCCCTCCCCCAAATTTTTTGAACCCCCTTATGATTCATCACCCCCAAACTCAATCCAAGCCTTCCCTTTGTGGTATGGTACCTTGCAGTACAATTTCAGAGAGATCCATACACTTGAACACAAGTTATTGTCTGGAAACTAGAAAAATGCTTGTTTTTAGGCCCCTTTTTGGCCCCAAATTCCTAAACGTTTAGGGCAATTACCCCCAAACTCAAACCCAGCTTTCCCTTTGTGTTATGGAACCTTGTAGTACAATTTCATAAAGATCCATACACTTACACACAAGTTATTGTCCTGAAACTAGAAAAATGCTTGTTTTTTTGCCCCTTTTTGGCCCCTAATTCCTAAAATTTTGAGGCAATTACCTCCAAAATCAACCCCAGTCTTCCCTTTGTGGTATGGTACCTTGCAGTACAATTTTAGAGAGATCCATACACTTGAACACAAGTTATTGTCTGTAAACTAGAAAAATGCTTATTTTTAGCCCCTTTTTGGCCCCTTATTCCTAAACATTTTGAGCAATTACCCCCAAACTCAATTCCAGCTTTCCCTTTGTGATATGGAACCTTATAGTACAATTTCAGAAAGATCCATACACTTACACACAAGTTATTGTCATGAAACTAGAAGAAAAATGCTTGTTTTTTGCCCCTTTTTTGGCCCCTAATTCCTAAAATTTTGAGGCAATTACCCCCAAAATCAATCCCAGCATTCCCTTTGTGATATGGAACTTTGTGGTACAATGTCAGAGAGATCCATTCACAAACACACAAGTTATGTCTGGAAGTTACAAAAATGCTTATTTTTGGCCCCTAATTCCTTAAATGTTGGTACCATAACCCCCAAAATCAATCCCAACCTTTCTTTTGTGGTATTGAACCTTATTGTAAAATTTCATAGAGATCCATTCACTTAAACTAAAGTTAGAGTGCGAAAACCAATGTGTCTTCGGACGACGACGACGCCAACATCATATTAATATATGACCGCAATTTTTTGCGGTCGTATAAAAATGGAAAAAATGAAATTCATCCCTCAAACCATAATTCCTCTTAATATTAAGCTTTGTTTCCAACTGGTCAGTTCAATTTGAATTTTATCTAGAGCTATTTAAACAACTGTTAACTTTTAAAATATATAAATTGTTTCTGTGTATTGCTTAAATTAGTATATACTTTAAATACAGATTTTTGTGCGATGGTTTAATTATTGCCAAAATAGTGACATTCATAATAGGTGTCGCAAAAATAAAAACTAGCATTTTATATTTTCATAACTAATTTTTGCAGCATTTCCTGAAATCACAATAATTTAAATCGTATTTGTGTCGATTTTTCAACAATCACAACAATAAATGCACGGAATAATTTCTGAATGTACAGTACATGAGGGTTTTTGTCGATTCTCACCAGTGTAAAAAAAAAATCTTTTGCAATACATTTGTATGTTTATATTGATCAAAAGATAATTTTCTTCTTCTTGCAATTTTTGTCCTTAAATCTCCTAGGTCAATCAAATAATATCTATACAATTGATTGATTGATTGATGTTTAACGCCACTTTCAGCACTATTGCCTATTTCGTGGTTGTCAGTTTTTTTTGGTTCCAGAAGCCAGAGTGCCAGGAGAGAACAACCAAACTTAGGCAGGAAAACTAACAATCCCAGTCAATTAAGATTGGAGTGGAATGCACCTGCCACGTGCAGGATTCGAACTCACAACCTCAGTGTTGTCAAGCTAATGATGCAGTAGTTAGATCACTAGGCCAACTAGGTCCCTATTCATACCCAAACAAATCTACATTCATATCAAACAATATAATAACAAGTTACTTTTTGTACTTTACAATTTATATATATATAAAAATACATATTTATCTTTGTTGAACTTGTGTGAGGGGTTGCTGTCTCATTGACAATTTATATTACTCAACATTACCCTTAATTCATGAATGTATACATTAATCTTAAGTATAAATTTGATGCAAAACATTTATATCAAAAGTATTGACATATACAAATACAAAATTCTATTGGTAAAAAAAGACATATTATTGAAAAATAAATATAAAGATAATTCATCATTCTTGCTTAGAGAGGAATACAACTATAATAAACTCCGCTATTTAATAGAAAACATTTTCGATAATACTTTTTAATTAATCTTTTAATTGAATTTTCATTGTTTTTCCTAAAGCTGTCTTCAATCATTTCAATTCAATATTCAAACTTATTTAATGTTTTGATATAAATAACAGAGAAGGAGCAAAATCTATTCATCATAAAGTTCACACAGACTAACACGTTTCAAAAGTTTGGAGGAATCTTAAGTTGAATGTTTAAGATTTCCCAGGATTGCTGTTACATTATACATATTTCTCCAATGCAAATACTTCTTGTCTCTCTCTCTATTTTCAACATCAAATATTAAGTGACATCCAGACACTTCTCAAACTCCACTATGTCTAGATCAAATTGGATACATGATGTTACTGTAGATTATAACTTGCAGTAAATGTACTAATGATCTTAATTAACCTTTCCATTTAACATCTCAATATTCCATAATAATTCAGTGTTCTTCCCTGTCAACAAATAAGCTTGATTCTGTGTACCATATTTCCTTTACTGTTCTTTGATCCTATAGAGTTATCTCTGCATATTCAGTGACCCATACCAACAGGTGCTTTCTTAATCAAATATCTATTTTAATCATCTATGTTAAGAATAGAACCACTGCCATGTTTTAGATCTGTGTAAATCATCAAACTGCTATGTTAGGATCAGAGCCATTACCGTGTTTTAGATCTGTGTAAATCATCAAACTGCTATGTTAGGATCAGAGCCATTACCGTGTTTTAGATCTGTGTAAATCATCAAATTGCTATGTTAGGATCAGAGCCATTACCGTGTTTTAGATCTGTGTAAATCATCAAACTGCTATGTTAGGATCAGAGCCATTACCATGTTTTAGATCTTTGTAAATCATCAAACTTCTATGTTAGGATCAGAGCCTTGGCCGAGTCGTTTTATCATCAATTGTTCATTTTTCAATTTGGTTTTCTCAGTTCTGGTGTGCCAAACTAGTATCTAAAATTAATAAGAAAAATTTTCATCATTTGAACAGCATACTTGGTACATGTAGTAATTTAACATTAAAAAAATTTTACCTTCTGCATCTACACCTTACTGGACAAATTTAAATCATTTAGTAGAATCCTCGCAAGGCAAATAAGAATTCAAAAAGGTGGTTTATAACTTCAAGACCTTGCTCTGTAATTATTGCCCTGAAAAAATTCTCTAGTTATTGTCATGTGACATATATATAGTAAAGAGATATATGTCCATTGGATTTAAACCTGAGTACCATGAGAATTGTCCCCAAAACTTCTGAACAATAAACTGCTTCGCTTAGCACAGCTAGATATGCCTGCAGAGGTCCAACCCTGAACAGTTGGGGCAAAAATTGACACAATATTCAAGCTTGATTCAGGTCTGAATTTGGATTGTAATTAAATTTTTGACATATTATAGGTTTCTGAATAAATGTAGTCAAAGAACTTGAAATTGGTTATATGAATTGAATTTTAAATTTTTGCCCGAAAACTTGAAAATCCCCCCTTTTTTTATGAATAAAACCCTGTAACTCGGAAACGAAAAATCTAAAATTTATATAAATCGAAAGGGAGCTCATGTCAATAGATATAAACAATTCACCACAATTTCTTGCAAGTTGGTGAAAGCATTTCTGACTTATTGTCCTAAAACTGGAAAATCCCCCTTTTTTTAATGAATAAAACCCCATAACTCGGAAACGTAAAATCTAAATTTTATAAAAAAACAAAAGGGAGCTCAAGTCAATAGATATAAGCAATTCACCAAAGTTTTATGCAAATTGGTTAAAGCATTTTTGAGTTAATGTCCGACATGTTGACGACGGACAACGGTATACCATAATAGTCCGAGTACACAGTTATTTCGTAGTGCATTTCTTTTAGACAATAAATGGAAATAAAAAAAATCCCACCTGCGCTTTCTCAATAATATTTTTACAGTGTGTTGTACTACTTTTGGGACAAATTATATCAAAATTATAGAAAACTTCATCGGCTCTAACTCAAAATATGGATAATTTTATGTTAAGGGGGTCTTGAAATCTTTTGACAGCTTCCGAAATGCTAATTTTTAACCTTTTCCAGCTGGACCAAATCACTACTTTATTTTAAAATTCATGAATCAAATTTTTTTACAGTGTAATTTTATCCCCCTACTTGCTATTTGAGGCATAAAACATGAAGAAATAAATTTTGAAGGGGTATAAACAAAATTGGCAAGTAACACACTGTCCACACTAGGGACTATATTCGTGGACAACAAAAATCAAAGGACGATAACTGTGTACTCGGACCTAATACGTCCCGTAAACGGGCGTATAAAAATAACATGTAACAAATTTATATATTTTGGAACATCCTTGCTATTATCATGTCTGACCACTTATTAGGTTAAAATATTATTGCGAATGAATGTAAAAATTTCAGTGGCAAATATCTTATGTATTTTCAGGGCTAAGAATAGAAAATTATAACCTGTAATCCTTTTGTCATTTAAAAAAGAAAACGTATCTGAGAATCAAGACAACAATTTTTACATGGTTGAAAAATCATGTGAAAAAATTATTCTTATGATTTCAAATGAATTTTATAAACATCTCCTCTGGAAATGGTTTGTATTGACATATAATATAATAAATGTGGATATTGTCCACATGTGGACACAGATGATGCCCCTGCTTGCATATCATATAGTTATAAAGGGACATAACTGAAGAGCGGTAAAAGTGACACTACCCAAATTTGAACTTGATCTGAGTTTTGTGGTAATAAGCATTGTGTGTAAGTCTCATAACATTTGGTTGAGGCTAACTTAAGTAGAGAACAGAAACTAAAAATTCAGCAATTTTTCTATTTGTAAACACGCATAACTCTAGAACGGTTGTGTATAAGTTTTATAACATTTGGTTGAGACAAACTAAAGTTAAAGAACGGAAACGAAAAATTCAGCAATTTTTATGTTTATAAAGAGACATAACTCAAGAATGGTAAAAGTGTCGCCACCAAATTTCGTACTTAATCTGTATTATGTGGTAATGAATATTGTGTATAGGTTTCATAATGTTTGGTTGGGGCAAACTTAAGTTACAGAATGGAAACTAAAAATTTTGCAATCTTTCCATTTATAAAGGGGCATAACTCAATAATGGTTAAAGTGACACTACCCAAATTCAACTTGATCTGTGTTTTATCAGTGGAAGTCAAAATTAAACATTGCATTGTATAAAGCATTGATTGTAGTTGATTCAACTATAATCATGGACAAAGGAAGATAACTCAAATTTAAAAAATTACTTGATATTTAGAAGAAAATAAAATTTTTGCAATTTTTCCATTTATAAAGGGGCATAACTCTAGAACGGTAAAAGTGACGCCACCAAAATTCAATCTTGATCTGTGTTTTGTGGTAATAAGCATTGTGTATAAGTTTCATAACATTTGGTAGAGGGAAACTTAAGTTAGAGAACGGAAACTAAAAATTTTGCAATTTTTCCATTTATAAAGGGCATAACTCTAGAACAGTTAAAGTGATGCCACAAAAATTCAAACTTGATCTGTGTTTTGTGGTAATAAGCATTGTGTGTAAGTCTCATAACATTTGGTTGAGGCAAACTTAAGTTAGAGAACGGAAACCAATTTTGGGACGTACGCACGTACAGACGGACAAGGGGTAAAACTTAATGCCCCCACCGCTACGGCAGGGACATAAATATGTCTCACATTTAGGGGTGGCCAACTACTCTTGATATGATTTGTATTGGGGTATAGTGAAGGAATAACAGTACTGTAGTTGAAGAGTTTCAGTCGTCAATTAGGGATTTGACAGTCACAAATGCAGTTTTATTGGCTACATGGACCTGGGCCAGTAAAACTGATATTTGTGACCGTCAAATCCCCTATTGAGTGCAGCAACTATTTAACTACAGTACTGTTATTCCTATTGTAATACATTGCAAAAAGAATTAATACATAAGAGGTTGAAAAAATGTATAAAATGAAAATAGAAGTAAATTCCCTGAAATTTCATAAATTATTATGTTGCAGAAATGTTATGACAAAACATGACTCCATACAAAAATAAACCTTACAATCTGATTTTTTTTTAAAGTTACTTGTACAATTCTGATAATATGTCTTTAAGATGTTTTTTAGGTACAGATATTATTTTAGTACATGTATTCATTTTAATTTAAGAAAGTAGTGTGGCTCAAATCCTTGGTTAAAATTATACATGCATTATGTCAATTGTAGATTAGACGGAAAATAGTAGCCAATGAATAAAATTGTTACATTAAAAATTTTCATTTGAATATGGGATACAATGTAAACATATCTCACATTAAGGTGTTTAATATTCAAAATTTTTATTTAATTGATATCTGAATTGATGGTTTTATTTGAATCTGGGAAATAGGCTAATCTGTTTTAACTAACCTTAGAACAATTCTCTGCCCTTGGCTCTAAGTCTTCCATCTTTACATTCAACTGTTCAAGAATTGTTGACTCAAGAAACCCTCTTGGTACCTCATTACTAAATTGTGCATCAGGAAACTTGAAGAATAGATTAACATTCACAGCAAATCCTGCCATATCCATTGGGAAAGGTCTATTAGGCTTCCAATAAGTAAACCATCCAGTCACCTGCAATCATAAGGAATTATGGGAAGATTCATCAGCATGTGACTACACTTGGATTCAATATATTTACTTGGATAGAAAAAAAAAAGAAAAAAAAAATCAAATTTATTAAGAAGTGAATTCATACCTATTGTGTACCTGTTTAATTGCAGCCTAGATAAATATTCCATAAAATCTGAACACTTTCTTATTGTTTTGTCAAATCTGAGTATCGTTTGTTTACTGTTACATATACATTTACTTCATATATATTCTCTTTGAGAATAAGAAAGGGATTTAAAGTTACAAAATATAATAATATATTTCCGTTATGGATGCCTGCGGTACTTCTGTATACGAAATTAATTGGGGCTTTGAAACCCCCTACACCTTGACAATGACTATATTCTTTAATTAAATATATAAATTGACTTCAATTGTAGCAGTTGCTGAAGATAAGTTGTACTAACTCATATTTCATAAACTTTAGTAAACACAAAATAAATTAGATGTTGTGTTAACATAATATCAATAAGGTTGACCTGTGTCACAATTTACTAAGCTTCCTTGGTATGTTCTACTTGTCATAGCAACAATCATGTTCTCTTTTCTTAGATTGCAACATCACTGAATGTGACTTATCACCACATTATTAATTGCCAGTAGCAGCATGGTAGATGATAGAAGAGGAGCACAGTACCTGAGTTTACACCAAGTTTCTATTTGCCATTAGCAGCATGGCAGATGACAGTAGTGGAGCACAGTACCGGAGTTCACACCAAGTTTTTATTTGCCATTAGCACCATGGCAGATGACAGAAGAGGAGCACAGTACCTGAGTTTACACCAAGTTTCTATTTGCCATTAGCAGCATGGCAGATGACAATAGTGGAGCACAGTACCGGAGTTCACACCAAGTTTTTATTTGCCATTAGCAGCATGGCAGATGACAGTAGAGGAGCACAGTACCGGAGTTCACACCAAGTTTTTATTTGCCAGTAGCAGCATGGCAGATGACAATAGTGGAGCACAGTACCGGAGTTCACACCAAGTTTTTATTTGCCAGTAGCAGCATGACAGTAGAGGAGCACAGTACCTGAGTTTACACCAAGTTTTTATTTGCCAGTAGCAGCATGGCAGATGATAGTAGAGGAGCACAGTACCTGAGTTTACACCAAGTTTTTATTTGCCATTAGCAGCATGGCAGATGACAGTAGTGGAGCACAGTACCGGAGTTCACACCAAGTTTTTATTTGCCATTAGCAACATGGCAGATGACAGTAGAGGAGTACAGTACCGGAGTTCACACCAAGTTTTTATTTGCCAGTAGCAGCATGGCAGATGACAATAGTGGAGCACAGTACCGGAGTTCACACCAAGTTTTTATTTGCCATTAGCAACATGGCAGATGACAGTAGAGGAGCACAGTACCGGAGTTCACACCAAGTTTTTATTTGTCAGTAGAAGCATGGCAGATGAGAGTAGTGGAGTACAGTACCTGAGTTTACACCAAGTTTTTATTTGCAAGTGGCTGCTTGGCAGATGACAGTAGAGGAGCACAATACCGGAGTTCACACCAAGTTTTTTTTGGGGGTAGTTTTACTCAATCCTAATATTTCTGTGTAGTGTTTTGTGGACTGTCTATTTGTCATTTTTCTTTTTGCCATGCTGTCTGTTTTTTTCTGCAGCTTACAATATGGGTATTTTCTTCCTTTCGTTAACATCAGCTAACCTTGACCTTCAAAAAAGATCTTGAATGAAGGAGATAACAGATGCTTAGGCCCTGGTCAACAATTGTGCAAAATTCTAGTAAACTCAAGTAGGCAGTAAAAGTATGTTGTTCTCATACTTCCTCAATACAAATAACAACCGTGCAAAATCTTAGAAAAACCCAAGGTGGAAGTAAAAGTATTTTGTCCTTACACTACCTCAATACAAATAACAACGGTGCAAAATCTTAGAAAAACCCAATGTGGAAGTTAAAGGATGTTGTCCTTACACTATCTCAATACAAAAAAAAACTCTGCAAAATCTTAGAAAAACCCAAGGTGGAAGTAAAAGGATGTTGTCCTTATACTATCTCAATACAAATAACAACGGTGCAAAATCTTAGAAAAACCCAAGGTGGAAGTAAAAGGATGTTGTCCTTACACTATCTCAATACAAATAACAACGGTGCAAAATCTTAGAAAAACCCAAGGTGGAAGTTAAAGGATGTTGTCCTTACACTATCTCAATACAAATAACAACGGTGCAAAATCTTAGAAAAACCCAAGATGGAAGTTAAAGGATGTTGTCCTTATACTATCTCAATACAAATAACAACCATGCAAAATCTTAGAAAAACCCAAGGTGGAAGTTAAAGGATGTTGTCCTTATACTATCTCAATACAAATTACAACCGTGCAAAATCTTAGAAAAACCCAAGGTGGAAGTTAAAGGATGTTGTCCTTATACTATCTCAATACAAATAACAACCATGCAAAATCTTAGAAAAACCCAAGGTGGAAGTAAAAGGATGTTGTCCTTACACTATCTCAATACAAATAACAACCATGCAAAATCTTAGAAAAACCCAAGGTGGAAGTTAAAGGATGTTGTCCTTATACTATCTCAATACAAATAACAACCGTGCAAAATCTTAGAAAAACCCAAGGTGGAAGTTAAAGGATGTTGTCCTTATAATATCTCAATACAAATAACAACCCTGCAAAATCTTAGAAAAACCCAAGGTGGAAGTAAAAGGATGTTGTCCTTACACTATCTCAATACAAATAACAACGGTGCAAAATCTTAGAAAAACCCAAGGTGGAAGTTAAAGGATGTTGTCCTTACACTATCTCAATACAAATAACAACGGTGCAAAATCTTAGAAAAACCCAAGGTGGAAGTTAAAGGATTTTGTCCTTATACTATCTCAATACAAATAACAACCGTGCAAAATCTTAGAAAAACCCAAGGTGGAAGTTAAAGGATGTTGTCCTTACACTAGCTCAATACAAATAACAACGGTGCAAAATCTTAGAAAAACCCAAGATGGAAGTAAAAGGATGTTGTCCTTACACTACCTCATAACATATACATGTAACAACTGTGAACTTGGACCTTCAAGATATAACCTTTTGTTGATGTCATATAACAACCTAAGTTCATGAAGGGCAATTGGTTGAATAAGACCCAAGCTGGCTACATAGATAAGAAAATGGCATGATACAAAAGGATGGACAAGGTAATTTTCTCAATTCAAAAAATCTTAATAATAGAGTATTTAAAAAATCTGGCACCTTTCCATCCTTGACTACCGGTTTTTCGTATCTAAGTCCTCCTACCAAACCTACAGGCCATACTGTAGCTTTCTTGGTATTTCTCATCTGAAACCAGAAAACATATTGATTGGTAACTTAGTCTCAGTATGTCTTGTCTGAAACCAGGAAATATAATATATTGATTGGTAATTTTAATCACACAATGTCTTGTCCGAAACCAGAAAATATAATGTGTTGATTGTTAAGTTAGTCTCAGTGTGTCTTGTCTGAAACCAGGAAATATAATATAATGATTAGTAACTTAATCTTTCTATGTCTAGTCTAAAATCAGGAAATATAGTATATTGATTGGTAACTTAATCTTGGTATGTCTTGTCTCAAACCAGAAAATATAATATAATGATTGGGAACTTAATCTTTGCATTTCTTGTCTCAAACCAGAAAATATAATATAATGATTGGGAACTTAATGTCTCGTCTGAAACCTGGAAATATAATATATTGATTGGTAACTTAAGTCTTGGTATGTTGTGTTGGAAACCAGAAACTCAAATATACTGGTTGGATGTTTTGTGTAGGTATGTCTCAATTGAAACCAGAAGTAAAATATATTGGTTTATAGTTTTGTGTTGATATATCTCATTTGAAACCAGACATAAAATATGTAGCTTTGTTGTTTTGTGTTGGTATATCTCATTTGAAACTGGAAGTACAACATATTTGTCGGTTGTTTAGTTTTGGTATATCTCACCTCCAGTCCAGGTCACCAAAAAAAATTCTAACATAACTTTATTGCTACTGAATCTGCTTATCTAGAGCGGAGATTAATTACAGCTTTATTTGACTTCTCAAACTGGCAGTTAATTAACCCCAGCTTCAACATGCATGATTTATGACAACTCGTTGGGTGTGTAAATATTGACACCTGTGTGTAATGTCTCTTTGCAAAAGCTTTTTATGTAAACTACATGTACATGTTGATTGGAATAGTATGAATATTTCTTACTGGTTTTTGATACAATATTACAGATTAAGATCAATTACCAGGTGAAATCTTCTGATCAGGAAAGAAATTACCAACTAAAATCTGTTTTTTTTTTTTAAAGAATAGGTAAAAAAAGATATTAAGTGTCAAGAATTTTGGTTTTGATATAAGGGATATGTCTTCATAACAAAATAATCACATTACCATTTCTTGTGAATGTATTTTTTTTTTTCGAAACTGTCTTTTTTGTGACTTTATTCAACACCAAACTATTTCTTTTTTCATATCATACAAGATTTTTTTTAAACTGAATGTCATATTTCTTTTCCCTCTTATTTTCAAAGGAAACCAACAATTTGTTTTAAAAAAACACTTATCTACTAGCCCAAGCATACAGTAATGTATGTAAATTTTTTATTAGTTTCAATTACCATGTACAGTACATGTATGAGGCAATGAATGGGGTTTACAGATATGAGAATAATGGGCAAATAAGTTAGATTAGGAGCGGGACCAAAATATATAGATAACAGAATAAAGGTGATGAAATATAAAGGAAAGATTGATTGATTGTTGGTTGTTTAATGTCCAGTGGCAAATATTTCATGCATGTTAAGGACAAATACAATAGAGATCAATTGACAGAAGAACAAAGAATTAAGTGAAAAGGTAAAAAATTAAAAGATATAAACGATGATCTGACCCCAACCCACACTCGCACTAGGTTCTTGATCCTCCCCTGGTTTTGTGTTGGTATATCTCATCTGAAACCAGAATTAAAACATGGTTGTCAGCTGTCTTGTGTTGATATATCTCATCTGAAACCAAAATTAAAACATGTTTGTTGGTTGTTTTGTGTTGGTATATCTCATCTGAAATCAGAAGTTAAACATATTTGTCGGTTGTTTTGTGTTGGTATATCTCATCTGAAACCAGAATTTAAATATGCTTGTCGCTTGTTTTGTGTTGGTATATCTCATCTGAAATCAGAAGTTAAACATGTTTGGTCGTTTATTTTGTGTTGGTATATCTTATCTGAAACCAGAAGTAAAACATGTTTGTCAGTTATTTTGTGTTGGTATATCTTATCTGAAACCAGAAGTAAAACATGTTTGTCGGTTATTTTGTGTTGGTATATCTTATCTGAAACCAGAAGTAAAACATGTTTGTCGGTTATTTTGTGTTGGTATATCTTATCTGAAACCAGAAGTAAAACATGTTTGTCGGTTATTTTGTGTTGGTTTATCTTATCTGAAACCAGAAGTAAAACATGTTTGTCGGTTATTTTTTGTTGGTATATCTCATCTGAAACCAAAAGTTAAACATATTTGTCGGTTGTTTTGTGTTGGTATATCTCATCTGAAAAAAAGAATAAAAGAGCCAACATGAGTAGTCACCTGGAACTAACTACCTAACAGAAATACCTACTATCAATTTTGCAAAAACTGATGGTTAAAACATAATAAATATATTCCTGTACAATTTTCTGTAGAATATAACAATAAAATATTAAAATTTGAGTTTTAATCATGTTCGTCCTAGATATGTTATTTTTCAAACTATTACAGGAATCACTGGGAGTATTCATATTTTATATAATTGTATTGTTTGCCCCTATTTACATATTACAGATGTTGTCTAATTTTCTGAGTTGTCGAGTTGCTGTCTCATTGTTGTATACCACACATATCTGTTCTGACATTTACTTGTATATCCTGTTATCATTAAAATTAAACTTCATGAAGACATGTATCTAAATTGATCATTATAATTAAGTTAATTACAAAGAGTGGGTAGATTTAAAGTTGATCAAAATAATTTGTTCGCTTTATTATGACCTTAATAAGATGAAAGAAAATAACAATAATCTATCCATCCAGTAGTGTATGGTATTATACCTCTTGAAATATTTCTAAACTATATGTATTATCATCATCTGCAAAATAAACCACACCATTATCTGTGTTTGGCTTTAAATTCTCACGGATCCACTTAAGAGCAGCATTCCTCTGCAGGACACCTTTTGGTTTCAGCCATGTTGGATCATTATACTTCATTTTAATTTCATGAGGCGTCAAAGCTGCAAGATGTGTGTTTTTTACACCAGAATTTTGTAGAAACTTGCTAACTAAGACTGTCTTGCTGACAGAGTCTTCTATCACAATCCAGTGAATATTTTTCACATGAAGTAAAGTGTGTGACAATCTTACTAAGTTTGCTTTTTGTTCTGGATGGGTGTGAGTAGGTGTCACCATATAAATTGTCGGTGAATGAGAAAATTCTGTTCTCCCTGATGTCATAACATTCTTCTGGCATTCTTGCAGCTGTTGAGAAAGATCACTTATTTTTTTATCAAGCTCTTTGTTTCGTGCTTTGTATTTTTTTATCAGATGTTCTATTTCTTTCTCTTTACACTCTGGAAAACCTTGAATAAAAAGCACAATTAATTATTGAACTTTCAAGATATTTGTATGCATTAAATACATTACTTACGTTTGTCAATGGAACATTTTTATGTTTTGTATATGTAACCAGCAGCTGTATTTAGTAAAATAAAATAAAAAATTTGTAAGGGTTCTGCGGAACCCAGTGTCTCGCCTACTTTTTCTGTTAATCGCAGGCTCAACAAAAATGAGGAAGTAAATCAATAAAAATATTCCTCTTGATACTATCTTTTGATTGTAAGAAGCTTCTGTCCAAGTTTGGTAAAAATCCAGGATAGTTTATGAATCTAATAAATGTTTAAAAACTTTAACTGCAGACTGAATGTAATGTTAACTGGAAGAAAAAAAAAAATTTCCTTCTAGATACTAGCATTTGACCATAAACAAGCTTCTGTCCAAGTTTGGTACAAATCCAAAATAGTATAAGAAAGTTATTAAAATTTTAAAAACTTTAACCACAGAGTGAATGTGTTGTTTCCTGGCAGAAAATCTAAGTCCATTTAAAAGTAAAATACTGAAAAAATGGATTTATTTTTTTTCAAAATTTCCTTCTAGATACTAGCTTTTGATCATAAACAAGCTTCTGTCCAAGTTTGGTACAAATCCAAAATAGTATAAGAAAGTTATTAAAATTTTAAAAACTTTAACCACAGAGTGAATGTAATATTTCCCGGCAGAAAAACTAAGTCCACTTATAAGTAAAATACGGAAAAAATGGAATTTTATTTTTACAAAATTTACTTCTGGATACTATCTTATGATCATAAACAAGCTTCTGTCCAAGTTTGGTAGAAATCCAGGATAGTTTAAGAAAGTTATTAAAACTTCAAAAACTTAAACCACAGAGTGAATATTTGTGGACGCCGCCGACGACAACGACGACGACGCCGACGGAATGTAGGATCGCTATGTCTCGCTTTTTCGACTAAAGTCGAAGGCTCGACAAAAATTAGAAATAAGGCCATTTGTGGAATCCTAGAAATATAATCAACAGATAAAATACAATGTGTATATTGTCATGAGTAGGATACTCTTTCTTTCATAAAAATAAGAAAGTGGTGTTTGAATAACAATAAGAAACTCTTGAAAATTCTATTCTATTGAACAATAAACTAACGGTATCATTAAGTACTGTAGATTCATTTATTTTCATGGATTAAGGAAAAATTGTATTTTCTTTGATACTTGATTTCATTGTTTCTACACATTTCAAGCTTATAGAGAATTTATTTGTTCTTGGACACTTCACCTATACCCCAATCAGGACTCCATGAATAACAATGTATCCACTATACCTAAGATTGATGTCATCATACATGTCACATGTAATATACTGATTTGTCTTAACCAACATCAAACAGAGTTAAACTTTTGACACCATATGGTTGCAATGGCATGTTTTACTATGGGAAACTTCAAAAATTATTCTTATGAAGAATAGTACAGTAGGTGCATGATATCATGATTACAATGTACTTTGGTGTGAAATCAAGGTCAGTGTCTTATAATATTTCTGAAATGGACGTACTGAATTTATTGACTAATCATGCACAGACAGTGTTCCAGTCTGCCTAAAATAGAAGAGCATCCAACCCTTCTGCCTACAAAGCAAAATAAAACAACCCTCTGCCTTTTCAATAAATAAACTTTTCAAATTACATACCTTTTGGCGTTTCCGGTAAAATTGCTCCCTGATCGTGTAACACTCTAATTAATTGACAATGACATTAAGTTTCAAAATACCTAGCAAGGTCATTTACACCCTAATAATCTGGTTGATTGTAATATAGTGATTTTTCAGACAACAAGCACCCTTCTGCCCTGAGATTCAAGCTGGAACACTGTCAGTTATTGAGCATGCTAAAAGCCTTGATAGGCCTCCAACTAGACAACCTTAGTCAGTTGACAATGACTAGCAGCTGACAAGCCTTGATAGGCCTCAAACTAGACAACCTTAGTCAGTTGACAATAACTAGCAGCTGACAAGCCTTGAAAGGGCATCAACTAGACAACCTTAGTCAGTTGACAATGACTAGCAGCTGACAAGCCTTGAAAGGCCTCCAACTAGACAACCTTAGTCAGTTGACAATGACTAGCAGCTGACAAGCCTTGAAAGGCCTCCAACTAGACAACCTTAGTCAGTTGACAATGACTAGCAGCTGACAAGCCTTGATAGGCCTCCAACTAGACAACCTTAGTCAGTTGACAATGACTAGCAGCTGACAAGCCTTGATAGGCCTCCAACTAGACAACCTAAGTCAGTCGACAATGACTAGCAGCTGAAAAGCCTTGAAAGGGCATCAACTTAGACAACCTTGGTCAGTTGACAATAACTAGCAGCTGAAAAGCCTTGAAAGGGCATCAACTTAGACAACCTTGGTCAGTTAGACAACCCTGGTCAGTGGACAATAACTAGCAGCTGACAAGCCTTGAAAGGGCATCAACTAGAAAACCTTAGTCAGTTGACAATGACTAGCAGCTGACAAGCCTTGAAAGGGCATCAACTTAGACAACCTTGGTCAGTTAGACAACCCTGGTCAGTGGACAATGATTAGCTGACAGGCCTTGATAGGACCTCAATTAAGACAACCTCAGCCAGTGGACAATGACTAGCTGATGGGCCTTGATAGGGTCTCAACTTAAACAACCTCAATCAGTGGACAATGACTAGCTGACTGGCCTTAACAGGGTCTAAACTTTGACAACTTCTGTCAGTTGAGGATGACTAGCTGACAAGCCATGATAAGGCTTCCACTTAAAGAACCTCAGTCGGTTGACAATGAGAGGCTAACAAGCCTTGATAAGACATCAATTTAGACAACCTAAGTCAGTTCACTATGACTAGCTGACAAGCCATGATTTGCTTCAACTTAGACAACTTCCAGAAAATTAAGTCAAAATCAGTTAACAATAACAAGCTGAGAAGACTTGATGGGGCCTCAACTTAGGCAACCTCAGTCAGTTGGCGATGACTAGATGACAAGACTTGTTAGGGCCCCAGCTTAAAAATCTCCATACAAAATTTGGTTAACCTACAAAATGTAGGCTAAAGAAACGATATAAAAGTGTGAATAATTATTAAAACAAGCATTCTGAGAGTATTGCATGGCAATACATAGTCCCCTACCGGGTAAAAATTCGTTTTACTGGAACAAAATGCTAACTTGTTCTATAACTTGTCATGGTGTAAACAAAAAGTAAATATCATGTCAATATCTTCAAGCATGACTAAAAACAGTGTGGAAAACTGATTATATGAGTGAAAAAAACATTAGATATGTTTAATAGTTCTCTAAAATTAGATATGATGTAATACAGTGTATATCTATTTTCAAATTATAATCAAATATAATTAATAGTTCCAAATATTTTTTCTTTCATTTGTCACAAACTAATATCGATTTGTAACTTATCTATAAAATGTCAACAACATTTATCTACACAATGTAATGTATTGAAATATATACATTAATAAAAATAGATTATTATCTAAATAAAGGATTTCTCTTCATAAATTTTTCTTTATATATATATATAGCATTCAGAAAATTAGTTTATACTAAATAACAAACAAACCTGCTAAAAAATTCTTCAAATAATTTAACAATGAATGTCTTTTAAAAAATGAGTTATCTCCCTTTGTATAGAAATATGGTTTAACATAGTACTCTAACATTAGATATGGTCCAGAGTTATGGTCCATAACTCTGGACTAAATTATCAGACCGGAACAAAATTCAAACTTGATCTGTAACTTGTCATGATAAAACAGTATACCAAATATCAAATCAATATATATCTTCAAGCATAAAGAAAAAAAGTGTGGAAAGCTGATTTTCCGGACTGACAGAAGGACAGACAGACGGACAGACAGACAGACAGACAGACAGACAGACGGAGTGCACACCTAAAGTCCCCTTCGACTTCGTCACTTCGTCGGTAGGGGACTAATTAGAAATTTTCTCATGTTTCTAGGCCTTCAACTTTTTTTGTGTGTGTAAAACTTAATACTTACCACAGCTTGAATAAAACCATATGAATGAAACTGTTGATATAACTATATATATAAAGAAAAGTTTTCTCATACGGATCTGCACCATTCCAACATATCATAGGTTGAACACAGGTTTTCTCATCCAATATAAATGATGCTATACTTTATGTGGTATCCACTGAAAGTTAATCATACATTCAATTTTAAATTAAGTAAAATAAAGTTCTTTCGAATAGTTGTGTTACATATACAATATTCTGAAAACTGTGAAAGTACACCAATTATGGATTCGTACATCAAATAAGAAAAGACAAGATAGGTGGCATCTCTCAACAGGTTGGGATAATTCAATGTACATGTAACTATGATTTTGACTTTGAGGTTACTGGCCAAAACTCCAGCAGTTAGGAAATATTCTTAGAGTGACTACCCTGGACATCTTGACTAGAGTGGATGATTGCCCTTTTCACTGACCATTATTAGAGTGGATGATTGCCCTTTTCACTGACCATTACTAGAGTGGAAGAATGCCCTATTCACTGACCATTACTAGAGTGTATGATTGCCCTTTTCAATGAGCATTACTAGAGTGGATGACAGCCCTTTTGACTGACCATTAATACAGTGGAAGAATGCCCTATTCACTGACCATTACTAGAGTGCTTGATTGCCCTATTCACTGATCATTACTAGAGTGGATGATTGCCTTTTTGACTGACCATTACTAGAGTGGAAGAATGCCCTATTCACTGACCATTACTAGAGTGGATGATTGCCCTTTTCACTGACCATTACTAGAGTGGATGATTGCCCTTTTCACTGACCATTATTAGAGGAGATGATTGCCCTAATCACTGACCATTACTAGGGTGGATGATTGCCCTATTCATTGACCATTACTAGAGTGGATGATTGCCCTTTTATTTCACTGACCATTACTAGATTGAATGATTGCCCTTTTCACTTACCATTACTAGAGTGGATGATTGCCCTATTCACTGACCATTACTATTTACTAGAGAGGACAATTGCCCTTTTCACTGACTACTACAATGTACTAGAGTGGATGATTGCCCTATTCACTGACCATTACTAGAGTGGATGATTGCCCTTTTGTTTTGTATGAGATTAAAAGGCCCTTTCACGGTTATTGCAGCCATATTGAACAGGGGGACGATTTTCTTGAAGGAGGTGAAAATGATTCACTGAAACAGAACAGTTGCTTGGAAAAATGCATAGATTTTCCCTTACTTTCTTACTTTTTCCACCTCTATCCAAAAAATCTGCCCCCTATTCAATATGGCTGCAATAACCGTGAAGTGGCTTATTCATCATCCATTAGTCCATAAGTCTCTCATTTCGCAAAGAAGGATAAAAAATAAAGTAGCGATCGTGACTGCTTAAATAGCAGAGAAATTTTGTATTTCATTGTTGGACACATCAAATTAGTATGCAGGAAATAGACAAAAGTTATTTTCATTTTAAAGTTCTTAATGTTACATGTATATTGTAACGTTAATAATAATAATTATTATTCAACAAAAAATGTTTAAATAGTTTTTAAGTATTAATTGTTTTAATGTTCTTCGAGATAATACTACAGTTTAGTAGTGCCAAAGGCAAAAAATATAGTTCAATGGTTTGATGTTTCTAAGAAAAGTGTTCACTTCTACATGTATCTATTTAAGAATCATTTAACTAAAACAATATCAAGAATCAAATTTTATACAAACGCAGTTAGTGAAAAATTGATACATCAAAAGACAAGTCTGACAGCAGTGAACTTAAATACTGCAAACTTCTGTACTGTAACATCAGTAATGGGCAGAAATGAATTGATAAAAAAAAAATTGGACGAAAATATAAACATTTCAAGAATAAAAAATATTTTTCACCTGAAGCATGGCAGACATTGAAAGTTACTTTAACTTCAAAAAAGGATATTGCACAGTGGAACTGTTTTATACTTTAGTTTGCAAAACCACGTGCACATTGCTGCATCACTCATTTGAAATGGCTGCCTACAGTGGTTTCACCAAAAATGCATCGGACTAAAACATCCTTCTAAAAGCATATACTGGATGTGTAGAAGTTGCCATCAGTTTAAATAAAATTAAAAAAATGTATGCAATATTGTAGCATTGCAGTGTTTACGAATAAAAGTTTTCAAGTTTTATTTTAATACATACTACTAGTCCCAGCATATATTGAAGTGCATTAAAATAACAATAACGCAACATAGCCGTAGATACAAATATTATTGTTACGTTCGTAATTAATCGGTTCCTAATCCAACTTTGCATTCCTGCAATAAGATTCAAATATTTTACAATAACTTTTTTATTATTGCTACATTTCAACATAATCGTAGCCAGTGTTTAATTTTTATTAAAGATCGTTAACTTTTTTTTTTCTAACTTTTTTTATTTTCCCGCATCTGCGCAGAAATCTTTTCCGGTATCCTTTATCTCGGGATTTGAGTAAAATATTATGGGAAAGTGCCTTATAACATAAAGCAATTCAATAAAACTATCAATCAATATAAAAATCAACATACTATTGAAATCATAGCGTTTCTTTGTTTACATTGAAAATGACGTCACAACTAAAATCCCTAACAACAGGACCAACATCGGAAACGTTTCCGTATTTCTGATTCTTTTTTAACAGATTCTGAAGTTAAAATATGCTTGAATGATTTAAAAAATAATGTATACAGACTTTGTCCCCTTTCACAGGTAACGCCTGCCTCATATTAATTCAACCTGAATAAAAATAGGGTGCGAACGAACCCAGCGAGCGTGTGGGTTGCATACGTGTGGGGTGCAAACGTGTAGGATGCGAACGTGTATTGGGAGCGAACGGACCCGATACCATTTAGTGGTGTGCCTCCTACACACTACACAGTCATGAAAAAGTTATGATGCTCGGAAGATACGCATTTCGACAATAGGGCCGTCTTAAGTGAACTTACATTTAACCATCAGCAAATATATTGTGTCTTTTCGTTCCACATGTTGCAAATATTGAAGACGTTGAAGCAGAAATAGAGATGAGAGTTACAAAAATATAAAGCAATGTCAGGGGAATATAAGTAAGGGGAGGGAAACCAATGATAATATGCTGGGAAGATCTTATTCGAACCTGTTGGAACTTTACCATATCAATTGAGTAAATATCAGAGGTTATTGAAAAATAAATCGTATCTTGCCATTGGTTTAAAAACATTTACGTCAAAATGACAATAAGTTATAACATGAATATTGATATATTTGAACTCTATTATTCTAAAATTAAAAGGTCAATACAGTTATGTTTACTAACTAACGCGTATTAATTACAGCCATGCACATGTTTAAATAGGGATAATAGGCATATATGATTATAAAATGGCAACATTTAAAAAAAAAGACCTTAAATTTATATGTTTCTGTTGTGCACATATTTTTGTACAATATTAACGAATTGATGACAGGTAATTTGCATTCTAACTGCAATGCTCCTTTGAACGTGTCACCAGGGTGTTGTATTTCAACTGTTCGATAGTTCTTAACTTCTGTTACTCTAGAGTCAGTGATGATTATTTAATTTTTTTCGTCTTCATCTTTTATTGTTTTTTCTTCTATTAATAAAAGGATGCACTATTTATCTATTTACAACAAAAGCGGCTTGTTAGTATGTGCTTATTACAGCACCTTAGACAACAGAATATTTTATTCCAGTTTTCTTTATTTTTAGGACCACTCTGTATTTGTCAATATGAAATCATATACTTGTAATATGTACATAAAAAACATTATTGTGACTTTTATCATTAAAATATATTAAAGAGTTTATAGAAAAAATTCATAAGGGTTCCGCGGAACCCAGTGTCTCGCCTACTTTAAGTTTTGTTGTAATAGTGTTATAGTAGCAGGCTCAACAAAAATGGGGAAAATTATTGAATTTTTTCCTCTAGATACTATCTTTTTATTCTGTCCAACTGAACGGTGGTTAAAATCCAGGATGGTTTGAATCTAATAAATGTTTTAATAACTTTAACTGCTGACTGTATGTAATGTTAACTGGGAGAAAACTAAGTCCATGTATACATAAGTAATATACGGAAAAACAGAAAATAAATTTTTATAAAATTTCCTTCTAGAAACTAGCTTTTGATTATAAACAAGCTTCTATCCAAGTTTTAAAAACTTTTAACACACAGTGAATGTAATGTTTACTGGCAGAAAAATTAAGTCCATTAATAAGTAAATACGGATAAACAGGATTTTTTTTACAAAATTTCATTACTTCTGGATACTATCTTATGATCATAAACAAGCTTCCTTCAAAGTTTGGTAGAAATCGATGATAGTTTTAGAAAGTTATTAAAATTTTAAAAACTGTAACCACAGAGTGAATATTTGTGGACGCCGCAATGTAGGATCGCTATGTCTCGCTTTTGCGACAAAAGTCGCAGTCTTGACAAAAAGAAGATGTGGAATGATTGCCAATGAGACAACTCTCCAGAAGAGACCAAAGACACAGAAATTAACAACTATAGGTCACTGTACGGCATTCAACAATGAGCAAAGCCGTAAATACATATATAGTCAGCTATAAATGGCCCCGAAATGACAAATGCAAAACGAGAAAACTAACGGTCTAATTTATGTACAAAATAATGAACGAAAAACAAATATGTAACACAGCAACCAACGAAAACCACTGAATTACAGGCTCCTGACTTGGGACAGGCTCATACAGAATGAGGGGTTAAACATGTGAGCAGGGCTTTGGTAGAATATTCCAATATAAGAACAAACCATAAAAATCAGATGGAATCAAATAGAAATACATCTAACAAAAATCAGACTGTACTATCTATTATCCTTTCATTTATTTAATTAACAGGATAGATCCACCCTTTGACCACAACCTGTGATATTTTAATTCCAGGCGAGGATCCAGTCATTTTGAAAGGGGATTCCGACTCCAGGAACACTCCCTGGATCTGCCGATGATTTCACGGGTTTCATTGTGTTTAGGTGGTTTTTTTTTCAATTTGAGGAAATAGGCAGTAGAATTATTTGTAGGTTTTCTTAGCGTGGATTTCAATTGAGTAATCTCAGCAGGCAGATGCATGTCATGCCGAAGTCACATTAGACCACGATCGCATCACGCTCACCGCGATCTAAAATAAATTCAGATCGTGGTGAGGTCGCGATAAGAGCGGCTTGAAATGTAGATTTTCGTTGTTTTCGCGATGCTACTACGTCCTCGTTACGCTTCTACAACGATCTGATACGATTATACCACGTTCTCACCACGCTTATTCTGCGACCTCACTACGATTATTTCGATCTCACTACTCTTTATCACGTTCTCATAACGACCATATCACGATTTATCAGATCGCCACACGATATTACCACGCTTCTTCTGCGATTATAGCACGCTCTTACCACGATCATTCTACGATCTTACCACGTTCATACCGCGATCTAACTACGCCCTCAGCAATAACGTCAACATCATGATCCATATCTACCAGAACTCGTGGGCGTGGTGGTGGGGGGAAATGTAGTCAGAGGGGCCTCTGGTACGAATCCTGATCCAGTACAGATGTCGGAACAAGCAATCCAACCTGAATCACAACGTATTGCTGATCTATCCAGATCAACTGACGATATTTTATTGAACAAAAGTGGGAATGATACCCACGGGAAATGATACAGATGTGTAAAGCATGGTTGAGCTGTTGGATATTAGGGTCATGAGGTCCAAATTACATACAGACAAACAAAACACGGAGAGCTTTTATATATTTTATGTGACAATGACAATGAGCATGGCTAGAACTCGAAATGGTCGTAGTATGAACGTAGTCGGGTCGTAAGACGGTCGTGATGAGGACGGCATGAGCAGTGGCGGACCCAGAAATTTTCATAAGGGGGGCCCACTGACTGCCTAAGAGGGGGCCCGCTCCAGTCATGCTTCAGTGATTGCCTATATAACGGGCAACCAAATTTTTCCCACAAAAGGGGGGCCGGGCCCCCTGGTAAACCCTCTAAATCCGCCTCTGATGAGCGTGCTAGAATCGTACTCAGGGGCGGATCCAGCCATTTTAAAAAGAGGGGGGGTTCCAACCATATGTCCCTATTCAAATGCATTGATCGTCCAAAAAAAGGGGGATTCCAACCCCAGGAACCCACGTCTGGATCAGCCAATGGTATTATGGTTTTGATCAGCGTAGTATAGAGGTGGTATAGTCGTAGTAGAAGCGTTGTTTGGTCGCGGGGAGAACGTGATGGTCGTAGTGAGGTCGTAATAACGTCGCTGTGAGATCGTAGCGCAATCTCTCGGGCTAGATTCGCGTTTACGCTTCGCTCTCGCTACGATGGTACAGCGACCTTTGCGATCTTACCACGACCTTACTGCGCTCTCGCAACGCTTCTACTACGACCTGATTTCGGCACTACCGCACCACGATTGTTTTGAACATGTTCAAAGTTGGCCACGCTCATCACGATCATGAAGACCTCATCAAGACCTTACAGCGATCTTCACGATCGCACTACGATCGTCAAAATTTGCATTTTTTCAGAGATCGTAGTGCGATCGTGGCCTAGTGTGACTGCGACATAATGAGCACTATTAACACTTAAAACAATAAGTCAAAAACTCAAATACAAACTGTATGTACATAGTTTGAAAAACTGGATTCCCCACTTTACTTTATTTCGTGTCATTCTTTTTTTTATATTTTTGTTCCAAGATCAGAATTCAATCCCTCAAAACAACCAGCTAACTACTTTTTCATGTATTATGTCTCTGCTTGAACATAACATATTGTGATTAAAAGCACCGAAAACAAATTTTCAAAAGTGTTGGACAGACTGAATATTCCTGGATTATTTGATTCCATTTTATTTGTTCTTGAAAACTGGGACCATTTGTATTAAACCTAGTTGAAAATAATCCAAGTCAATATCCTATTGAGTTCTAATTCTAATTTTCATTGCCTTTCCTGGCTATTTTGAATTCTCTGTTGACCCAAAATAGTACCTATTGTGAATATGACTGTAATTGGCTGTTATGTTTAGTTTCAGTGAGTTGGCTGGTTTAAGAGGAAGCCTTGATGGTTGGTTATCTTGTCGGAATTATTTTACACTTTGTAATCTTTGTCTCTTTCATAGATTGCTACACAATGCCATACATAACAGTTTCTGTTACCTGTATTTTCTAACACTTTCTTTGGTCTCTGGTGGAAAGTTGTCGCATTGGCGATCATACCACATCTCCCTATTTTATATTGATACAGATCCAAGAAAATAGAAGCTACAAGTATCATTCTATTAAACATACAAAATTTCTGAGAAAGGCAATTCTGTACTTTTGGATATTTGTTTTTTTTTAATTCTAGACAATTTTAGTCAACTTGAACTTTCACATAGACAGTTAATTTATATGTGAGCCTGTCTGTTTTATTTAAATGGTTGACAATATATCATTTATCCATTTCATATCCTTGTGACATTAAAATATTCTGAGCATACATGTAACATGACATGGGAAGAAAGATAGTCACACATACCAAATAGTTCTTATATTTGGGATATTACATATGACTGTAAATACTAATATATATGTTAGTATTTTCATGATAACAGGTCTAATAACCACTTGACTTGGTTAAAAAATTCTTGGATTCTATGAAAAGGAATGCTTTTCCTTTTATATGCAGCTTGAAAATGTTGAGTTGATGCCTATTAGCAATTTAAAGATCTGCCATGTCTGCTGTGCAGCTACATCTTGTTTCCTGGTATTTCAGAATTAATTCCATGCAGCCACAAAGGTCCAGACCTGGTATTTTCAACATCTTTTCTTGTACATGTAGCTCATTTTTACCTGAAAAAGAGAAGAGTCATATAGATATTTTGATAATATAAATAAAGAATAAACAAAATTGGCATGTAATTATATAAAGATCAGTGGCAGATCCATAAATTTTCATAAGAGGGAACCAAGTCATGTTTCAGTGATTCTCTATATAATCAACCAAATTTTTCCAAAAAAATGGTTGGCAGCCTGCTGCCCCCTTTCTAAATCCACCTCTGAAGATAAAATTGTCTTATTGTTACTGCTGATTCATTCAATTGTGTATACAACAGAGGAAAACAGTCCAATAAAATTATATTTTCTAGAAGTATGTTAGATGACTAATGTACTATTAACAAACAAGTCCATTTGCCTTGCTTATATACTCAAATGACATATAACTGAAATATAGAACTCTTATAAATGTTTGTACATTCACTGATAAGCTGATATGTCATTTCTAATAATTATATCATACATGTATATGTACTTACACCTTAAATTCAAACAGTCTCTGTATGTACATGTATCTCTTTCTTTCCATTTCACATACCTCTGCAATCAGAACAGCATCTGCAACAACCAAAATTTAAAAATGTGAAGAAAAAAAATTGAAATTTTCAAAGTGCAATAATATCAAAACAGCAAAGATAATGAATATTAGAGATTAGCCATTTTGCACATATACATGTACCAAGGGGAAACTCCTTTCAAAGCTATATTTTATTTATTGTTTCATTGCATTAAATAGAAAATAGGGATAATGTGGTGCAAAAAGCATATAAGATTTTTGAAGAAAATTCACAGACTTTATACAGAGATTTTCGTTATAAAATTTATAACATAGATTGCTCACTTGTTTGTCCATGATGTGCTAGCGTTTGTTATTTACAAAAAGGCCTAAACAACCTTTACATTCTAAAAAACCTTGTGCCGAGTCACTAAAGTCGAGTGCACCCTAGAAGGTGTACTTGAATTGGTCCATATTTATATTTGTCATAACCAATATTTTTATTTATAATCTTGTCCTAAGGAAATCATTGCTAGCACTGCATGCAATAATGCTCTATCTATCAAGCATAGAATGGTCAAACATTAGAGTACAAGGGAACGGCTGGATTTTCTTTAAAATTTCCATGTTTAGCATTGAAACAACAAAAGGTACAAAAATACTACATAATCCTTTAAGAGCTCTAATTAAGAGCTCATGTTCCTTGTTATTGATATTTATATATGCAACCGACTTAAAATAAAGATTACTTTGCTATACTTTACTTAAATGACTATGAGACAAACTTTTCATATAATCAGACATATTGTCTCATTGGCACTCATACCCCATCTTCTTATATCTATATACAAACTGTATATTATTTCAAACAAAGCTGTCCAGTCTTTTGTTTTTTTTATGGTCATGATCATGGATTAAAAATATATGAGTAAATATACTTAAAAGTTTATAGGCGGATCCAGAGGGGGGGCCTTGGGTCAGTCAGTGGGCCCCCCTTATAAAAAGTTCTGGATTCGAAACTGAAAATCACTTTGGTTGCCTTTATGAAAGGAGCAATAATGCTTACCATGTGCAAAGATTTAATATTGACCTGACAATTAAACAATGACTGAGAGTATACAACAGTACAACATGGTACATTTTTGTAAAAAATATACATGACTATATCAAGCAATGACAATGTAAATTATATAATAAAATCTAGGGTATTATTCACTTACATTCTGCCAACACTTAAAGTAGGAACTATTTCTGTGTTTCGTCATGACTGTGAGGTAAACAATTTGTGAGGTGGTGTTTGATTAGCATATCAATAGAACAACAACAATGTCAACATGCAACTGCAAACTCGTTATTTTGTTGATTGATTTTATTTTTGTCAATCAATATCGAGTAGTAGAACTTTATACACCATTTGTTATGGATAATATGTCAAAAATAGAATAGTTTATCTTTTTATTTCATTTTCTTGAAAAAAGTTGAAATCGCAAGTATCTTGCGATTTCGTTTCAATAATTTTCAATAGCACAACTTTTTGGTCGTCTGGTTACAATAGTTTTTACAGTGCGATTATTATTGTCATATAGATAGATCGCATGATCATATTATGAAATATTATGTGGCAGACTTACGTGTCATTCTGATATATACGATCCGCTAAATCAACCTTTTTGTAAACACAAAACTCGGTCTTCCCCGCATAAACATGGCGGTTGCATTATAGTAAGGAGTTGTTTCCCCTTACTGGCAATGTTTTCCTCTCCGATTTGAGTAATCAATGTAATTTTGATTATTTACAAAATATTCATATCTGAAGCATTTAAAACGTGTCAGTGATTGCATCCCATGAAAGTAAAATCTAGGACAAACGAGGAAATAACACAAATGATTTCCGTAAAATCAAGGAATTGTATATTTAAATATACAATTCCTTGGTAAAATACAACAAGGCGGTCATAAAGCGCAGTATTTGCATTCTGGGACTAGTTTAATAGTCTCAGTTGCAATTTCTGAAACCAATTCAACCTTACGATATGTTCTAATGTCCAAAAAATGAAAACAACGCGTTATCATAGACATATAATACATGTACATGTATTATATGTGTCTGACGTTATTAACGTTAATCCAACAGATTATTATTCATGAAAAGTATAGAAGCACATTGATCCACATTGTTCCGATTTCTTCCATTTATACTGAGACTCAGTGACTTTAACCAAGGCCTTTCTATCTAGTATAGAAAGTCTCTGCTTTAACACAGTAATCTCAGATTTATCAAATATTGATATTTAAGTGCCAATCTGCGCCGCTAAGAATCCGGCAGTGGTGAAAACATGACAAACAAAAACTCACTCAAGTTTACATTAAGTTATGTTCAAATTGTATAATGGTGCACGAATATAACATTCGTTTCCTTTTCCTGTTCTGGTATTTTAAGATATAATTTGGTTGAAATGCACTAGAAATTAACAATTAAGGGGAGCTAACTCCGTGATTCGCTATCATTCTAACCAAAAGTTATCTAGAGACTTCTCGAATTACCAGACACGCAGAAACAAAAGACCGACCATGTCTTACCCAGGATGAAGGTAACTTCAAAATAGGATGGTTAGGTCGGTGGGTTTTTTTCGGTCATGTTTTGAAATTTTTCTAAATTGCCTGATTTTTACCGCCAAAGACTGGCACTTTAAAAAAACTCATGGCTCCAAGGATATAAATCCTTGGCTGATCAGTTACAAAGACATAAGCCATAAAGACAAAAGAGATGATTTCAGCTTCCTAATTGTGAACATTCCATTTCTATGTAGCAACATTTCAGCAGCGTCTGCATACGGAGCATATATCTCCAAGTTGATACGGTTTATTCCTTGAATGCCTACACCTTTTGATCTGCCGACAAAATACAGGTAAAAAAATGTAGGCATTCAAGGAATAGTGTCTTATTAAAATTAAGTGTAGTCAAAACAAACAGTAATTATAATTTGTGCAGGTAAGCTGAGTTTCCCAATTAAAATTGCAGGTAATATTTTTATTTTCCCGTTTGTTTGCAATAAATTAATATTTTGTATTTTTTTCTGTATGTTTGAAATGATTTTTTTTAAGGAATAATAAAAACACTCTTCTTTGACAGCTCAGTAAATGTAAACGAAAGATAACTAAAATAAGGAATATATATTTATTCGTGTTCAATTGATCAAGAATATAGATAATATTCAAGGTAAGAAAAAAGCACATAAATATCAAAAGCACTTGTCACAATCAAAAATAAATTAAGCATACATGTCTTTGAAATTTACAACATGAATAGTCACATAGTGCCATCGCAAATATACACCATATTGTCAATTTTGACGCGTGAAATGAAGGAGGTATGAAACATCATCTACAAACTGAACTGTCGAAATCTCTACGTTCTGGTGTCGGATCTTTAGGTTGAAGAGTCTATCTTTAATTTTCCTGTGTTTTCTCTTATTGGTTTGCTCATACATGAAATATTTCTATGAATAATACTTTTAATTTTATATGATTTTTATTTATAAATGTACTTTTTTATTCTTAGATGCATGATTTTTTTTAATTATTTGTTATTGGCTTTGAACTAGCTGTCAGTAACTGCGAGTACTCTCAGATCTGTACTTAGCATCTTTTTGTTGTTGGGATGTATAAGTACCCTGCCACGTCCACTCTGTGTTTTTGTTAGATATGTTTCTGCTTTGTGTCCATCTGATGAGTTAAGCCCTTTTCAACTGATTTTTATAGTTTGTTCTTATGTTGTACTGTTACACCACTGTTCCAGGTTAGGGGAGGGTTGGCGCCTTCACACTAGTTTAACCCCGCCACATTCTGTATGTGCCTGTCCCAAGTCAGGAGCCTGTTATTCAGTGGTTTTCGTTTGGTGCTGTATATCATATTATTTTTTCGTTCATTATTTTGTACATAAATCAGGCCGTTAGTTTTCTTGTTTGAATTGTTTTACATTTGTCATTTCTGGGCCTTTTATAGCTGACTATGTGGTGTGGGTTTTATTCATTGTTGAAGGCCGTACTGTGACCTATAGTTATTAATTTCTGTGTCATTTGGTCTCTTGTGGAGAGTTGTCTCATTGGCAATCATACCACATCTGATTTTTATATTTAAACAGTCGTTCTTTCATTTGTTTTAATTTTAATTTCTTACTTTGAATTTTAATACTATTTTTCTTATTATAAATTTTTAACTAAAAAATTGATATTATTATTCCATTTCATTTAAATTAAATTTTTATTTAAAAAAAATGAAATTTTTAAGGTGACAAATAAATTTTACCTTTAAACTACTCTTTTCCTAACTATTAAATTTTGTTCTAAAACAACACCAATTTATTAAAACAACATCTGTTCAATTTTTTTTTGTAGGCATTCGAGGAATAGATTTTGTATAAAATGTAGGCATTCCAGGAAGACACCGTTGATACGATATTCCAGGGCGTGTATTTCCTATCATCATGTCCTTGATAGAGGGTTGCTGCTCACTAGGAAGCTTTTAAACAAAGAGTTCCAATTGGTGAAGTTGAAATCATCCCTTCGTAAATTTTACAGACGCCATCACGAGTTGGTTGACCGTTACAAAGTATGACAAAATAGAGGTAATAAAACATGCAATCAGGGAAAATGCTGAACCATTTTTTTCCCTTAGTTGCTTGAATTTTTTACCTAAGCTTGGAATCATTAGTTTTTCTAATAACTTAACATAACCCCTCACTTTATGGAAATATTTTTTACCACATGCTTCTTTCTTATTTCTTTAGCAGCTAATTGTGTGTAGTATAATAGTTTTAAAAACAATGTATTTTGTTTTTAAACTTAAAACAAATCTTAATGTGATGATTGGCAATTTCGCCCTAGCAATATCCATGATTTCTAGATGATTCTAAGAAAACAATTGGGAATATTTCGATTAAATAGTGATCTAACAAAACAGACATACATTCTGTAGAATTTTCTCCCATTTGTTTCTCCTCACATGTTTAATTCCTGAAACTTGACAGGTGCCCTCATGCAAATGATTATTTATAATTTCCAAGATTTTTTTCATATTTACACATTTTACTACCGCATACAGATAAATTATTGGATATCATGCATCAGAAACACTGTTTCCCTTACTAAAATTGATCGAAATACGTATATATGCTCGTTTCTGATCAGCCGTCCCTTGAAGGAGTTATCGTTCGAGTTATCTCCCTTTGGTCGGTCGCCAGTTTTGGACCTGTTAAATTGACACCCGGATTGACACACGGTCGGTTTACCGTGCTGGCGAGTTTTAATAACAATAGGCATTTCATGTTCATAATATCAGGAGGTATCATCCCTTTTAAGGAAAACACGTTACCATTCCGTGTGTCATTTCAACTTCGCATTTATTTACTGACAAGACGGTAGTGTCATTGCGGCGGCATGTTTTTCAACTTTGTCAATCAAATTATCAAGGAAATTCTACATTTTCATTCTTAAAAGAATAACGTAGTGAAAGTTTGAAACCGTCCGTATAAAATGATATATTTGGTTAATATTGGGAGAAACTTAAAATCTATTTACGCTGACGTTTTCTTGGCGCCATTGCCGTTGCAAAAAATGTCATTTTTTTAATCGAAAATCACGTGACCTTGATTATAAAATCGACGCTATTATGATGTTTGCTGTCTGGCTGTTATGGTATATTCGTTTCACAGGTTACAACGGATATGTTCCAATTGTCGTAACTTCAATCTCGTCCCTTTTTCCCCGAATGTTACTTATCGAATTAGACTTACACCGGGTTTGTTCTAACACGAGCAACACGACGGGTGCCACATGTAGAGCAGGATCTGCTTACCCTTCCGGAGGACATGAGATCACCCGGCCCCAGTTATTGGTGGGGTTCGTGTTGCTCAGTCCTTAGTTTTCTATCTTGTGTTTTGTGTATTGTTGTTTGTATGTTGGTCTTTTTCCTTTTTAGCCATGGCGTTGTCAGTTTATTTTCGACTTGAGTTTGAATGTTCCCTTGGTATCTTTCGCCTCTCTTATATAATATATATTTTTTGGATTTCAGGTCTACGAGCCAAAGTTATATGCAAAATTTTACCAAAATCTGAGACATAGCCCATTTAGTGTTCCTTGACCCTTAAATAAGTACGGATGATTATGCAGTATAAAACAATTATGTTGATTATGTTTTTTATTACAAGTTTTCAAGATTATTGTGTATGCATAATTATAATAAAAACATATATAACAGAATTTAGTACCATCAACAATAATCAGCAGTAATTAACATTTCTTCAATTGACTATGATCTTAACATTTTTTAATTAAATATAGTTCTTTTCGTTTAAATTAGGGAGTTTAATATGGTTATACTATTGATATGTTTAAGACTGGTTAGAGCAGCTTTAAAACGGGTTCTGGTTATTTTGGATTTATTTATGTGTGTAATATATATGCACGTGAAATATTTTGGCGGTTTACATGGTGGGTGCCGTTATATATTACTATGTAAAGAAATTGTTGAGCTGTCAGTTCATCGAAGGTGCTCACGGATTGATTATTCATTTTCACATTTCGCTATGCATGCTTACTTTTTTAAATGTGCTTTTGCTACAATAGTCTTCCGAACCATTTCAGGACGGAGAACAGTTTTTCACAGTTCAAGAGTGCTGGAATGGCTCGGAATGTTGCTGTTATGCATATAGATAAGCTTTCATTTTGTTTCACTGTGCTTATTTTACATTACTTTATACAAATAAGGATATTTGGTATGATTGCCAATGAGAACTATCCACCAGAGTTCAAATGAAGTGGATGTAAGCAATTTGAGGAAACCGTATATACGGCTTTCGACAATGAGAAAACTCCATACCGTATAGTCGGCTATAAAAGGCCCCAACATGAAAAATATGAAACAATTCAACTGAGAAAACTTACGGCCTAATTTATTACAAAACAATTTACGAAGAACAAATATGACAGACATGAAACAACGAAAACCACTGAACTGCAGGCTCCGGACTTGGGGACAGGCACATAAAGAATGTGGCGGGGTTAGAGAAAATTATGACCTTGTGCAATGCCAAAATAATTATATAGGTATATTTGCTCTTTTATAGTTATGCTAGCATGTATAAATTGCTTTATAATGCTTGTCCTGTGCTTACTTCTATGTGTGCTTACCTTTTTAAAGTTTGCTTGCTTGATTGTGCTTTTGATGTTGTTGTATATGTCTGTATGTATTCAGTTAAAAGCTCTATATAGCTTATGTTTTGTAGTTTGTAATTATATCGAATAAAAATAAAGCTTACGTATTCATATTATAGCTATATGTTCCAGACCATATGAGTTTTTGGACCATGCCGGTATTTTTACATAAAAGTCATGACCATACGCGTATGGTCCAAATATTCACATGCTCCCTTACACATATATATATATCTTTATACCGATAAACCTAAATGTCAATACGATGGAATACATGAGTTAATGTTATAAATTGCAGATATATAAATAAACAGAATATGTACACTATTTACAAGCACAATTGAATTAAATGATTCATGCACATATACATATAACAATAATAGAAAACGTATTTGGTTTCATAAAATTAAAAAAGAACGGTATTTATATATTTTTTCCCCTTTTGGTACATGGTGTCACCCAAATATGTCTCAACATGGTGACTGATACTTGATGAACTGTTACCAAGTTATCATTTGTATAAATACAAGGATCAAACTTATGTTCATCCATAAAACCATTCAGAGGATGTAATCTAAATCCAAGTTGTCTAATACACAGAGAAACATACACATCTTCCAGATGAAAGAACGGAACGTTAACTGATATATTAACAATTTTTGTGACGACGTTCAAGCTGGTAACGTACCCAGTACCGGAACAAAACCCTGGATATGCTCTCTGTGGATAACTCCGAATAGAAGCATACCATTTAGATCTTCTATCTCTATTAGGTTTTCCTGTAGTAAAACAGCGCCCACCAACAGCAGATTGTAAAGTATGTGTATTTTTCTTGATTGCTCGGATTAAACTAGGAATATTCACATACATATCGTCGTCCGTCTTCATGACAAACTTGGCGTTTTTACAATGCTTCACTGTCCACTGAAAACCCATCAATGTTTTCAACGTCAGATTATTATACGTGTCCTTAAAATTCCCCAACACGATATCCTTTGTTAAATAATTTTCTTTCTCTATTTCCTTAAATCTTGCCGATTCTCCGAGAAGAAAAGCGTATCTTATATTTCCTTTATTCTTTTCTGAAAATGTCAACCAAGTCTCTCTTACCGCGTTTCGTGCTAAAATATTTTGCGGAGAAGAAGTTATAAGAATCAATATTTCGACAGAGCCATTAACACTTTTACATATGTTTTCATTGTTTATTAAAAACTGAAAAGTTCGAGAAAAGCATTCATCACAATTTTGTGGTCTTTCATTTGGTATCGCCTTGACAGTTTTTTCTTTTGGTATCGCTTTGACAGTTCTTTGTGTATAAGCGTGTTGAAGACTTTTAGAGATATTTAATTTTTCGATGATATCTTTTGTGTCACTAACAACTTCATTTATAGAATCGTGTAATTTTATCGTTGTCAAATACAGCGTTATAGATTGGACGTTTGTAAACCAGAATATCGGAAATATAATACTAAATAATACAACAGCTTGAAACAGACGCAACACCACCTCTCGGGTGTTGTCTCCTTTTACTACTCCCACCATGGAGTCAAGTTTCTTTGCCAAAAAAAAAAATCTTCACATCAATCTGAAATAGAATAAAAATCTTAATCCATGTTGTAGTTGTAAATTAACAGTGCTTTTTTGGTCAAAATACCAATTGCATATATTTTAATACAACAAATGGAAGTTTTTAACGACCTTGACTGGCTATACAGCCCTTGCACGGTCGGTATTATTTTAATAGGCGTAACCGGGAGACTGATTACTGGAATGAAGATGATAACGAGATGCACCACGATCGGTTGCAGAGGTTGGCGATGCCAACGACTGACGATATATAGACCTAGTCACATGCCTGAGAACGCTCGATTTAACTCCACTGGTAGAATTAGACACGAGCTTAAGTTCATAGTTGTAGTTAACAATTAAACAATCAAACATGGGAAAAATTCAGACAGCAAATTTTGTAAATTAAGGGACAGTAGTTTATCGATGTTCAAATTTTAAAAATCAATCAAGTTAAGGTGGAAATATATGTAAATATATTTTATAGAACGCTGTTTTTGAGTTACAAAAAATGCTGATTTTTTGGAATACTGTAAAACCTTTCTATTCAAAAAGAAAAAAAAATCAAATCTGTTGGTAAAAAAGTATTTTATACGAAGAAAAGAAAATGAGAAAATGGGATTTTATATATAATGTCTCACCTATCAGCATAAAATTCAGAAAAAGAATGTGCATATGTGTATAACAATAATATTTAGTATGCTTTTAATTTACTGATAATAAATCAATATTTATACCAATGAAAACAATATTCAAAGATCTAAGGTTTCAAGTAGTTTGTGGTAAAGAAATCCTTGACTTAATAATTCACCAGTAACACATGATATACTACGCTCATTGAAATCCAAAACGTCACTACAGACATGGGCATAGCGAACGAGATGGGATATATACACACGGTAAGACGGAGCCAAAGGAACATCACTGTTCGGAAAAGGAAAATTAACAATAGGGAAAGAACAAGAGTGCACACACTGAAATGTCTCGCCTTCTTTACTAACCATTGATATTATGTTGATAGTCCTAAATATAAAGCTTTACTACAACTATCAACCTTACAATCATTCAATACACTAAATATAGTTGACCTATTGCTTATAGTTTCTAAGAAACAGACTTAACCAAGAAAACTAAACATTGATCAATGAACCATGAAAATGAGGTCAAGGTCAGATGAACCATTCCAGGCAGACAAGTACACCTTACAATCAACCTATGCATTAAATATAGTTGACCTATTTTGCTTATAGTATCTAAGAAACAAACTTAACCATGAACTCTTAACATTGACCAATGAACCAACAAAATGAGGTCAAGGTCAGATGATACCTGCCAGACAGACATATACAGCTTACAATCCTTCTATACAAAAAAATATTGCTTATAGTTTAAGAAAAACAGACCAAAACACAAAAACTTAACACTGAGCAATGAACCGTGAAAATGAGGTCAAGGTCAAATAAAGCCTGCGAGACTGACATGTGCATCATAAAATATTTCCATACACCAAATATAGTTGACCTATTGCATACAGTATTAGAAAAAAAGATCCAAACTCAAAAACTTAACTTTGACCACTGAACCATGAAAATGAGGTCAAGGTCAGATGACACCTGCCAGTTGGACATGTACACCTTACAATCATTCCATACACCAAATATAGTAGACCTATTGCGTACAGTATAAGAAAAACAGACCAAAACACAAAAACTTAACTATAACCACTGAACCATGAAAATGAGGTCAAGGTCAAATGACACCTGCCAGTTGGACATGTACACCTTACAATCCTTCCATACACCAAATATACTAGACCTATTGATTATAGTATCTGAGATATGGACTTGACCACGAAAACTTAACCTTGTTCACTGATCCATGAAATGAGGTCGAGGTCAAGTGAAAACTGTATGACGGGCACGAGGACATTGCAAGATACGCACATACCAAATATAGTTATCCTATTACTCATAATAAGAGAGAAATTAACATTACAAAAAATAATTGATTTATTTAAAGTAAGTGCCTTTGGGTAAATTTCGGCAGTATATTTAAGTATAGAAAAGTCTGTTATGTGAAGGTTTTACTACAAGTATCACATAAATTTAACATTATCAATGTTCTATGAAAATGAGGTCACGGTCAGGCAAACCTTCCAAGACAGACATGTACACCTAACAGTCATTCTATACACCAAATATAGTGGTCCTATCACTTATAGTACAGGTGAAACAGATCAAACCACAAAATCTTAACATTGACCAATGAACCATGAAAATGAGGTCACGGTAAAATGAACCCTGCCAGACAGACATGTAAGCCTTACAATCATTCCATACACCATATAATGGTTGACATATTGCTTATAGTATCTGATAAACTAACAAAACCACGAAATAAAATTGAGAATGGAAACGGGGAATGTGTCAAAGAGACAACACCCGACCAAAGAGCAGAAAACAGCCCAAGGCCACCATTAGGTCTTTTAACACAACGAGAAAATCCCGCACCCGGAGGCGGGCTTCAGCTGGCCCCTAAACAAAAATGTATACTACTTTTTATACATTGCGACTTGGATGGAGAGTTGTCTCATTGGCACTCATACCACATCTTCTTATTTACAGTTCATCGAAAATGGACGTCACACTAAACTCTGATCATATAAATGAACCAAAATTAAAAAAAAAAAACATACAAGACTAACAAAGGCTAGAGGTTCTTGATTTGGGATAGGCGCAAAAATGCGGCGGGGTTAAACATGTTTTATGAGATCGCAACCCTCCCCCTATTCCTCTAGCCAGTGTAGAATAAACAAACACACAACAAAACGCACAGTAAAACTCAGTTTAAAAGAATTCTGAGTCCGATGTTAGAATAGGTAACAGAAGAAACTAAGCAAAATGACAACGATCAACATAAATTAACAAAGGACTACTAGCAGTTACTGACATGCCAGCTCCAGACCTCAATTAAACTGATTGAGATAAGTATCTGATAAACTGAAAAAACCATAAAACTTATCATTGATCAATGAACAATGAAAATGAGGTCAAGGTCATATGAAACCTGCCAGACAGACATGTACACCTTACATTCATTCCATACACCAAATATAATTGACCTTTTGCTTTAGGTATCGGAGAAATAGAACAAAGCTAAAAAATTAAACATTGTCCAATGAACCATGAAATTGAGGGCAAGGCTAAATAAAACCTGCCGTCTGAATATGTACACCTTACAATCATTCCATACAGCAAATATAGAAAATATATATAAAAAGGTAACGCCGTCGCAGCCACTGGATTGTAATCTCTATTTCTCGCATTCTGTGACTTTCGTCTTAGACGTGGTAAAAACATGTGTCGAATACTAAAATATCAATCAGAGTATACACCCAAAATTCAATGGATTTAGTGTAAAGACGTCATTAACAGTCACAGAAAAACATGACCTTGTGCAATGCCAAAAAGTTTTACAACAGCAAACGTGGACAATATTGACACCAACAAGAGTTCAACTACGGCTAAAGAATCGTTACATAGTACGAAAATTTCAATATTTCAGCATTTCTTTAGTCTAACTTGACAATTTCGTCATAAACAAATGCTTTGAAATATATGCATTTCCCTTATATTCTCTGGTACTTTAACCAATATATTATGCGCCAGTACAAATGTTCGTACTATTGCTATAACTGAGTATATAATTATATTACTATAGAATAAAATATATCCTTAACACTAACCAAATATAACCATGCAAACATATTTTAGCATAACAAAGAGTAGTTTTATTTTAGGTATTGAGAACCTTATGTGATTGGTTAGAAAACAGTAATTAAACAAGTGTTAAATCAAGGAAACATAGTACTTCATGAACAGCAGATTCTTTTTAGAGGCTCTCATGCATCAAGAACAAGACATTTCCATGAGGTTACAGTATGATTACTTCTCATTCTTATACAAAGATCCTGACTAGATTTTTACTGAGGAACAAGATCCTGGTGAGAACTATGTAATATTCAAAGAATGGAGTAATAAGGGGAAATTGAGTCCACTTAACCACAACTGGTCTGTAACATTAAAGAATGAACTGGACATTTTTTGATGTGAGATCATTAAGAGAATGTCCCTTCTGGGTGTATATAGGTTTCATTATACTGCTTATTCAATGGTTCTTTGTATTTTTCCATCCTAGTTATGGCCTCTTGTATCTTTGTGCAATATTACGCGACTTAACTATACAGTTACAGTGTTGCAAACGTAATTTGAAAATGGTAAATGTAGATCAAGCCCATGAGTAGAAGGCCGTGGGGCAATCGGATTGACCGTTGATATCGCACAAATACAGCATTTAAATATGGTGTCTTGTCCAGAAATGGCCAAAGTTATTAACAAGTTACAATCCACCTTAAAAGCATGTGAAAGCTTTAGGTGGGGGAATTTTTCGGCCTTTTATCCGGAGTGCTACTTTGAGTGAATGTGGATGACATATACCCTATTGGGCATTTATCACAAAGGTATCAGCATTTTGTAATGAGCTAATAAAATGTAGTTGAAAGATATAAAACGGTAGATAAAAATATGCGAAAAACGATGACTATATGTACAGCGCTGTTTAAAATGTGGTGGGGAGTTGTGCAAAGACTAAATGAGCTGTCCTTAATAAAATTTTGAAAATTGCTGTGAAAATATGTTGTTGTTTAGATGATAAAAAAGATGGGGAAGATACTTAAGCACCCAAAAATCATTACATAAACAAGCATGGATTAAAAAACGCAAAAAGACTAACAGCAGACAAGACATCTCTAGACAAAAATCTAAAGATTGAGCAACACCAACCCCACATAAAACCGGGAATGATCCCAGGTGCTCAAGAAGGATCAGCTGTTCCACAAGTGATACCTGCCTAGGTGCTATTGTTTAAATAGCTTGATGAGTCATATCCAGTAATATATCATATTATTGGGCATTTATAAATGTCTCTTTTCTAACCCTTAGAATCACAAAATTTAAAATCTGTAAAACCATTACTAGTATGTAAAATTTGACCAAATGTGAACGTTTGAAATGAAATAAGTGTTCCATACCTGTATGATGGATAAACAAGAATTTCGCTGTTTGACAGCACACACATTGAAAATGAAGAGCAAATAACACAACATTGACAGCATAAACAACACGAGTCCCTTTTCATCAAAACTAGGGGTCAACGCAGGTATTCCAGAAAGGTGTGTAGTTTCTGGCCAACTGGTAGCATGCGTGGTGTTACTCATTGCAAGTAGAAAATCGGCGATGAGTCGTATTTTTTTATCATCTTGATCCACAACCGAGGAAAAAGAAAGGTTTGTGGCAAGGAGAATGGAACATATCCATTATCATTTGTGACTCAGATGCCCCGGTACTTTCATGACGGTCAAACAAATTCCGATGGCTTCCTAAAAACGTTCGAATGTTTCCATTTATGGGATCTTTGATTAAATTGTCTTGCAAGCAGCATTGATGTATCATGGAAACACAATAGCTGAATATCGTATCAACTGCAATTCGATCGAAGAAATAAATATTAGCAAATGAAATTTTCCGCCATTTTGAAGGGAAAAAAATGAAAAGTTTAATGTAACGCCATGACTTACTACAATCGCGGGATTGCATTTTTTATGATTTCAAAAGCTTTGATTTGAATATTATATGCTTTATTCTAAACATGGTTGTGAAATTTGGACTGATTGGCAGCCATCTTGGATTTTTCCTAGTAGGTCCATAGCTTAAATTGACTATGTATCTACACCTACAATTGTGCCAAGTTTCATGCTTTTATCATCTAACCCACATATATTGCGTAGGTAAAAATGTAACCTTTTCCCTTATTTGTTGGGTTTCGTATGTTGTGTAGGAAAAATGGAATACCAAAATGTCAAAAGAGCGATTTGTGGATTAAAAACGCAACCGGGAACATCAAGAAAGGTGACAGGGCTTTTTATATAATAAGTAATGGGAACTTTATTGACCTTACCTGACGAATCGCCCAAAAACACTAGCTTAAAAAGAGTTGTTGTCCACGTGCTAAGAGATCACACTGTCAGGTTTTCTTCGTTTTACCAATCTCTAGTTACACAATTTCAGTAATAGTTATACACCGAGGGATAGGTGTTTCTGGATAAGAAACCCCGTCGGCCGGAGGCCTGAGGGGTTTCTTATCCAGACACACCTTATCCCGAGGTGTATAACTAACTTACACCCAATGCTATACCCTATATTTGTTAACAATGATTATTAAATGAAAAAGAACGGATAGCATATTTATTGACAAAATCAAACCATGATTTATAGGAAAAACATTTTTTTTTTACATGAAACCCCACTAGTAACCTTACTTTGGCTATGTTCGTTCAAACTTTGACAAGTGAGTAGATTTTACAAATGTCAAAGTTGCTGTTTTGCATATTCCCGTTAAATCCTGGTGCTAATATGGATCAGCAGTTCAAGGTTGACTGTTTCGTGCATTCTTATTACAAAAAAAATACATCATGCTCCTTGTCTGCAGTTGTCAATACGGACGGGTATAAGACGGACGACATTTTGAGTCAAGCGTTGGGTTTGGTAGAATAGACTAAAGATAAAGGCAATATTATAACCCAAAGTACTTACCTGTATCAGTTTAATGAAGGTAATCATAAATATATTTTTTATGTAACGGTTTTATTAAAAAAAAAAAAAAAGAAGCCCCCCCCCCCCCCTCTTCTTCTCGAGAATAAACAAACATTCATATTCGGACATACTGAGGGATATGTGTGTCTGGATTAAGAAACCCGACGACCGGACACGCTCAACATACAAAAATACAGATTGAATATTTAGGAACTCCCTTTTTGGGGGCAATCCAGAGGGAGGGGGGGTCCGGGAGTTAGAATCCCCGTTTTTTTTGAAGATTAATGCTTTAGAATAGAGACATATGACTTGGATCAAAAATGTTACCTTCAAGTAAAGGAGTATTAAGGGAACAACCATTTTAACTTCAAGGGGGGGGGGATGGTTTTTCGTTGGAGTCAGTAATTTTTTTTCTCGAAAATCGCGAACATTTTTATTTATTTTTTCAACGCTATCAATCAAATGATTTGTTTTTATTCAAAACAGATGCTTAATATTTTTTTTCGCTATTGGAATTTCCTTAAATGTGTTTTTTTTAATATCTTGAAACAACTTGTAGTGAACATTATTAGTAATTTCTTATGTTTATGCTATTTAAAAAATAATCAATTTCTATTGTAATGAATAACAATGGACTGTGTTTTCGGGATGTAGAAGCAGGGGTTTCCAGAAACCCCGCTCGTCACACCCTGTGGTCAAAATCCATTGTTATTCGTAACAATAGATCTATTCAATTTACACTTTTTTTCAGAAATAGAAACTATGAAGTATAACAATAGAACTGGGGTGTAATAGATGATCACGACATTTTAAGAGCTCAAGTTTGTATTGTTATATGTGAAAGGAATCAAAATAAAACTTTCGTATTCGTATTCCTTTTTAATTGGTTATTCAAAATGTGGTCTTGCCAAGCTAACACCTTGATATTACGATTATATATTTAATCTTTAACAATAGGCCTAATTGCCTACACTTTCTCTAATCCCATATTCTATGATTGAATAATTGTCATTTTTTTCAAAATCTATTTTTATTAAATCGTTCAGTTCGAAAAGTTTTTTTTATATAGATGTTATATATAGACATATTTTGAAATTTTCAATTTACAAAATAGGAAATATAACAAAATCAAGTAGATCGGTTGTTAGACCTCAGCTGAATAGTCAAATTTGTAGAAACGGGCATATTTCCAGATCGACTTAAAGAAGCCCAAGTCACATCCTTGCATAAAAAGAATGACCCATTACTAAAATCAAATTACAGACGAGTCAGTTTTTTACCTATTTAAAAAAAAAAATGTTTGAAAAGGTATTCGAAAAATAGTGATATGATTTTTGTATATATTATTCTTTTTTAATCATTATCTATGTCAGACTACGCTGCTCAGATTACTGTTAGACTGCCGTGAAGTTCTAGACAAACGTGTTTATACAGCTGGAGTTCTCCTGGATTTATCAAAAGCTTTCAAATCTTCACCACATGATACAGTATAAGCATATGGTGTTGCCCCACATTCATTGTCTTTGTTTAAAACCATATATCTCCGACAGAAAACAACAAATTAAAGTAAACAGTAAACTGAGTAGCTGGGCTACCATCCAAAAAGGTGTATCACAAGGCTCTATATTGGGGCCCTTTTGTTTAATGTCTATATAAACGGTTTTTTTTTTATTTAGTTAAATAGAGTACCTTGTATAATTATACTGACGACAATACCCTGTATTTCAGCAGTCCTGATTATAACCGTCTCATATCTACATTAAAACCCGAGTCTCAAAAGAGAGGTGGAAGATACCAAAGGGATAAATAGTAAAACTCATAAGTCGAAAACAAACTCTGGTGGATAGTTATTTCATTAGCAACCATGTAGCTGTGGGTATTTTAGACAGCGGCTTTCCAGTTGGAAATTAGCAACCATACCAAATCTTCTTTACTTATTTTATATTAACAATGTCATGGCAAGAAAAAGAAAACCGACAAAAGACAAACAACAGTCTACAAAACACAATATAGAAAACTAAAGACTGAGCAACACGAACCCTACTCATTAAAAACCGGGGTCATCTCATATTCTGCTCATGTAAGTATAACCCCGGCGATAAGTATAATTTGGTAGGTCACATTTGAGGAAATTGTACGACAGATTAGCCTCGAGATTTCCAGATTGTCTAAAATTGGCTTTTTGCATATTATTATCCAGTACATGCTGGAAAAAAAACCACTCTGTCGTGATATTATGACCTATTTGTTGTAATACCAATGAAATGAGTCTTATTGAATATCAGCATAATAATACTATATTGGATGACGACTTTTTATCATCGAAGGCACTAATTTATAAAATACAAAATTGTTGTATTTTATTGGCGCTTAGTATTCTCCAACAGCGTATTTGAATACAAATTTCAAATGAATTAAATTTACTACAATATAAACAGTTCTCTGCTCTCTTTCAGAAAATGTAATTTAAACTTGTTGTAATGAAGTTAGTATAAAGTTTTCACAAAAATTGAAACAAGCTTAGTGATTAGCTGGTCTATCATCCATATCTTTAATAGTTTGAAATTATGTATTCAATTCAATTCAATGTTTTATTAAAGTCTCATCTCTCAACAAGTACAATCGATATTTATAAATTGTAAAACAATATTACATAAAATGAGAGCCATTCTATACAGAATTATAAGAGACTATTAAAATGCATAGATATACTACATTAAACAATATGAAATAAAGTACTATTTACAATATATAAAATTTCTACGTCTTCATCAAACAACAGGTTTTGGCACACACACGTATCATATTTACATCTGAGAATAAAAACACTAATTTTTGGTTGTCATCTAAAGTATTAAAATTTTCATTAAAAGTTTCAGCAACATAATGTAAGTTGTTTTTAAAATCGTCATATGTATTATAAAGTGTATTATATCGCATTGTTGTTTCAATTGAACACAGCTTTTGTTCATGTATACTGTTCTGACAATATTATTTGTTCCTATGTTGTTTTTTTTTTGTTTTTTTTGATATTTTACATTTTTGCTATTAAATTATAGGACAGCTTACCTTCGATGTGAACTTGAATTTTGCTTAGCAACAAATTACGGATCAATAAGACTGAAATGCGTTTTAAACTGTTTAAAAAAACAAATATTTTCACCTATTGACTTTATTTTCTATTAAAAGTAGATTAACAATTAACTGACCTGGTCTATTTTTTAACATTACATAATGTTTATGATTTATTATTGGAATTCTGTGACGGGTAAGGGATATTTTAAAATCCTACGCATTTTTGTTGTGATAGATTCGTTTGTCTTACAATATTACTTTACTATTGATACAAAACAATTAAACGATTAAAAATGATAGTTTTTGTAGACATAGAGAGAAATGGTTCTCAGACTTAATGTGCAACGAACCAACTACGAACATATAGGTTATTTAAACACAAGAATTGTATAAAGAAAAATATATAAAATAGTGTGCTTATGCAAAATTTAGGTGCTGTGTTGAGCCTCGGAGAATAGAAACGGGTCGTTATGAAGGTTTGGAAATAGATTGTGTTTTCATGAAAATTTTCATGAACAATGTAATGAAAATAATATGGAAGATGAGAAACATGTTCTACTGAACGCAGATTTGCGTGCTATTTTATTTAGCCATGCTAGATCTTTTTTAATTGCAATTTTGTGAATTTGTCCGATGATGATAAATTCAGATTTTATTCACTGATCAAAGTGTATGTTATTTTTTAGCCAAAATCTGCTATGATGTGTTATTAAAAACAAAAAGTATCTTAAATAATTGTGACAGTTTTGTGTTTTGTAGAAATGATTTTATAGTCTCTCATAACCCTTTTTAGAGTGGCTCTTGTTGTTTAAAATGATACTGTGATTTTATCAGAGTATTTAATCCTGTCTTGTCTTAATCTTTATTGTGGTAAAAAAACCACCACAGTCCTTTTTGTTAGACATACATGGAATCCGTCATACATACGCTCTGATGACTAAATAATACAACGATTATTAGAACATACCCTCACCCTCTCGTCCAATTTAACCTTCTATTTTTCATAGTACATGTAATTGGCTTTCCATTTACAATTTACAATAAAATGTTCTATATGAATGAGTTTTCATTGAAGATTAATCATAGTAGTGCTAAATTTCTTGATTAACGAACTAACGAAAAAATATGTGTGATGCTGTTTGTCTAATTGTTAAGGAAATAAGTGAATAAAATTATGTACAGGTTAGCTAATATTTTGTAATATTTTACGAACATTTAAAGCCTGAGGCGAAGCAGAGAAGCACATATAGAAGGTGACGGGGGAAACATGTTTCTGAGCGTCCAGCCCCCCCCCCCCATAACATGGGACAGTGGCGAGACAACACAACATAAGATCAAACTGTACAAGTATAAGTTGGAGATGGCTTGACTCATCAGGTCGGCACTAAGCACAAAGAAAGAAAGCTAGCTTCAACACAAAATATACAAAATACCGATCTAAGAGTACTTAAAGTTACTGAAAGCTAGGTCAAATCCAATAACAACTAATAAATAAATCATGTTTTCCCAGACTAAAGTATCAATCAGTATACATCCAACGAATTAAGTGTAACGAAGTCATAAACATTGTGAGAAATCCCACATCTCTAATTAGCTCCGTGGGGAAAGTTTACTACATAAAATGAAAGCATATGGCATTGAGGAAAATCTGTTAAATTGGTTCACTAGCTACCTTTTTCAAAGAAAACAGAAGGTTATTATTAATCAATCATCCTCGGCTTTTTGCAATGTTTCAGCTGGTGTACCCCACCGATCAGTTCTTGGTCCTTTATTGTTTATCATATATATTAATGATATTGCTGAACAGTTAACTTCTTTATGCAGACTATTTGCGGATGACACTTCGTTCAGTTACTCGGGTCATGACGAAGAACTTATACAATCAGTTGTTGCAGCTGGAGGAATGGTCATGAAAGTGGCTTATGTCTTTCAATCCTGAAAAAACCCCAGAAATAATGATTTTCTTAAATAATGAGACGCAAGATCTTAATTTTACTTTGAACAATAAAAAAACACCAATTGTGCGATCTCACAAACATTTAGGAGTTACATTTAGAAGTGACGCAAAATGGAACAACCATATTGAAAATATATTGAATAGTGTTAAAAAGCATCTGAATGTACTGCGAAAACTTAAATATCAATAGAGCCGACAAAATTTGGAATTTTTTCATCTTGTATTTATTAGACCAATTTTTGAATATGCAACTGAAGTATGGGACAATTGTGAAAAAGGGTATTCAATTAAATTAGAACAACTTCATCTCGTAGCTGCAAGAATTTTAACAGGTTTACCTGTTTTCACAAATTCTGAAACTGTCCTAAAAGAGGTTGGTTTGGGAAACTGTAGAGGAACGAAGAAAAAGAAAACTACAATTGTTTTATAAAATTCAGAATAATAATGCCCTGAATATTTATGTAGTCTTGTGCCTTTAAAATTCAAAGTACAACACAATATCCCTTGCGAAATGGACAAGATATTAATTTACGATTTTGCAGGCTGACACTGACTTCCCAATCTTTTATCCCCTCAACAATTAAACTTTGGAATAATCTGAACACGTCAGTTCCAAATGTAGCAAACACAAAAACATTCACACCAGATCCAAGCGTGCTACCATCAGACCCCGACCTAGCAAAACACACAACATTCCCTCTAGAGACGAGCATGCTACCATCAGACCCCGACTCAGCCAAACCCACAACATTCACACTAGAGACGAGCGTGCTACCATCAGACCCCGAGCTAGCCAAACACACAACATTCACACTAGAGACGAGCGTGCTACCATCAGACCCCAAGCTAGCCAAACACACACCATTCACACTAGAGACAAGCGTGCTGCCATCAGACTCCGACCTATCAAAACACACAACATTCACACTAGGAACGAGCGTGCTACCATCAGACCCGACCCAGCAAAACACACACCATTCACACTAGAGACGAGCGTGGCACCATCATACCCCGACCTAGCAAAACACGCAAAATTCACGCTAGAGACAAGCGTGCTTCCGTCAGACCACCGACCTAGCAAAACACTCAACATTCACGCTAGAGACGAGCGTGTTACCATCAGACCCCGACCTAGCAAAACACACAACATTCACACAAGAGACAAGCGTGCTACCATCATACAACCGACCTAGCCAAACCCATACTCTTCAACACAAGAGACGAACATGCTTTAAATCAGACCATTGACGCAACCAAAACAACCTTTAACTCTAGAGACGAGCAGGCCACAACATACACAACACAGCCAAGTCCAAAACCGTATACATCAGAGACGAGCATGCTTCTATTAGACCACGGACTCATCCAATCAAACGACATTCAAAACTAGAGACGAACACGCTACATCAGACCACCGACCCAGCAAAACACACAACCTCAAACACTAGAGACAAAAGTACTACACCAGACCACCGAACAAGCCAAACGCACAACCTTTTACATTTGAGACGAGCATCTTTCTATAAGACCACCGACCCAGTCAAACAAGCATTCTTCAACACGAGAGAGGATTATGCTACCATCAGACAACCGACCTAGTCAAACCCACAACCGTAAACACTAGAGACGAGTTTAATACCAACAGACCATCCATTCAGCTTAACAAATAACCTTCAACACTAGACACGAGCATGCTACCATCAGACCACCGATCCAGTCAATAAAACTTCATTCACAACAGAGACGAGCAAGCTACCAGACACAAGGATGTAACAATTAGACTACCGACCCTTCCAAACCTTGAACCCTCAACACTAGAGACGAGCATGCTACCATCTTACCATCAACCAAGACAAACCCATAACTTTCAACACTAGAGACAAGCACGCTGCAATCAGACCACCGACCCTTCCAAACCCTAAACCCTCAACACTAGAGACGAGCATGCTACCATCTTACCACCAACCAAGACAAACCAACAACTTTCAACACTAATGACAAGCACGCTGCCATCATACTACCAATCAAGACAAACCCACAACCTTCAACACTAGAAACGAGCATGTCACAATCAGACCACCGACCCTCTCAAGTAGAGGATTATGCTACCATCAGACAACCGACCTAGTCAAACCCACAACCGTAAACACTAGAGACGAGTCTACTAACAACAAACCATCGACCCAGCCAATCCCACAACCTTCAACATTAAAGACGAGCATGCTACCATTGGACCACCGACCTAGCCAAACCCACAACCGTCAATACAAGAGACGTGTCTACTACCAATAGACCATCGACCCACCCAAACAAATACCATTCATCACTAGAGACGAGCATGCTACCATAAGACCACCGACTCAGCCAAACAAATAACCTTTAACACTACAGACGAGCATACTACCATCCGATCATTGACCAAGTCAAACCCAAATCCATCAAAAGTAGAAACGAGCATGCTTCCACTAGACCACCTAACCCAGTCAAGCACACAACTTTCAACCTTCAACACTATGGACAAGCACACTGAAGCGGTAAATCCACAACCTTCAGGTATAGAGATGAACAAGGTTCCGTCAGACCAACAACCTAGCCAAACAAACAGCCGTCAACACAAGAGATGAGCAATCTACCATTAGAACAGCAACCCAGCCAAAAAAACAACATTCACACAAGAGATAAAGTAGCTACCAACAGTCCACCAACCCAGCCAAACAAACAGCCTTCAACACAAGAGATGAGCAATCTACCATAAGACCAGCAACCCAGCCAAAAAAAACAACATTCACACAAGAGATAAAGTAGCTACCTATAGTCCACCAACCTAGCCAAACAAACAACCTTCTACACAAGAGATGAGCAAGCTACCATTAGACCACCAAACCAGCCAAACAAACAACCTTCAACTCAAGAGATGAACAAGCTACCATTAGACCACCAACCCAGCCAAACAAACAACATTCATACAAGAGATGAACAAACTACCATTAGACCCCCAAACCAGCCAAACAAACAACATTCATACATTCATACAAGAGATGAACAAACTACCATTAGACCACCAACCCAGCCAAACAAACAACATTCAACACAAGAGATGGGCTAGCAACCATTAGACCATCAACCCAGCCAAACAAACAACCTTCAACACAAGAGATGAACAAGATACCATTAGACCACCAACCCAGCCAAACAAACAACATTCATACAAGAGATGAACAAACTACCATTAGACCCCCAAACCAGCCAAACAAACAACATTCATACAAGAGATGAACAAACTACCATTAGACCACCAACCCAGCCAAACAAACAACATTCAACACAAGAGATGGGCTAGCAACCATTAGACCATCAACCCAGCCAAACAAACAACCTTCAACACAAGAGATGGGCTAGCAACCATTAGACCACCAACCCAGCCAAACAAACAACCTTCAAGACAAGAGACGAACAAGCTACAATTAGACCATCAACCCAGCCAAACAAACAACCTTCAAGACAAGAGACGAACAAGCTACAATTAGACCACCAACCCAGCCAAACAAAAAACCTTCAAAGCGAAAGATGAACTAGCTACCATTAGACCACCAACCCAGCCAAACAAACAACCTTCAACACAAGAGATGAGTTAGCTACCATTAGACCACCAACCCAGCCAAACAAACAACCTTCAACACAAGAGATGAGTTAGCTACCATTAGACCATCAACCTTGCCAAACAAACAACCTTCAAGACAAGAGATGAACAAGCTACCATTAGACCATCAACCCAGCTAAACAAACAACCTTCAACACAAGAGATGAACAAGCTACCATTAGACCACCAACCCAGCCAAACAAACAACCTTCAAAACAAGAGACAAACAAGCTACCATTAGACCATCAACCCAGCCAAACAAACAACCTTCAACTCAAGAGATGAACAAGCTACAATCAGACAATTGATTTCATATAACAAATGTATACTTATGGCAATAATCTTTTTGAAAAGTACTGTAAATTCAGAAATTATTGCGATGTTTTTATTATTGCGAAAAATGCGACAGGGTTATAATCGCAATAATTTAAACTCGCATTTTGAAATTTTTTATATGAATTTAACAAGATTTTTCTCAATATCGCAAAAATTAAAATCGCATTTTAGTCTAAAATGACAAAATCGCAATAATAAAAGTACGCAATAATTTCTGAATTTACAGTATATGAGATTTTTGTCTGATTTCATAATTCAATTTAATAGTATAAAAATATCGAAACATCACAACCTGGACATTAATCATTCTGTATTATCTATCATTTAAAATTTACAATCATTTGTATTTGAGAGCCTTAAAGTCCTGTTTTTCTGTGTCAACAATGATACAAAATAGAATATTCTTATGCTTCACATCAAAACACCTTAATAAACATTGTGTACTGAAAGAAAAATTAAGTTTAAAAAATTACAAATTTTAAGAATTTTACTGCTTTTGATAAAATAATATGCACATATTAAACACATATTTGTTCCATAGTCCTAATATCTGGTTCATTCAAGGCATGCATAATGGTATAAAGTGACTAGAAAGCAGTCTTAACTTCACCAATAATGAAATACTTTCATAATTTCAGTTACTATCAACCTTCAATGCAAATAATTAATTTATTATTCACCATGAAAGATTGCAAAAAAATAGAATAAAAAACAAATAAAAATGAAAAAAAAATAATTTGTGTAAAAGAGAAATAATCTATAAAATAAAAAATTTCACTTTTTTCTTAAAATATGCCACAATGTGATTGGAATAGTCACAAAAGTAAATCATGGATCAAGGTTAATCTATTAGTTGAAATTGGCTTTTAGTAACTGAAAGTACTCTTAGATCAGCACTTTGTGTTAGTTTTTCTTTCTACTTGTTTTTTGTTGTGTCAATTTGATCTGATGAGTCAGGACTTTTAAAACTGATATTATCAGTTTGTTCCTTTAATGTGCTGTTACACCACTTTCCTAGGTTAAGGGAAGGTTGAGTGCTCACAAACATATTTAATCCTTCCACAATAGTTGTGTGCCTGTCCCAAGGCAGTGACCTGTAATTCAGTGGTTGTTGTTGTTGCTGTCTGCCATATTTGTTTTTGGTTTGTCTTAAGCATAAATCAGGCTGTTGGTTTTCTCTTTTGAATTTTCCCACCTTTTGTCATATTGGGGCGTTTTATAGCTTACTATAGGGTATGGATTTTGCACATTGTTAAAGGCTATACAGTGACCAATTACATCATCATCCTTTGGTCTCTGGTTGATGGTTACCTCATTGGCAATCCTACCAAATCTCCTTATTTTTGTCACCTGTGTGACGCATATATGGGGACATAGATATACCTGGCTTCCATCCATTCCTCCAAACTTGGAAGAACTCTCACATGTTCTATTCTTGCCAGTTTTTGTAATCAAATTTATATCAAAGATTTATGTAGGGAATGTCTCAGACAAGTTCAAAAATCTTTACAATGATAAAGTAATTTATTTCGCTTTGTATAATTGTTTTCTAACATAAAATAAATTGAGTTTTTTACTAGCCTGGCATCCTGACCCAATCTAATACTTCGTCGATAGGACCAGGCATAATACAATCCACGTGACCAACTATCAGCGCTGAACAGGACTGAATTACTGCGCATGTGCATATTTTATAATCAAGGAATATATCGATCAGATTGTTAATTAACTGTTGATTCACGATGTTAATCAACAACGCTTGGATTATATTTGTTAAAGTTTTCGAAATTTGCATTTCATATGAAAACAAAAATAGTCTTCAATAAATTTGTGGCAATATAAATATTTCCCGCCATGTGTAAAGAAATGACGCTATCCCAAGATGCATCATTCTAACATCCAATTGACGGAACCATGTTGTTGTATTCCGCCTGGCTCTACTGTCAAGCAGTTGGCCAGGATCCCAGGCAAGTTTTTTACTTGCTACAATAATACAGTGCTGACTTTCTAGGCTAATAAAGTTGAATAGAAATTGTAATTGAAATTGTATGCTCATAAAAAAATTAAAAATATTACTAAACAAAAAAATTAACTTAGCTCATACAAATGCTAAAAATCAAAATTTTCCCTCCTAGCAAATAAATTATAACTCTGTATAGTCTTCTGATTGTTTGGGTGAAATTAAATTGCCCATTTACCTATGTTTACCATAAATTTGTAAAATATTACTAATTATTTTTAAATTAAAAATATAGGAAACATATTAGTGATGGTAATGTACATTATAATCTAATGAAATAAAATGCTACGCAGGGTGCAGCTTGATACGAACGCAGAGGTCGAACCCTTAACAGTTGGGGCAAGTATGGACACAATATTCAAGCTTGATACAGCCAGCTCTGACTTTGGATTGTGATTAAATATTTGACACAGCATAGGTTTCTGACACAGAATGAATGTGATCTAAGAACTTAACAAGAGGCTCATGAGAGCCTGATATCGCTCACCTGTAATTTCAGTTTCAGGCTTTTGACTTATTTGTAGATCTTACTTTGCTGAACAATTTTGTCATTTACTCTTTCTCTCTTTCTATAATAATATTAAAGATGATACATAACCCAAAACAATAAGTTGTCCTATTGGTCTGAAGATTACTGGACAGGTAGATCAAAACCTGTTTAACACTGTCACCTATGTCAGTTTTGCTCTTACTACTTTAGTTTTTGAGATGAAAGCCAAAAACTTCATTTTACCCCTATGTTCTATTTTTAGAAACTGCCGCCATGTTTTTGAATGGATCAAATCCCCCAATACAATCTATAAACTAGATACCCTAAGCCAAGGAACATTCAATTAAAGTTTTTAAGTATTTGGCCAAGTAGTTTCAGAGAAGAAGATTTTTGAAAAAGTAATTAGACTTTCACAAAAAATGTAAAAAAAAAACGTTTTAAGCGCAATAACTCCTTAAGGGGTCAATTGACTATTTTGATCATGTTGACTTATTTGTAGATCTTACTTAGCTGAACATTTATTGCCATTTATACTTTCTCTCTATCTATTATAATATTAAAGAAAATAACCAAAAACAGTAAAATTTAATAAAAATAAACTATTTCCAACAGTAACCCAACAATGGGTTGTCGAACTTGTCTGAAAATTTCATAACAGATAGATCATGACCCATTTATCACTTTAACTGCCTTTCACTTTTGCTCTAACTGCTGTAGTTTTTGAGATAAAAGCCAAAAACTGCATTTGACCCCTATGTTCTATTTTTAGCCATGGCGACCATGTTTGTTAATGGATCAAAACTTCGGATACAATTTATAAACCAGTTACCCTAAGGAACATTCAGTTAAAGTTTAGGAGTATTTGGCCCAGTAGTTTCAGAGGAGAAGATTTTTAAATGTTAGCAAACATGATGAACAAATTGTGTTAAATTGTCTTTAAAGGGCAATAACTCCTTAAGGGGTCAATTGACAATTTTGGTCATATTAACTTTTTTGTAGATCTTACTTTGCTGAACATTTTTGCTGTTTACAGTTAATCTTTATCTTCAATAATATTCAAGATAATAACCAAAAACTGCAAAATTTCCTTAAAATTACCAATTTAGTGGCAGCAACCCAACAATGGGTTGTTCGGTTCATCTGAAAATTTCAGGGCTGATAGAAATTGACCTATTGAACATTTTTACCTCTTGTCAGATTTGCTCTAAATGCTTTAGTTTTTGAGATATAAGCCAAAAAATGCATTTGACCCCTATGTTCTATTTTTAGCCATGGCGGCAATGTTTGTTGATGGATTAAAACTTCGGATACAATTTATAAACTAGATACCCTAAGGAACATTCAGTTAAAATTTGAAGGTATTTGGCCCAGCAGTTTCAGAGGAGAAGATTCTTGAAATAGTTTACGACGACGAAGACGACGAACCCCAAGTGATGGCATAAGCTCACATGGGGCCCTTTGGGCCCGGTGAGCTAAACATTTGAAATTGGACATTTACCGATTATGGTCCAATATCAAAAATCTGAACAAATGGTTAGATCCAGCATATCAAAGAACCCCAATAATTTAACTTTTGATGCAATCAAACAAAAGTTTAATTTTGGACCCTTTGTACCTCAATGTGGACCAATTTAAAAACCAGGCCCAAAATCCAAAGTCTAAACAAATGGTTAATTCAGCTTACTGAAGAATGCCAAGAATTCAAGACTTTGAATTAAACCACATTGAAATTGTCTAGAAATAAGCAATTTATACAAAGTATTAGAAAAGTATTGATTTTGGCCCCTTTTTGGTCTGTAATTCCTAAAGGGTTTGGGCCATAACCCCCAAAATCAAGCCCAACCTTCCTTTTGAGGTATGGAACACTACGGTAAAATTTCATAGAGATCTATACACTTATACTCAAGTTATTGTCCTATTGTCTGGAAACCAAATGTCTTTGGACGACATTGCCATACCATTATACAGCCGCAAAATTTTTGCCGTCATATTGAGAAAGGAAACAAGAGGCTCTCAAGAGCCTGAATCGCTCACCTGTATTTCAGAGAAGATTTTTAAATGTTGGTAAACTTTATGAACAAATTGTGTAAAATTGTCTTTTAAGGGCAATAACTCCTTAAGGGGTCAATTGACAATTTTGGTCATATTAACTTTTTTGTAGATCTTACTTTGCTGATCATTATTGCTGCTTACAGTTTATATATATCTATAATAATATTCAAAATAATAACAAAAAACTGCAAAATTTTGTTAAAACTACCAATTCAGTGGCAGCAACCCAACAATGGGTTGTTCGATTCGTCTGATAATTTCAGGGCCGATAGATCTTGACCAATTAAACAATTTTACCTCATGTCACATTTGCTCGAAAAGATTTAGTTTTTGAGATATAAGCCAAAAACTGCATTTGACCCTTATGTTCTATTTTTAGCCATGGCGGCCATGTTTGTCGATGGATACAAACTTCGGATACAATTTATAAACTAGATACCCTAAGAAACATTTAGTTAAAGTTTGGAGGTATTTGGCCCAGTAGTTTCAGAGGAGAAGATTTTTGAAATAGTTTACGACGACAGACAACGACAGACGACGGATGCCAAGTGATAGCATAAGCTCACATGGGGCCCTTTGGGCCCCGTTGAGCTAAAAAGGAAAGGACATTAGAGCAGAATGAAAAAAAGAGCAAAATTATTTCCAAATGTACCTAAAGAAACTGGACCTTGGAACTATAATATTTGAGTTACCAGTATATGTCCCTCTCTTATAAGACTCATCTTCTTACTTCTTGTGCATATGGAAATTTTAATCAGAATAAAATAGAATATTTAAAAGTTATCTCATCAGAAATTAGAAAAATTGCTCTGTAAAAGAACTGGCACTAGGATATCCTCGTAGTGCCTTAAATATGAGTTAAAAAGTCCCACAACCTGTAATCACCAATGCCAAAAACAGTGGAAAGTTTGCAGTAATTTGACATGTAAAAAATTGCCTTAAAGCTGACGGTTAAAGTCAGGATACTCTGAAATGACAAATCAAAAATCAAACAGTACCTTTCTTTCACCAATTCCATCAATTGTGTAAAGTGTCTAGCATATTGATCTAAGCATACTCAGTAATGGCACAACATGTGCAAATCTTACATAAATCTGACAATTAAAGTCCTGTTTAATCTGGAATAACAAACCAGACAATTATCAAAACAGAAACATATTGTCATCTAAACCAGACATAAGTCTATACCATATATTTAGCTCTAAACTGACACAATTATAGAAAACTGTGACTGAACATTACACATATTGTCAAAATCTTAAACAACCAAAACTTTAAGATATAGTATAAATTTATATTTATATGTTATATATAGATCTACAAAATCTTATTACAAATGTGGATTAATTGTTTACAAAAAATAATCACTCATCCTTCACAACCATCAAACAATGAAATCAAGTTATAAATATCTATAAATTAAACACAACTACATGTAGTAAATAAAAATACATACTATACCACTGTGTAGCATCGCCACCGGAATTTGGGTACCAACGAACAGGAGAGAAAGGAGAAAAATAGACAAGGTAAGAATTCCTTTAGTTTAAACCATTTCTATCTTTTGATGAGATTACCTCTTATGAAACGATTTTCTGATATATAGTGCTTAAATTTATTATATCAACAAGTAGCAAACAAAGACAACATTTTTTGTTATACTCCAAAACTGTTCACTTGGTACCAGAAAATTTCAAGGTCGATCACCCTCCAAGGTCCCGCTGGCCTGATATCCAACTGTTTTTCCTTTTCTTTCCAGACAAATTTTTAGATTATGGTAGTGTGACTTCATATTTACTGAAATTCGCTTACAAAAAGATGTTTTATAAAGAATATGAACCTAAACAGCTATTGCTCACTGTACGGAGAATTGCAGTGCATTGTATGGCGAATTGCAAAACAACAAATTGTTTTCTATATGGCGTCTTGCAATATACTGTAATGTAAAGATGATATTAATAACTATATAGGTAATAACCAGGGTGATATCGTGTACATTTCAATGCGTTACCAGCTTACAAATAACCAAAACAAACTACATAACAAACAATATTCTAAAATATATGCCGTTAGTTTCATTCAGATGTCATTATCGTGTCCTTATTGGACGTTGCGTTTTGAAAGACAAAAAATTGTTTCTTTAACCTAATTCTTCTCAATATATTCATATATTGTTATACTTTTAACTTCATCTTTTGTGGGGGGTGCTTTTTTTTTAAATGTATTGTCTCTTGAATAGATTATTTAACTACTTGTAATTCCTTGTTTAGAAGGAAAGTGAACAAAATACTTTGTTTCCATTGAAAATTAGGGGGAAATGAATGATACATTGGGTTTCGAAATAATTTTCTAGTTATTGTATATATGTTATTGAATAACAGCATTTTTTTTAAATTTTTCGAAAAAAATAATTGTCACTAGAGAAGAATCATGTCCCCTCAAAAAAATTAACGGTCAGAGCCTAAAATATAATTCAGAAAAGAAATTCCGCAAAGGAACCGATGACTTAGAATATTTAGTTTTTTTTTAAGGACATAAAACACCCAAACTACTATTATGGCAGACTATACATGTGTGGTAACCAAAGACAAATAGTCACAGATTAAAGAAAAAATTTACAACTTTTAATTTTCAAGATAGAAAAATAAAACACTGTTGTTAATTCTGTTTGGCCTAAATTAAAAGGTGTGGGTGGAGGGGTTAAGACTTGCAATTGCATTAACAGTTATAGCAGCACGTTTCTTTTTCAAACATGAAAAATATGAAACAAGTCAATTGAGAAAACTAACGGCCTAATTTATAACAAAACAATTTACGAAAAAAACAAAATTGCCTTACCCTAGGCTTGATTGGTTTTTACCTATATTCTTTAGAAAACATCTTTTTAATAGTAAATTTCAGTAAATATGAAGTCACACTATCCTAATCTAAAACTTTGTCTGGAAAAAGAATGAAAAACAGTTGAATATCTGGCCAGTGGGATATCGGAGGGTCATCGACCTCGAAATTTTCTGGTACCAAGTGCACATTTTTGGAGTACAAAACACAATCTTGTCTATGTTTGCTACTTGTTGGAATAAAAAATTAAAGCATTTTATATCAGAAAATCGTTTCATGAGCGGTAACCTCATCAAAAGGGTAGAAATGGTTTAAATTAAAGGAATTCTTACCTTGATTATTTTTTCTCCTTTCTCTCTGCTTCGTTGGTACCTAATATCCGGTGGCTATGATACACAGGAATAAATGATATAAAAAAAGTCTTCATTTGTACAACTTTGGTGTATCTATTAGAATTAAGGTAAAATAAAAGTGCTTGTGGCCACTGAGGGGTAGAGATTGCTAATTTGCATTAAACAGTGTGCAAAGAAACATATTTTGGCAATATTTGTGACTTGTTTCCCTTTGACCTTAACGCAATCATGCTCAAACTTTACGCAATTGATATCTAAAGAAGTGTCATGTTGTATCTACCATTAAAACGCATAAATCATATTAAAATCTGTAAATAATTAAAACAAAAAATGTATCCCAGGACAATCTAAGAACTACAAATAAATTCCATATTTTTTTATATGAGATTTTAACCCAATCATTTGAACTATTTTCCATAATTCATATGTATATGCTATATGCATGTAAAACAAGAGTGCACACACTGAAATGTCTCGCCTTCTTTACTAACCATTGATTTTATGTTGATAGTCCTAAATATAAAGCTTTACTACAAGTAACACATAAACTTAACATGATCCAAGAAAATGAGGTCAAGGTCAGATAAACCAAGCAAGAAATACATGTACACCTTACAATCATTCAATAAACCAAACATAGTTGACCTATTGCTTATAGTTTCTAAGAAACAGTCTTAACCAAGAAAACTAAATTTTGACCAATGAACCATGAAAATGAGGTCAAGGACAGACGATACCTGCCAGACAGACATATACACCTTACAATCCTTCCATACAACAAATATAGTTGATCTATTGCTTATAGTTGAAGAAAAACAGACCAAAACACAAAAACTTAACACTGAGAAATGAACCGTGGAAATGAGGTCAAGGTCAAATAAAACCTGCCAGACTGACATGTACATCATAAAATATTTCCATACACCAAATATAGTTGACCTATTGCATATAGTATTAGAAAAAAAGACCAAAACTCAAAAACTTAACTTTGACCACTGAACCATGAAAATGAGGTCAAGGTCAGATGACACCTACCAGTTGGACATGTACACCTTACAATCATTCCATATACCAAATATAGTAGCCCTACTGCTTATAGTATCTGATATATGGACTTGACCACGAAAACTTAACCTTGTTCATTGATCCATGAAATGAGGTCGAGGTCAAATGAAAATTGTCTGACAGGCATGAGGACCTTGCAAGGTATGCACATACTAAATATAGTTATCCTATTACTCATAATAAGAAAGAAATTAACATTACAAAAAATGTTGACTTTTTTTTCAAGTAGTCGCTGAACCATGAAAATGAGGTCAAGGACAATGGACATATGACAGACGGAAACTTCGTAACATAAGGCATCTATATACAAAGTATGAAGCATCCAGGTCTTCTAGCTTCTAAAATATAAAGCTTTTAAGAAGTTAGCTAACGCCGCCGCCGCTGGATCACTATCCCTATGTCGAGCTTTCTGCGACAAAAGTCGCAGGCTCGACAAAAACTTAAGGCAACATAATCTATTTTCTATATGAAATAAATCTTTCAATAAACAGGTAGTTAGAATAAAAGCATCTGGGAATGAGATTCTTTAGAATTGTTTTAACTTTTTCAAAGATAAAATTATTGAATATGGTTTGTTCCTTAAGGTTCATATAATTTATGCAAATGTGAAAGTATAGCAAGAATTATCTCCATATTGACTAGAGGCTGATTTAGAGGGACCCTTATAGAGCTAGATATATGGTTAATGCAGAGACTTTTTACATGTCCCACTCCTAATGTTGCCTAGTTTGGGGCCCCACTTTTTCAAAATCCTGGAAACGCATCTGTTGACTATGCAAATTTGACTTGTTAGCCCCCTAAGCCTATATAATTAAGTGTTGATCATCTTATAGCCTTTTTTGGTTATGTAACTCTTACAACATTATATATGTTGGATCCTGAGTATACCTGATGTATATTATTGATTTGGTTCCCTACATGTTTGGTCCTGAGTATACCTGATGTATGTTATTGATTTGGTTCCCTACATGTTTGGTCCTGAGCATACCTGATGTATGTTAATGATTTGGTTATCCCAGGAACATATATATTGACGGGACTTGACACTACCTGATTGTAGTCGATTTTATGTCGTGCCATAGTTAATAAACATACGATACAGAAACGGACATGTGTTAAAAACGGACTCGCTATTATCCTAATAATTTCTGATATTATCAATAAAATGTCATTCAAACTAGTTTTATAGTGATGCTAGTGTATCAAACTTGTATTCTGTCACTTCAAATTTGTTAAAATCGCAAGCATTTCATCACATAATTGTGCAGAATGCAAACCAGGTAATAAAAAAAAGGCGGCCATTACCGCGATAATTTACAAATTCCCAAACTATTATTAAACACTTCACATCAAATAAATCAAACTTATTTTGGTAATTTTATATGACAAAATATATCTACAAAATGATAAAACTTGTTTTCATTTACAGTTAGAGTTATGTGGTTTATTTGTTGAGCAGTTCTGATATTTTTTCAATCAGACGCTACCAAGATCCGTAAATCTCAGGAAGTCTCGGGGAGTCCGAGATTTTATCAATTTTATACTGAAAAGCGTATCAGATTCATTTCCCGTTAGATATACTGTTCCCAGGTTATCCCAAATATTTGTGTTGTGCCTCTGATAATGGTATCATACAAGTATTTTACATTCCTGTCAAATTCAAAGAACTTTACAATAACTGATAGTTCTACAGGAAAGAACTATTTTAAAGTCAATTCACTTAGTATGGTGATTATAGGGCCAGCCTATATCATGGGTTGGATAACATTCAATCAGTAATCTTTCATTTATTATTTTACAGTGGTCTGTCTCTTGTAAGCACCCCTATACAAAAAACCTCCATTTTTCATGGAAAGCCAAATCTGAAGCAGTAATTTCTATGGATGATCACTTCATACAAGAGGTCGCTGCAAAATTTTGCTGGTGATTTTGGAAGAACTCTAATACTACATACATAACATTTTATAATGGGTAAAAAAAAAAACCCAAATATATGCAATCAAAATCAAATATTTGCCTACATATATATACAACACACTGGCAGATTTTCTATATATAAATGAACTAATCATGAAATTATGTTTTATTATGGGATTGCACTCTTTTTGATTGGTCAAGTCATCACTTTGAAAAGTTGTGACATTAGTTTAGCAATGTCTATTTGACATTAATTATGGCATAACATAGTTTTAATTTCTGAAAAGGACCATTAAACCTGAAACAACAAATTGTATGGAAGTCATTATAGAATTTATATTATTCTCAGATAAAACTGACATGATTGTAAATATTGCCTGAGTAAAAACAAAACAATCAAAACATCACAATTAACTAAAAAAAATTAAACACGGACATGAATTAAGAAGTCCCATGATTCCCTCCACATTAAATCTGTAATTTGCTGAGGTGTTAAATCAGTTCCTCCATACGTGAAAACAGATAATTTATAAAAACTATAAATAGTGCATAAAATAATTCCAATTGTCACATATTTAACTGTTGATGGCAATACAGGAAATCTGCAAGAAAAAAATAATAAAGTAAAATAATATATAGATACAATGTATATGAAAACAACCACCACGACTTGAATTGAATAATCATCTCCATAAATTGAACTAATTCTTCTTAAATTGTTTTTTTAGTTATATCATTATTTCTTTCTTTTCTATTTGAGAGCATATTTCAATCTAGTTATAAGATTGATTGATTGGTGCTTAAAACCACTTTCAGCACTATCAGTTATTTTGTGGCGTTCAGTTTTATTGATGGAGGAAGCTGGAGTGCCCAGAGAGAACCATTGACCTTCAGAGGGAAAACTGACAATCCTTGTCAAATAAGATTGGAGTCGAGCATACCTGCCGCAACGGTTTTGAACTCTCAACTTTAGTGTTGAAAGGCTAGCATTACAGTTGTTGAACTACTTAGATCATTCGACCACCGAGGCCTCTCTAAACATGAGACATGTATGCCCTACCTACACAGAAATTTTACTACGGTTACTGCTCAGTATATTTTAGATGTCAGAAAATAAATATGTGAAATACTATAAATTGTTATATTTCAGTATTAGTTAAAATATGTCACACTAGCTTAAGAAATAATATCAACTTGATAAATAATTAAAATAGGTCTTTATAGGTGTAAAGTATTTTATTATGTTATTCCCTGAGGACTAAATTGAGAATTTTGGAAGTGTAAATTAAAAGGGATGTATTACATTTAAGATAACCTTGTTTATATCACAAAGACTTGATGATTTGGCAAAAAATATAAATTAGTATTATTATGTAAAGTCAGGATATAAAGTATTGGTGTTATATATAATTGAATAATCATAAATAGAATATACAAGAGTTGACCATGTAGTTTAGGGTCAGCTGTTGTAATGTACATGTCTACATGAAGTTTAAGGTCAGTTGTTGTAACGTACATGTCTACATGAAGTTTAAGGTCAGCTGTTGTAATGTACATGTCTACATGAAGTTTAAGGTCAGCTGTTTTAATGTACATGTCTACATGAAGTTTAAGGTCAGCTGTTGTAACGTACATGTCTACATGAAGTTTAGGGTCAGTTGTTGTAATGTACATGTCTACACGAAGTTTAAGGTCAGCTGTTGTAATGTACATGTCTACATGAAGTTTAGGGTCAGTTGTTGTAATGTACATGTCTACATGAAGTTTAAGGTCAGCTGTTGTAATGTACATGTCTACATGAAGTTTAAGGTCAGCTGTTGTAATCTACATGTCTACATGAAGTTTAAGGTCAGTTGTTGTAATGTACATGTCTACATGAAGTTTAAGGTCAGCTGTTGTAATGTACATGTCTACATGAAGTTTAAGGTCAGTTGTTGTAATGTACATGTCTACATGAAGTTTAAGGTCAGTTGTTGTAATGTACATGTCTACATGAAGTTTAAGGTCAGCTGTTGTAATGTACATGTCTACATGAAGTTTAAGGTCAGCTGTTGTAATGTACATGTCTACATGGTTTAAGGTCAGTTGTTGTAATGTACATGTCTACATGAAGTTTAAGGTCAGCTGTTGTAATGTACATGTCTACATGAAGTTTAAGGTCAGCTGTTGTAATGTACATGTCTACATGAAGTTTAAGGTCAGCTGTTGTAATGCACATGTCTACATGAAGTTTAAGGTCAGCTGTTGTAATGTACATGTCTACATGAAGTTTAAGGTCAGCTGTTGTAATGTATATGTCTACATGAAGTTTAAGGTCAGCTGTTGTAATGTATATGTCTACATGAAGTTTAACGTCAGCTGTTGTAATGTACATGTCTACATGAAGTTTAAGGTCAGCTGTTGTAATGTACATGTCTACATGAAGTTTAAGGTCAGTTGTTGTAATGTACATGTCTACATGAAGTTTAGGGTCAGTTGTTGTAATGTACATGTCTACATGAAGTTTAAGGTCAGTTGTTGTAATGTACATGTCTACATGAAGTTTAGGGTCAGTTGTTGTAATGTACATGTCTACATGAAGTTTAAGGTCAGTTGTAACGTACATGTCTACATGAAGTTTAAGGTCAGTTGTTATTATGTACATGTCTACATGAAGTTTAAGGTCAGTTGTTGTAATGTACATGTCTACATGAAGTTTAAGGTCAGTTGTTGTAATGTACATGTCTACATGAAGTTTAAGGTCAGTTGTTGTAATTTTCATGTCTACATGAAGTTTAAGGTCAGCTGTTTTAATGTACATGTCTACCTGAAGTTTAAGGTCAGCTGTTTTAATGTACATGTCTACATGAAGTTTTAGGTCAGCTGTTTTAATGTACGTGTCTACATGAAGTTTAAGGTCAGTTGTTGTAATGTACATGTCTACATGAAGTTTAAGGTCAGCTGTTGTAATGTACATGTCTACATGAAGTTTAAGGTCAGTTGTTGTAATGTACATGTCTACATGAAGTTTAAGGTCAGCTGTTGTAATGTACATGTCTACATGAAGTTTAGGGTCAGTTGTTGTAATGTACATGTCTACATGAAGTTTAAGGTCAGCTGTTGTAATGTACATGTCTACATGAAGTTTAAGGTCAGCTGTTGTAATGTACATGTCTACATGTAGTTTAAGGTCAGCTGTTTTAATGTACATGTCTACATGTAGTTTAAGGTCAACTGTTTTAATGTACATGTCTACATGAAGCTTGGGTCAGTTGTTGCAATGGGTGCGAGACAAGTCGGCCCAGAGATGGTCCAGAGACAACTCGGACAGTCTACAAAAAAGACAACTCAGAATGTCTATGAAGACAACTCGGACCATCAATGAGTCAACTCAGACCATCTATAAAGTCAACTCAAAAGTCTATTATGACAACTCAGACTAAGTATACAATTGGAGTTTTTGACGAAATAAATGATATAAAGTCTCTAAAAAAGTTTTGATGCCGATTTTTAGTATATAAATAACGAAAAAGATAACCCAGACCGTCTATGAAGAGACGTCTATATAGACAATTGAATTATGCTCACTATATATTTTTAGTTATGTTGTTTGAAAGTTGTATGAGTAAAAAACGTTTGTAATGTTTTGGAAGATTCGTTTTTTGGTTTTGTTTGATATATGTTATATCCTCGATTATTTTAAAATACTGTTGTATTTGTCCAAACATACTCAAATTATATGATCCTCTATCATATAAACAGCACACACTCTATGTTTATACTTTGTTAGAATTTGCATTATAGATGGTCTGAGTTGACTTTTAAATAATAAATAAAGAATTGAACAAATAAATGGGGAATGTGTCCATGGGACACAGATGATGCCCCCGCTTGCATATAACGTTAAAAAGGGACATAACTCAAGAACTGTAAAAGTGGTGCTTCCCAAATTTGTACTTGATCTGATTTTTGTGGTAATAAGCATTGTGTATAAGTTTCATAACATTTAGTTGAGGCAAACTAAAGTAAGAAAACAGAAACGAAAAATTCAGCAATTTTTCCCTTTGTAAAGGGGCATAACTCTAGAACGGTAAAATTGACGCCACCAAAATTCAAACTTGATCTGCATTTTGTGGTAATAAGCATTCTGTATAAGTTTCATAACATTTGGTTGAGGCAAACTAAAGTTAGAGAACGGAAACCAATTTTGGGATGTACGTCCTGTACGTACGGACAAGGGTAAAACTTAATGCCCCCTCAGCTACGGCAGTGGCATAAAAAATAAAACAAATTCAACCTAGACTTTTTTGGCTGCAATTAAGTTTTATAATAAATTGATAAAGATAAGTAAAAATATAAATTCACATTAAAAAATATTTTTTTTATTATGTTTTGCAAATTCAGCAACATGCAAATGATATTGTCATGTAAAATATAACATTTAATAATTTATAATCAATTATATAGTTCAAATCCTCTTTTAATACTTTGTCTGAGTTGTCATTATAGACAGTCCCAGTTGTCTTTATAGACGATCCGAGTTGACTTATTGACAGCCCAACTTGTCTTCATAGACAGTCTGAGTTGACTTATTAGTCGGTCTGATTTGACTCCATCTGACTTGTCTCCGGGGCGAGTTGTACCGCATTCATTGCAATGTACATGTCTATATGACGTTGGATTATTGTTACTGCTGATATTGAATCTTGATATTGGTATAGTGCTGACCTTGGTTATAAATACACAGACCAAAGCAAAATGATTCATCAATGCCATTCATTGTTGCTAATTTCATAAAGACAACCTATATCAGGATATAACAATGTAAACTAATCTATGTTTAACAAAAAAGAAATGAATTACCAATGCTGTTGCTGCTCATATCATGAAGATCTCACAGGGGAGATAACTATGTTAACTCACCTATGTGAAACAACAAATAAATGATCTACCAACACTGTTGCTGCTACCATCATAAAGATCACACAGGGGAGATAACTATGTTAACTCAAATATGTGAAACAACAAATAAATGATCTACCAACACTGTTGCTGCTACGATCATAAAGATCACACAGGGGAAATAACTATGTAAATTCATCTATGTGAAACAAAAAATAAATGATCTACCGATGATGTTGCTTTTAATATCATAAAGATCACCCAGGGGAGATAACTATATAACTATGTAAACTCACCTATGTGAAACAACAAATAGATGATCTATTAATGCTGTTGCTGCTAAGATCTTAAAGATCACACAGGGGAGATAACTATGTAAAAACAATGTACTGTCAGTTAAAAAGAAAGGAAGATAATGCAGGAAATATCCACCAATCAGAAGTTCTGCTATGAATACAAAATGATTCCATTCACCTGAAACAAAAGAAATCAATCACCTAATTTAGTTTTGTTTATTAGAATTTAAATGTAAAAGATGTAAAATTTTATTGTCAAAATTATTGAATATACATCATTGTTCTTGTTTTATTGGTATTGCTTTGTTGTCTGCATACTACATAATAATTTTTTATAACATAGTTTTACCAATTTCAACTGAACAATACTTTATAGCCTATTTATTCTATTCTTAAGAATATATTGACCTGAAAGAAGTATATCAACTGAAGACAAAGTCTGAGGTCAATATACTTCTTTAGGTCAATATATCCACATATTAACTTCATATAAAGGCTATAATTTTTATATTACTATTGTCAGTACGCCTGAAATATAGAAGAAAATCATTTGATTGGTTGTTATGATTGTGTCACAAAGTATTGAGGTTGTCAAGTTTCTATTTTTAGATATTTCAATGAAACATTCTGAGAGTATTGCATGGCAATGCATAGTCCCCTACTGTTTAAAAATTCATTGTACTGGAACAAAATACTAACTTGATCTATAACTTGTCATGGTGTAAATTTATAACAAATATCAAGTCAATATCTTCAAGCATGACAAAAAAAAGTGTGGAAAACTGATTATTTAAGTGAATTTTCTAAGTCCAAGGACCATAACTCTGCACAAAATCATCAGACTGGAACAAACTTCAAACTTGATCTGTTACTTGTCATGATAAAACTATATACCAATTATCCATTCCATATCTTCAAGCATGACAAAAAAAAGTCAGGAAAACTGATTATTTGAGTGAATTTTCGAAGTCCAAGGACCATAACTCTGCACAAAATCATCAGACCGGAACAAAATTTTTACATGATCTTGTCATGATAAAACTATTAACAATTATCAAATCAATATCTTCAAGCATGACGAAAAAAAAGTGCAGAAAACTGATTATTTGAGTGAATTTTCTATGTCCAAGGACCGTAACTCTGCACAAAATCATCAGACCAGAACAAAATTTGAACTTGATCTGTAACTGGTCATGATAAAACAATACACCAAATATCAAATCAATATCTTCAAGCACGAAGAAAAAAAAGTGTGGAAAACTGATTTGCTGGACTGACAGACGGAGGGCAAACCTAAAGGCCCCTTCGACTTCGTCGGTAGAGGACTAATAACTGTGTAATATCACTTTTCTATCTGCTGTTTTCAGTCTACCTTTAAAAATACAGCTGAAAATGTGACTCTTGCTGAAAGAATCAAATTAGTTAGATTATACAAAATAATAATATTTCAGTATATTTTCTTGGGTTTTCTCACTACTGAGGATATTGTGTTACATCTGATATAATGTGTTATATAAAGTGAATAATCAACTAATGATAATACAGGAATTAATTGTATAGTGCAATTTAAATCTTTGATACAGAAAAAAAAAGAGACAATGCCCTGCCCACATTTGGTTGGTTTATTTAAGTAAAACTTAGAATAATATTCTTAAATAACTGATTAAAATATACAAAACTGTACTGTTATTGTTTTCTTGTAAAATTTATATACACTATTTCAACAGATCAAGGTGTAAGATATTCAATATGTTTACGTACCCACTGTTAGATCAAACCAACCTCTTCGTCGTCTCAGTAAATAAAATACTAACAATGCTGAGTAACCAAAAACAGAAAGTGTCCCTAGGTACCAGATAACTGGGTTACCAAGCAAATGAATCTGTGCCTGAAAATGTAAAATATATGACAAACAGCAATGATAAGTGAATCTAAAGTAGAAATTATGTTTATTTTCACACAAATTTAAATTATGTTAAATAATTTGTATATGAAAATAAAAACTGATGAAATAAGAAAATATGTAATTACATTTTAAAAGAGGTTATGTGTTAATTTAAGGCTCATCCAATAAGCCACATAACCATCCATTCTAGCAGTTTACCAATACTTAAGACTAATATTACTATTAGGGCTCAGCCAATAAGCCACATTTTTATCCATAAATGGCCATTCGGTTGGTTCAGTACTATAGACTTACATTACTATTAGGGCTCAGCCAACAAGCCACATTTTTATCCATAAATGGCCATTTTATTGGTTCAGTACTATAGACTTACATTACTATTAGGGCTCATCCAATAAGCCACATTTTTATCCATAAATGGCCACTCTATTGGTTCAGTGCTGTATTTATGTTCCATTTCCTCAGCTTTTCCCATTAACATCTTAAGCTGAAGTTCTGTAAACTTGGTCCAGAACGATAGATGTGTTGGTTCTAGAGGAATCATTTCGCTTTGTGCTATCTCTCGAGCCTGTTGTTCCTTCTCAACACCTAATAAATAAAGGAAACAATTTCTAGTACAGAGATAGTAGTAAGAGACTAACATATAAGATCAAGATAGAACATAAAACACAAGACTAAATTATGGCAGACCAAGCTGTCTGATTTAACTGATTTTTGACAATGATAATTTGTATAAATATTCTGAAATCTTCTTACTTTTTGTAAATCTATGTTCTTCCACATTCCACACTGTAGCTTCCTGATTGGTGATTCTATCTGTTGATATTTCCAGCTGATGAAATCCCCATTCAGGTAGTTGCTTACCAGTACTCTAAAAAGAAAAGAATGTATAGTAATTCTACCAACTGTTTTCTATTTAAATAACAAATAAAACCTAATTTTAAAGAGACATAAGGATATAGAAATCCAAAGGACAATATCTGAATAAAGCAAATCATAAGAAACATGGTAGTACATTGTATATAGATGAATAACGTAATGACTTGTACCAACCAATAATAATTAAATGAAAGAATTTTGACTCCAAATACATCACAGAAAATGACTTAAACAATTCAATTAAAGATATAACTTTACCTTTAATTTTCGTTAGGGATGTCAAGGAGTACTAGAGTATTGCTCGGTAGTACAAAGTATCGAATACCAAAATGATACTCGACTAATCGGCTTTCTGCAAGGATGTATATTTTAGTTGATAGTACTATATATCCTTGGTTTCCTCTTAGGACATTGTCTCTTTCTTTTCATAAAATTGATTTTCTTGAGAATGCTCCTTGGAGAATTACATAGCAATTACTGATTAATCATAGTTTAAATACGTTTCATTTTTTTGTGATAAATTTTCATATAAAATGCCTCTGTAATTATCCGTCTTAAAATACTTTATACAAAAAATTGACCGTAAAACTGAGTGACTGAAAAATGTCAACTTTGTGAAGCTGAACTGATGTATTGAAACAACACACATTTTACTATATTAGAGTCAAACATTCTTCCGAAAGTTGGGAAACCTACTCTCCCAGAAATAAAAGTGAATGGTTAAACGATTCAGTGACTTCTAATAATCACACCTTTGTAAATGTGTTTTATTTACGATAACAAAATGCAACTGTTGTTTAATCTGATTTGACTTTGTAGTTAATTATAGTCAATAGGTGTTTATTTTTAATAAAGATTCGCTTATTGTTTACTTAATTAGTACATGAGCTATTTATTATGGTATATAATTCGTGGGGCTATTACCTAATCTATCTAATAATGTAGAGAGTTTAATGTTCAACGGCCCTAAAAGTGTAAAATGTATATAATTGTGTTCATATCTTGTAGATATTTTTCCGAGCAAGTACTGTAAAAGTACTATTATTTGTTGGGTTTCTAATTTTCATGTTTTTCGTGGAAGGCTTTATCCACAAATTTAAGTGTCCAACGGAATATAACAACTGTTGTTTAAATCAAGACATTGAAAGATCTCCATGTAGGTTTGACTACTGTAAATTCAGAAATTATTGCTTGCATTTATTATTGCGATTTTGTCATTTTAGACTAGAATGCGATTTTAATTTTTGCGATATTGAGAAAAATCCTGTTTAATTCATATAAAAAATTCCAAAATGCGAGTTTAAATTATTGCGATTATAACCCTGTCGCATTTTTCGCAATAATTAAAACATCGCAATAATTTCTGAATTTACAGTATATGGATATGGGTATATAATCTAGAGAGTACATCGAATATCAGCAAACACACTATGAACTATATATCCAACTTCAGGCAGGATTACTATTTAATCTTTAAAAAACCTAAACTGTACGACTTTTAACCTTTTAATTTTCATGAAAAATAGTTTTGATCGATGAATGTCAGATTTCCGGTGATGGGATGCGATGATGAAGTGTTCATTTTATCTTCTCATAATTCTCATATGGAAAAAAAATAATAATTTCATATTGGGCTTGCTTTTATAAGAACTAATTCTAAAATTCATAGTTCATTTATAGCATTTGTTTATGTAACTGTTTTCTATAAGTGACATGTTTGTTGCCCAATTAACACCTTTGATGATCGTTAATCTGTTGATCATTCAATCTCAGGTTAATTAGTGTCATCACTTCTGATCACACGTGTGCAACAATTTAAATGTTTACTTTGCAATTTCTTTCAATCAAGACAATGTGTAAGCATAGATGAATCAGCTTATTTTCAAAAGCAATTATTCTATTAAAATTTGTTGAATGTTGTCAATTATGAAAGACAAACAAGTAAGTGAAAATGAACAATAACAATATATGATTATTTTAAAGAATCTTCGTTTCTGATGGCTTCAAATTCTTAACTCGATTTTTTTTCTTCAGAAAACTAAAATCCACGAATTATAGAACCCACGATTATGTAACTTTCGCTCAAACCACGAAAAATTGATACTCACAAATAAAAGTACTTTCACTAGATTTGAATATTGCTTGGTAAAACCAACGAGTAACCAATTAGTTATTCTTCATCAAGTTGACATCCTTAAATTTTATGAAATATTAGTATGTACCAACCTGATATGACCTACATTTTATAACTGACTTACTATACCATTAGTGCCTGTAAAATGTTGGTATGTACCTTTCTGACATGACCTACATTTTATGCATGACTAACTTTACCTTTATTGCCTGTGAAGTGTTGGTATGTACCTTTCTGACATGCCCTACATTTTATGCATGACTGACTTTACCTTTAGTGCCTGTGAAGTGTTAACATGGACCAGTCTAATATGACTTTTAATTGTCTGCCATTTATTGCCATCAGTATCACGGTTTAATACTTCCTGAAAATAGTAATTACATACATTATCTGACTGTAATTATATACATTATCTGACTGTAATTGAAGTAAATTGAACAAATCTGATGATTAACAGTCACCATTTTCAATTGAGCACCTTTATCTAAGGGCCAGCTTCAGTCGTAAAATTTGCATTATATCTGACTACAATTTGACTGGAATTTTAAAAAATCAGGAAGAAAAAGTAATACAGATTCTATGGCATATTGTACATTTTCAATGAATACCAACATGATAAAAGGACATTCCCACAACTGACAATATGAAAGGCAAAAAATTATATTCCTTTGAAATATTTGTTATTCAAAATATTACATTTTGGCATATCCTAGATCCATTATTATTCATGGGATACTAATTTTTCATGGGTTTCTTGAGTAAAGGTGTATGATTGACTTATTGCTTGGTTAACATCCAGTCGCAATTATTTCATGCATATTCAGGGGGAAGGTTGAGATCTCACATAACATGTTTAACCCCGCCATATTTTTGCGCCTGTCCCAAGTCAGGAGCCTCTGGCCTTTGTTAGTCTTGTATTATTTTTAATTTTAGCTCATTTATATGTTTTGGAGTTTAGTATGATGTCCATTTTCACTGAGCTAGTACACATTTTTGTTTAGGGGCCAGCTGAAGCCCGCCTCCGGGTGCAGGATTTTGTCGCTGTTTTGAAGACCCATTGGTGGCCTTCGGCTGTTTTCTGCTCTTTGGTCGGGTTGTTGTCTCTTTGACACATTCCCCATTTCCATTCTCAATTTTATTAACAGCTAAAACAATTGGTAGGTTCTGCAAGGCATGAAGGGCTGGATATCTGGACAGCCAGTAGTCAGATAGGTCTGGATATCTGGACAGCCAGTGGTCAGATAGGTCTGGATATCTGAACAGCCAGTGGTCAGATAGGTCTGGATATCTGGACAGCCAGTGGTCAGATAGGTATGTTAGATAGCCTTATTAGCCTTGAAAAAAGGCAACATACCAACCACTCAAAGATTTGTTGCAAGAGTTCTTTAACACACAGATTGAGGAGAGCACATCACTCCACACAAGGCATCAGATTTAGAGTCTAAATTCTGAAAAGACTTGGCTGTGAATCTGCATACCCTGCACAGCCAAACAGACACCCCACTTTGGCAAGTGTTTACTGCAAGTTGGTATACGACTAAGGGTTAAGTCACCCTTGAGTAGGGGTATAGGTGAACCATCAATTTAAATATTTAACACAATGCAAAGGAGTTGGTTCATGAACTTATAATATTGGCCTTAAAAATGTGAAAATTTTATGAAAACATATGTCAAAATATCCAGTTATTTCAGCTAACAAAAAAAATTTGACTAATCACGTCATTTGTGATGCATTTGTGACATTATAAATATAGACAACATATTTTTGCATAATTTGGCAAAATGTATGACAGTTTTCTGAAAAATTTAGAGTGGTGCCACCTCTCCCACAAATATTTTTGCTGAAAATGGGTTTTCATGCTATTAAGAATGCATTGTGACGTCACAATTTCCATTGAAAAAGCATAGTAAGAATTCATATGACGTACGAAAACATATGATCTAACCATATATGAAACAGATATATAATTTTTCTTATTATACTTTCAAAAATAAACACATACAGCAATTACATACACAGTAGATTTACTTGAACTATAGTAGTTTTAAAGGGCTGTTTATTGGGGTAACAGGCTCTACTCCTTTCAAAAATGCCTGTATGCTGAGTTTGTTGTAAAATGTTGTAACAACAGTATATAGTTTCCATGAAAGTTGGTAACATAAAAATAAATGAATCCATGGAATAAAATGTCACAAAAAGACCTTTATATGGATGCTTTCAGTAAAAGAATTCTGATTATTTACAGATTTTGTATTTTTAAGACATCCACATTCCCCTCTGTAAATCAACAAGGTAATCATCAAAAAGAAACAGTACCAGTACATCAAATTACAAACTGCTCTAAATATACAAGAACCTATGATTCTGACAATATTTTGATATTCTTTAAAAAGTAACTTACCACTCTCCATAAATTCTGTGCTGGCATAGTAACATTATAATCTATGTAACAAGTTACTTCTTGGTTCTGTGGTGTAATAGGGGCTGCCACATCATGGCTAAAAATAGAAACATTGTAATTTATGTAACAAGTTACTTCTTGGCTCTGTGGTGTAACAGGGGCTGCTTCATCATGGCTAAAAATAGAAACATTGTAATTTATGTAACAATTTACTTCTTGGATTTGTGGTGTAACAGGGTCTGTCAGTTCAAATTTAAAAATAAAATCAAAGAACTGATAGCTCTGAAGTGGAAGAAGATACATGAAAGGATAACTTGAATTACACCCACACCCAGCCTGCTAAGTGCCATTAGTGCTTTAACATGTTAAACACAGTCATTTTCTGTATTTGCTTGTCCCAATTCAGGAACCTGTAATAATTTTATTGAAAAATTCATTTCCTTGTGTCTGCCAATTGGACTGACATTGTAACAACACACTTCAGACACTGAAACTGATTACTTTAAGAGGGGATTTATTTCAGGGACTGAGACTTGACTCTTAATTCCTAAAGGGAATTGCTGGTTCCCTAGGACTGACGAAATTCCACTTCTATAAATAAAATTCATATGCTATGTTCTAGAAAGTATACATAGTAAAAGCCACACCCGCTTTTTTATGGAAAGCCAACGGGGTCAAAATACTTAATTCGTAAATCGTCAATTTGTAACTTGTAACTGTGTAATTTCAAAATTCTTAATTTGTAAATTGTCAATTTGCTACTTGCAACTGTGTAATTTCAAAATTCGTAAATTGAAAATCTGTATTTGCAACTTTGAAATTCAACATTTGTCACTTTGAGATTCTTTATTTGCAACTTTGCATACCTGCCAACTGTCACTATTTGCGGGGGATTTCCCCCATGAAAGCTCCCAAATGAAAATTTTGAAAGAGCAATTTTGTCCACAATTTAAAACAAAACAATCAATTGTACCATGGCTATAGGATTGTAAAGGTATGAAGAAGCAACAAAATAACATTAAAATACATTAGAAGGCCCCTTTGAAGGTTTTGTAGGACTATAAGAGCCATCGTGCACATAAAACCCCCATGGGCATTTTGAAATGTTGGCAGGTATGACTTTGAAATTCAACATTTATAACTTTAAGATTCTTTATTTGCGACTTTGTAATTCATTAAATCTAACATTCGTATACTATTTCTTATTTTGCCGTTCTTCATTTGTAACCACATCACTTAAATATTTGCCATAGACATACTGAAATTCATATATTGATGTTTTGTAACTTGAAACATGTCGATTCGTTAAAATGTCGATTTGTTAAATGTCATCGTTGTATCATTCTAACGATCATTATGACGACAGATGGTGCTCTGTTTTCTTCTTCTGTGTATAAGCCTCCTGTAAGTAGGAGCACCTCCGTATGGAGTATATACCCTTAGTAATTTAAATCAATTATGTACAGCAAATCATATAAAAGAAAACAAATAGATAAATTTAACTTTTATTTTTGTATGCATGGCATATATACAGAAACTCGGTTTTATTTTGTTTTCTGAAGACGACAGATGGTGCTGCTTTCGAGAATGGAAACTACATCATTACAGGAAATCCCAGGTAATAAACAGTTTCTATTAATCCTAAAATGCGATTATCGGACCATTTGATTCTGAAGACGACAGGTGGCGTTGCGTTTGAGAATGGAAACTACATCATTACTGGAAAACCCAGGTAATAAATGGTTTCTATTAATCCTAAAATGCAATTATCAGACCATTTGATTCTGAATGAGGGGGAAGGGCTGACAGATATATATAAATATACATGCATACTAAACTTTACTGGTCAAGAAATAATTGCCGCCACCTGATTTTTGTCCTATAAAAAATTCCAAAATGTGTTGCAGACAAAACGTCCCACAGGGTGTTCTCAAAATATTCCCAATTCCCCATTCCCTACGGCTCAACTCCGGCTTCACACCCCTACTCCGGGGACCCCGCCCCCTTGCCACCCCTCCTCACAGTTTGCCACCATTTTGCTCTCCAAAATGAGCTCTCACAGACCCCCCATCCCCCCCCCCCCCCCCCCCCCAAATAATGTGACATATTGCTTTCTAAAATGAGCTGTCATATATGAAGATTTTTATGGAGAATAAAATAAGGGTAAGCAGATTGGCGAGAATAGCTTCTGTCATGAAAATGGCGAGATGGCAAGAACTTCTCTCTGACCAGTCAGGTGGGGGGTCATTTTGGTTAAAAGTGGGTATAGGTGTATAATAAAACAGAAAGTTTCATAGTTTTACGATCATGGTCATTGACAAAATATCCAGAGGGGTCACCAGGACATCACACCATTATACTACTAGTATATGTCATGTTTTGACGATCCAGTATTCATTAAGTTTTCTGGTTGGTCAGATTCCTTAAGACTTTATATATATAACAAAATATTGCATATGCAATACAGTTTTAATATATAGTATACATTAACTAAGTGACTCATTTAAAATAATACTTTTTTGCTCATTCAATTTGTTTTGCAAAGTACAAACATGATATAAAACATTTTTAAAGAGCCAAATAAATAAAGATTTTTCATCTTTTTGCTTCTTGTATTAAAAAATTGTAAGGGTTCCACGGAACCCAGTTTCTCGCCTACTTTTGCTGTTAGTCGCAGGCTCAACAAAAATGAGGACAAAATTATTAAAAATTTTCCTCTAGATACTATCTTTTGATTGTAAGAAGCTTCTATCCAAATTTGGTAAAACTCCAGGATGGTTTATGAATCTAATAAATGTTTTAAAAACTTTAACTGCAGACTGTATGTAATGTTAACTGGAAGAAAAACTAAGTCCATTTATAAGTAAAATATGGATAAACAGGAATTTTTTTTTATAAAATTTAAATCTGGATACTATCTTATGATCATAAACAAGCTTCTGTCCCAGTTTGGTACAAATCCAGGATAATTTAAGAAAGTTATTAAAATTTTATAAACTTTAACCACAGAGTGAATGTAATGTTAACTGGCAGAAAAACTAAATCCATTTAAAAGTAAAATACGGAAAAACAGGATTTATTTTTTTACAAAATTTACTTCTGGATACTATCTTATGAACATAAACAAGCTTCTGTCCAAGTTTGGTAGAAATCCAGGATTATTTAAGAAAGTTATTAAAATTTCAAAAACTTTAACCACAGAGTGAATATTTGTGGACGCCGCTGCTGCCTACCAGAACAATATTAGTCTGATATTTCATGTATTTAGTCTGAAATTTTTGACCTGGTCATATATTAAGTCTGAAATTTCCAACCAAGTGACAGTCATAAATTGCCAAGTTGAAAAAGGGACCCATTACAGCGACACATCTGTATATACCTTAATAAAAGAAGCGACACACCCCCTCCCAGGTGTGGTGACCATTACAGTAGACATACATGTATATTCGAGGTCACCTCTATATAAAACTGAGTCCCTGTATATATGTCATATAAAAACAAAAGAATATTTATCTATTTGTTTTCTTTTATATGTATGCGCTGTACATAATTGATTTAAATTACTAAGGGTATATACTTCATATGGAGGTGCTCCTACTTACAGGAGGCTTATACACAGAAGAAGAAAACCTGCGCCATCTGTCGTCATAATGATTATTAGAATAATACAACAATGACATTTAACAAATCGACATGTTTCAAATTACAAAACATCAATATATGAATTTCAGTGTGTCTATGGCAAATATTTAAGTGACGTGGTTACAAATGAAGAATGGCAAAATAAGAAACAGTATACAAATGTTAGATTTAATGAATTACAAAGTGGCAAATAAAGAATCTCAAAGTTACAAATATTGAATTTCAAAGTTGCAAATTAAGTTTTTCAATATACGAATTTTGAAAATACACAGTTACAAATGGCAAATTGACAATTTACGAATTAAGAATTTTGAAATTACACATTTACAAGTTACAAATTGACAATTTACGAATTAAGAATTTTGACCTCGTTGGATTTCCATATTTTTTTGCCACAAGAATTCAGGAAATGAAACTTTTTGTAACTGGTTGAAAACATCTTATGAAACTCCGGTAATTTCAAATCATGTGTGTATTGTCTTTCATGGAACACTTTGTTTTCCATCATCAAGTAGAAGTTATAAATGCTTGAATATGATTCTAGAACACATTATGAGTAAAATTAAGTCAGAATCTCTAAAAAGCATTTGGGAAAGTTGTGTTTGACATTTAGCAGGTGTAAATTGAAAATACAGTGTGAGTGTGCAGAAAATTAGTACTTAATAGATATCACTAGACTACGACTTTGAAAGTAAAACAGTTCCGTCCTTTAGTAAAATATATCCATCACATTAATGTTTGAAGCATCTTAGCTAAAACATAACACATGCATCAGGATGAAACACCAAAACGGAATGAATAACCAATTACGTTTTGTAGTTTATACATCGTTATGTAAAAGCTGGTTCCCAGTTGAATTATACACTTTTCCATTCCATTAAATACAAGCGGATACCAGTTTCTGTTAAGCAATGCTATGAAAAGAAACGAGAAATTTGTAATGAAGCGTGTAATTTTGATATCATTTATCAGTTAAAATTGGATTTTGAATTAAAATTGCATGATAATATGGATTAGGTAAATTATTATTTTTGAAAATAATAATTATAAGGACGCCCTCTACAATTTCAATAAAAAAACATGGCAGAACCTACAACAAACCTTGCAAAATCGAGATTTTCTCTTATTTCTAGCTTATTGTACTCTATAATCCGCACCCCTGCATGGCAATTTTTATTTTGGAGTAAAAAACCACTGAATATACAAGCCCGAAGTAGATGTGGTTTGATTGCAAATGAGACAACACGCCACTAGAGACCAAATGATGAGAAGGTTAGCATCTATAGGTCACCATACAACCTTCAACAATGAGCAACACCCATAGCAAGCAAGCTATAAAAGTCCCCCAAATGACAAATGTAAATCAATTCAAACCAGAAAACAATAATTGAAAAGCAAATATGAATCAAAGAGCTGAAAGCTCTGAGGAATAATGACGCCACTGTCTCTAATATTGTGATATTTTTTATGCAAGTCTTGATTTTCACATACCGTAATAAGTTTAACATTGCAACATGTCTCGTAAGCATATAATTGATATTCGTATATGTGTCTGTTTTTTCAGTACAAATGAATAGGTCAAGACTACCTGAATGATCTACAGTATCTAATTACTACTGGCTGTTTTTTTGTATAAATAAATAGGTCAAGACTACCGGAATGATCTACAATATCCAATGACTACTGGCTGTTCTTTTGTACTAATAAAAAGGTCAAGACTATTTGAATGATCTACAATATCCAATGACTACTGGCTGTTCTTTTGTACATATAAATAAAGACTACCTGAATGATCTAAAGTATTCTAAGTAATGTGATTTTGTTCTTGCAATTACATTTTTCTAAATCAAGAATATAGACTACTAGTATCCTTTTCAAACCAAATGATTATGAAGAGCCTGTTGTTAGCAAGCTCTTATACCCCACATACTCATTAAATAAGTTACTAGTGACCTAGTTATTTCTGTTACTTGAAGCAAATTATATTTCTGTATATTTAGACAATAGTATAATATTGTTTTACTAGTTTTATTTCACCTTGAAGATTATACAAATAGAGATACTCCTTCGATTTTTTATTTCATGTCAGTCAGGTCGCTTTATATGAAACTTGAAACCACTTCTCTGCCATATTGTTATTTTATAACAACTCAGCCCTTGACCATGTTGACCCATGTAATTGATATTCATTCTTTAACCATATATCATAGTCAGTTAGTTTTTGATTTTGCACTCCCACACCACCTTTCATGTCTTTCAGGTCAAATGTCTGTCTCCATTTAAGTTAATGACATTGAACAATCATGGTATTAAACACAATTTCAATAGTGATAATGCTGTTCTCGTGGGTCACCATATATTCAACTTGGGTAGCATTCCAGTTATTGAAATTTGTGTCAGATTAGAACAATGATCTAGATCTTTAGGAATGGATCTTATAATTTAATATGGAGCCATAGTATGGGACCCCTACACGGTAACAAAAAAAAAACAAGCTTGAAAGGATACAATGTCAAGCGGCAAAATCTATCACCAGAGATTACAAGTCAAAAGAGGATGGACGGGATACGTCTCTAAAATGCTTGCTGAACTGGAACTACAGCAAGATCTCCAGACAAGACGAACAAAGCGTTGAAGCCAGAAGTTAATATTTATGTAAAAAGTAGTTGAGGGGCTGATTCCCGCTATTGAACCATACTGTCATTCTATAATATCATTGCGTAAGTATTTCTGTATTGGCCTTGTTATTGGTCCATGTCTTGGGTGTATTGGTCTGAGGCGAAGCAGAAGGCCAATACTGCTGGCTTAGGACCAATACAGAAATACACGTAATAGTATCTTTATTAATTAACTACAGTGTTACAATATTTTTTTTATTTCATTTCACAAGAGATAAACATTTTTACCTTGAAGTGGAACTATCCAAATCTCAGTTTCTTTTTATAAGATGCAATATCTAATGATTCGGTGCCGTTTGAAGTATCTTCAGCCTTTTCTCATCTGATGAATTTTTATACCCTTTCCAGTCACTATAAAGTGTTACAACTTTAATTTAGACACAACACATAAATAGTAATTGGAAAGGTACTGGCATTGCATGTGTAATGCAAATATATTTAAAAAAAAAAATAATGTAAGAGTTGAAATTGATACAACTATCCATAAGCCAATTGACCAAAGAACGAAGATTTGCACAATTACAGAATGCATATGCCTGGTTCGGGTTTAAAAATAAACGACCGTTTAAATACAAAACATGAGAAGCAACAGTAAACAGTAATCAAAGCGTGAAAGCGCTGTAAAGGCAGTTAATTACAGGTTGTGTGTATTTTTAGTCCAGTTATATCATTATCTTGCATAGTACATTGTATTTATCAGAGGTGGCTTTCAGTATTTAAGATTTAGAGTTCTCTAATGATATTGAACAAGTTTTATGAATGTCATATTCTGAGCACTATATGAAGGCGATTGTTCTCACTTGTTTATGAACTAGTGCATTATGTCCAGTTTGTACCTTTTTTATCTATGTTTATAGTCAAATACTGTTTAAAATAGTTTGGCATTTTCTTTTTAGTAATAAGTAAATGTTATCAACTGTATTTTATTCAACTTTGCAAATGTGGTTTGTTACTGGTAAGTACAATGTATGGATGATAGTTGTTTCATTGGCAATCATAACACATCTCCTTATTTATATAATGATCTATATTCAACGACCACAGGTACAAAAAAAATGTATGTAACCAAACTATGATGGGAAACCTTTGACTTCTTTCTTTTATATAAACTTTTGATTTGGTACCATAGAACTATGTACATGATGTAGAATAAATGTACATTGCAACATGTCAACTCTTTCAATGACAATACTTTTTTTAGAAACTATAACTCCAAGCAAAATTATATTTCCAAGTATTAAGTAATTTATGAATAAAACAAGAGTGCACACGCTGAAATGTCTCGCCTTCTTTACTAATCATTGATATTATGTTGATAGTCCTAAATATAAAGCTTTATTACAACTGTCACATAAACTTAACATTAACCAAGTAAACTAAACATTGACCAATGAACCAAGAAAATGAGGTCAAGGTCAGATGAACCATGCTAGGCAGGCATGTACAGCTAACAATTCTTCCATTCAACAAATATAGTTGACCTATTGCTTATAGTTTAAGAAAAACAGACCAAAACACAAAAATTTAAAACTGAGCAATGAACCTTGAAAATGAGGTCAGGGTAAAAAAAAACCTGCGTGACTGACAAATAGATCATAAAATATTTCCATACACCAAATATAGTAGACCTATTGCATATAGTATTAGAAAAAAAGACCAAAACTCAAAAACTTAACTTTGACCACTGAACCATGAAAATGAGGTTAAGGTCAGATGACACCTGCCAGCTAGACATGTACACCTTACAATCATTCCATACACCAAATATAGTAGACCTATTGCATACAGTATAAGAAAAACAGACCAAAACACAAAAACTTAACTATAACCGCTGAACCATGAAAATGAGGTCAAGGTCAGATGACACCTGCCAGTTGGACATGTACATCTTACAGTCCTTCCATACACCGAATATACTAGACCTATTGCTTATAGTATCTGAGATATGGACTTGACCACCAAAACTTAACCTTGTTCACTGATCCATGAAATGAGGTCAAGGTCAAGTGAAAACTGTCTGACGGGCATGAGGACCTTGCAAGGTACGCACATACCAAATATATTAATCCTATTACTTATAATAAGAGAGTATTAAACATTACAAAAAATCTTAACTTTTTTTTCAAGTAGTCACTGAACCATGAAAATGAGGTCAAGGACATTGGACATGTGACTGACGGAAACTTTGTAACATGAGGCATCCATTCCTTCCACCTTCTAAAAAATAAAGCTTTTAAGAAGTTAGCTAACGCCGCTCCCGGATCACTATCCCTATGTCGAGCTTTCTGCGACAAAAGTCGCACGCTCGACAAAAAGGAGTTCTTAATTAAGAAATAAACTGATTCGCTGAGCGCAGCTGGATACACCCGCAGAGGTCCAACCCTGAACAGTTGGGGCAAAAATGGACACAATATTCAAGCTTGATACAGGTCTGAATTTGGATTGTAATTAAATATTTGACATATTATAGTTTCTGAATAAATGTAGTCAAAGAACTTGAAATCGGTTATATGAATTGAATTTATATTCAATTAAAGATTTCTTGCTGTTGTGCAATACACTGTGCTGTTGCGCAATACTAAATAAATCTGTTGCCAGACTATAAACAAATAAAGTTCAATTTCTTCTCAATGTCATATTTGAAATTTATGAAAATCAATAGGGAGATTACATCAATAGCTATTAATAATTCACCAAAGTTTCATGCGAACTGCTTAAAGCATTTTTGAGTTGCTGTCCAAAAACTGGAAAATCCCCCCTTTTTTAATGAATAAAACCCCATAACTCAGAAATGTAAAATCTAAAGGGAGCTTACAGATTGATAATTTAGTCTTAGATGCAAGATTTTTTTATCAGTTGTTAGTGGCTTTGAACTAGCTGTCAGTAAATGCGAGTACTCTCAGATCTGTACTTAGTGTCTTTTTGTTGTTTGGATGTACAACTACCCGGCCACGTCCACTTGTATTTGTATTTATCCATCTGATAAGTTAAGCCTCTTTCAACTGATTTTTATAGTTCGTTCTTATATTGTACTGTTACACCACTGTCCCAGGTTAGGGGGTGGGTTGGGATCCCGCTAACATGTTTAACCCGCCACATTCTGTATGTACATGTATGTGCCTGTCCCAAGTCAGGAGCCTGTAATTCAGTGGTTGTCGTTTGTTTATGTGTTGCATATTTGTTATTCGTTCATTTTTTGTACATAAACTAGGCCGTTAGTTTTCTTGTTTGAATTGTTTTACATTGTCATTTCGGGGCCTTTTATAGCTCACTGTGCGGTATGTGCTTTGCTCATTGTTGAAGGCCGTACTGTGACCTATAGCTGTTAATTTCTGTGTCATTTGGTCTCTTGTGGAGAGTTGTCTCATTGGCAATCATACCACATCTTCTTTTTTATATTTACATCAACAGATATAAACAATTTACCAAAGTCAAGGTGAGACAACAAAACTTAGTTGTAAGATCTCTGAAATTTTTGTACACGGTACAAGCTTTTCTAATTGTTGGAGATTGTACGGTGACAGTAACACCTGTAACTGCTTAACCCATTTCTTATGCACTTTGGTTCGATAAAAACAAACTGAATATCATACCACATCTCCTTATTTTTATATGCATTACAATTTACATGTGCATGTAATTGTAAATAATATTTATATATATATATATCAGAACAAACTTCATTGCGTCACTTTTATTTATGCAACCTTTGGCACAATACAAGTTCTAAAATTACACAACATAAAACAACTAAATGATACTTCAGATGAAAGTTTTGTTTCTGTTCCATTCATAGGATTTATTAGAATTTTGTATGTTTTGCCAAGTCCAATAATTAGCTCTATGTGCACGTGTTCATTGGAGACTTTTCTATCCCGTATAAGAGTTTTGGAACTAATTCTGTTTCTTTTTTTGAAAAAAGTGAGCAAACAAATCTTGCACATTTAAACCTTTGTCTGCCATCACACTGTCACCTGGATCAAATAATTGAACTATTCTACATCTTTCAACTATTTCACAGTCACTGGTACAACCAACATATGCATTAGAGACATAGTTGACTAAACCACCAGGTGTCGAACATACAAGTATTTTCAGTGTTTCTGTTTTTATATGATGAAAAGGTTGCCTGAGCTCTAGGAGCTTTAGGTTTTATCACGGGATATTCTGTGCTGTCAATAATAATCCAAGTTGTAGGAAACTTTAATTTGAAGTTGGATGGCGAAAAATACCTGACTAAACCACTAAATGGCCAAGTGTTAGCCTCACGCCACTGTTTAGACATAAAAACAATCCATGTTTACACAATATTCTTAACACTAGTTTCAATCTAGAATCTAGACAGTTCAAAGTTGGTTGTATAATGCCTCAATTTCATCAAAGTCATAAAAAAACTGATTTTCAAATGACACCCTATCAATTTGAAAATATATGTATCTCAAACAATGTGCTGCTGGACCAAGTGTGGTCAAAACAAATAAAAATTTAGTATACAACTCTAAACCGGTATAAAAATGCATGGCTGTGTCACGTGTCTTCATTTCAAAATTCTCTGCTGAAAATATAGGCATTGATGGTGTTTGCGTAATTCCATCTGTGAAGCTCAACATTAGCTCGGCAGTTGGTGGTGGACAGTCATAAATCCTGTCTGCAGTATGAATGACTTCTTCAGGAAAACCAACTTTACAATCAAAACTTTCCTCTAGATTTCTACTACAATATTCATCAAGTTTAGTTCTTTTGTTTTCACAGGAAACTGCCCTGATTTTTCTTTTTGCGGACGATTCAGTCTCTTGCTTGGTCCAGGAAAATAGGCTGGGAATGGCAGTAGACTTAAGTCTCTGTATGGTGGGTTTGCGCCCTGAAAAAGGTTATAAAACATTAGTTTTTTGATAATTAAATGAACTTCCATTAACAATGCATACGTTGTACTACCTGGCAAAATATTAACTAGATTTATTCATTACAATCTGGATAAAACTATGTTAGCCTGATTCAATGTACATCAAAATGTATGTTATGTAAATCCAAAGGACAAACAATGAGAGACTTATGCAACAAACATACATTGTTTGTACCTAAATAACTATAATATAGATGAGAGCATGTCATTGTTTTGTTCCTGTTAACATTGTCATTGATATTTTTCAAGAAAGTCTATGAGGCATAGCTTATGCATTCCTGTCATTACTACATTAGCATAATTACTGCTAAAATAATTCTCAGTATGATATACCTCTTGTAAGAAATCATTATAATTGTAGCAAGCACCAAAAAATCTCAAACAGATCACATTGAATCGTAATCCAAAAAATTATGACGTCTTGAATTAACCACCCCCTTTTATTCTAAAACGATAATTGCGGTTGTAAACAGACTTTGGTTTATTTGCATGGCGATTACATATATAACTATATATTTTAAAAAGAAAATAGAGTTTTACCATGAATAGTTTCCTGCACGTAGTCTTTTTCAGTAAAATGTGCCTTGCAAACAACAGCTGATTGAGATGGACTCCATGATTTCATCGTGTTCTCGTCCAATCTGCGTATGGGCCATGGCGTTGATCCAACTTTTCCTTCTTTTTAAGTCATTTGGAAATGCATGTCCTCCTCTTAAATGACATCCAGGTACACAACAACAAGTACTTGGCATCGTTAATTAAAAATGCAACTGTAATAGCTGCCCAGTGCAGAAACGGAAGTTGAAGAACAGGATCGGCTACCACAGCGCCACATATTCGGGAACGATAATTTGCTAATTTATATAACTGCGAATAACAATAACGTTAGACGGGTTCGCGTGCATAAACAGAAATGCGCTTTAAATTGTATAATATAATTCATGTTCAGTCGACCTTTAATTATTATATCAACGACTGAAATGATTTATAAACATCTAGATTGCAGATAACACTCGAAATTAACCCGACCTCTTTCCACACGGAATTCAAATAATTCTAGTTTGTCAATCGGTTGACTGCTTATAATGTAAAATACAAATATATCAAAAGTTTTTAAAACTAACAAAACACATACTCGTTTCTCTATTTCCCAATGTAAATGAAATGAAACAAAAAACATTTTATATCACAATAAGAAGAGGAGAGAATCAACATTTTCCGGATCTACTTGGAGCCTAATGACCCCCCACGTAGATAAGTTGGATATCGCGGAAAGAAAGATTAACACGGCAACTAGAAAGGCATTAAAGCACTGCCTTTAAAAATCGATTTGTACCATGGACATGATGAAATTATGAGGTCGTCAAGAAATGAACTTTGTGATAATTTACTCGTTCCCCAAACCTGAAATAATCCCATCGTCTACTTTCAAAATGCTTTTTAAATGAATGGGACCGTCTTTAACCTAAGATATATGCCATACTGAACGTTTCAGCTTGTTTATGGTGAGTAAACCTGCGTCTTACAAACAACTGTTTTTACTTTCAGTTTGAGTTTATCGTGACTTACGATCTAAAAACTAGAGACGTTCCGAAATCCTGTTTTGTAAACAAAGATTCATATGCACCGCATGGGTATAACCGTATTACTAATTTCCGATTTTTAAAATCTTCATAAATCTGGATAAAGACCAGTTTCTATCCATTGGATATCAAAATGATTCTGATTTTCACTTTTTTTAATGATTGTAAAGTTGAAATGGCATGAAAGGCTGACATTATTTAGGAGAACTATTTTGTCTAGCGATTGCTGATCATTGGGGGGTAAAAAGTCCAACACCATAACAGAACGGATCTATTTATCATGTATACATACCGATTGTTTACGATTTTAAGACATGTGCATAAAGTGAAAGCTCGAATAAATATGAAAAATATAACAAAGGGATAGCTCCAAATACCATTTAATAACAAAAAACATATGGACAGGTCAAGATATCTTTTTGGTAAATAAAATAAAGTATGTAAACTGGTTCCCGTCCGACTACAACACTTTGTTCGAGTGTAGCGTAATACAAGCAGATTCCAGTTAGTATGTAAAATAGTAAATATGAAACCGAGTGCGGTAGGCGGAGGCAATAATCGACTTCCGTAAGTTCTGGTCAATGGTATCGGAAACATGCCGCTGATAGCGTCATTTTCCAAAAACAGCAACAAACAACAACCACTGAATTACAGGCTCCTAACTCAGGCACATACAGAATGTGTCGTTGTTAAACATGTTTGCAGGTCCCACAATGAACAAAACCCATACCATATACGGTTACCACCTATATAAGGCACAGACATGAAACATGTGAATCAATTCAAACGAGAAAACAAACAGCCTAGGGACAGGCAAATAATGAATGAGTGCTCATTTTTTTGGCCTTCATTTTGTCATGAGAAGCACTATATTAAACTTTGAAAGGATTCAATCAAGCATTCTCAAGTTATCGCACAGAAACCACATACATTGCCATTTCCCAATCATACAAGGATGATTACTCTGAACAGCAGACATGAAAATAATCAATATTTATTTTAACTTAAGTTATTGCTAGGACATGAACACAAAGAGTTATATTTTTCCTTTGATAAAAGAGGTTTCTCAGAACATGTTGGCAATGCTTTTTTTTAAATGGTTTTATCGAATTACATAAAGTTCTGTAACTGACCTATTGAGAGCTCCACTAGTTATACCTATTGTATCACATCCCATGTTGTATAGGTTGGTGGATGGGGTGATCAACCATGGAATCACTGAAATATTACGGTACCTAAACTAAGTTACTGACCTATTGAGAGCTCTGCTTGTTATACCATGAACCAATTGTATCACATCTCCATGTTGTATAGGTTTTGGGGGGTCATCTACCACCATGGAATCACTGAAATATCAAATTTTCTCTGTTAACCGACTAAATGACTTACTTCTAAAATAAATGATACTTGTTACAATAGTTTTAAGAACTCTGCAGGTAAAACAGTCAAGCGTTAACTTTTTAAGTGGTCAATTGTGCCATGTTGCAAGAATTTGCAAGAATTCTAATACTTTTTCCAAATGATTTTAGCTTGAAAATCACTTTTTTAAGGTTGTATAAAGCAGATGATTTTGCCTCTTGTAACTTTATGTGTGCTTTTACTTTAGCCCAGGAATCATTTTCAAATTGGAACTGATCAGTACTTTAATTCAAGGGGTGGTTTGGTATGCTGTAAAACCATTTACTATATACTTAGTAGTAAATACAGGTGAATTGTATGTGTAATACGATCAATGGCAATCGTGCTTTATCAGTCACAATTACAAAGGCTTGATCACACCCCTAATCTGTATGACATCATGTCATTGATATTAGTTACAGTTGCAAAGGCTTTATCAAACCCCTAATCTTAAATATGTCATGTCACTTAGAAAACATCTACTTGAGGTATATAATAAAGTGTATATGATATGACTTTTTCAATATCACACACCGTATCAACCCTCGACCAATATAATCCCTTGTGTGGAGCTCTTAGGATCATATTGGTGTCTCGGGTTGATAAGATGTGACATTGAAAAAGCTATATGATATTCTCTATTTATCAACCAACAAATTTTAGTCATGAGTGCCTCTACCACATCAGAATTTGACAGTCAATTGCCAGTTTCTAACAAGGACTGTTTGAAGAGATTTACCTGAAAAGAAGCAAGTATACATGACCATGATGACATCCCATTTGTTTAATATCTAGTTTGAATCAAGAAGATTTTAGTAAATAATCTACACATTATACGATAAGTTTACCTGTCAGGATGTTTAACTATCCACCAGTTATTGATGTCCTTAAATACATAACATGTGACCTGTTGTTGGTGACTACTACCACGTCCATCGGAGTAACGTAACGGATAAACATGGGCATGGGAATGTAACCAGCACGGCTTTCCTCCTGCATGGTAAGTTGGACGTAAGGTGATCTGAGATCCAAAGGATACATGTAATGGCTGTCCTTTTGTTAAAGCTGCTAATCCACCCTGACAATAGAACAAATATAGATACCATCAAACCTATTTATAAAAAGAACAGAAGCAGATACTGTCAAAACTGTATATAATAGAACAGAAATATTTGTTGTATATGCAGCTGTCTTTAGTAAAGAGGTCTTCATTATAAGCTTCAGATATATTTACAATGGTCTCTTATCATTAGTGAATTGGTAAATATATATGTAGGCAAGATTGGCAATATGCTGTATCAAAGATCTCTGCTTAATTTATTGCTTATATATAGAAAGAAACTGGAATCTGGTGCGATGCATTCTAATTCCACAGATTACTCTAGAAATAATTTGTGGAGACGATACAAACTGTAATACAATAGAGAAACTTTGTATAATGTCATACAAGCTGCATGGAATTAATACAAAAACGCAATGTTCTCTTTTCAGGATTTGTATTGTGTTCTATGTTAAAAGTTTAAAAGTTATTAATATATCAATAATATAGTTCGTTGAAGAAGACCAGTATGACTGGTTAAAAGCTCCAGATTATTTCAGTATTTGTTATTTACCTCAATTTGAGAGATTTTGATTACATAAATATATTTATCTTACCTCCTATAACTTCTAGGAATATTATTGGTTAAAAGCAAACATGTGGAGACCCTGTATATTTAATATAGAGTTAATGGGCATGTTTTATTTTAAAACATGGTTAGTAGCAGTGTTACGTTCCTCATAAAAACAACATGATGTTGAAGAAAAATCTGAAGCGTTTCGGAAGCGTTTCGCCTAGACAACTGATGAAAAAATTGATGATGAACGATTGAAAATAAATGCAGAAAACACATTAAAGGCTAACAAATTGTTAATTTTGGTACTCGTTTTTGTACAGACCAATGAAAGTAGGTTCTTAATACTGAAGATTTTATCATTTTATTAGGCCCCTAGTCTGAATTCAACATGTTAAGATAGTCGATAAGATAAATTTGTTATACAAAAATGCTAGTGACCTAATATGATATACATATCTCTCAAATAACAAATACTGAAATAATCTGGAGCTTTTGACCAGTTATACTTCGCTCTCACCCCATATGAAATTTACTGACCCTGTATCTATCGTATTAGGTCACTAGCACACTGTGTAACTAATAATATATAGGAATAAAAGGAAAACTAGGTCAGGTACATTCGTCTTGTATTTCTTGGTTTTTTTATTATTAAAATACAATTCTGTTGATTTGTAATTCAGAAGCCATACAATTGGGATAAATTTTTCTTTATCATTGATAACTTAAATTATCCAATCTTTATAGACATATTTACATGCATAATACATACTGTTAATTCAGAAATTGTTTGTGAAAAAATATCATTTCTTGGACAAAGGACAAAAATGCAAGATAAATAAAAACTATTTCATGAAATGCTGCATTCAAGAATGCTTTCAAAATTTTAAATGTGAGTTTTTATTTTTGCAAAGCGTATCCCGTCTTCACTTTTTTTTTGCAATAATAAAAACATCACAAAAATTTCTGAATTTATAATACTTCAGAGCCAGTCACAATAGACTTGTAAATGCCCATCTAATGATTGAGTTCCTAAGCTAGAGATTTTTAAAATTTAGTCAAAAATTTCTTCTGCTAATTTACATATTTTATTGGATGTACACTCTAATATAACATACCTCCAGTCTGGAGTTATGAAGTATATGATTATCTTCAATATCTTGGATAAAACATTAATGCATTTTTTTAAAACCTAAATCTTACCAATTAGCAAACATAGTTAATGGTATTTTATAAAATGACATACTTTGACCATCAAGTATTGTTGTGACAGGTCAATCTAAAGCCCATACAACTTACCTCTAAACTAGCTTGAAAGGCACTGGTCATTATATTGTCATGAGGTCCAGCTTTGATCAAGATACTCAAATGAATATAAAACATGAGAATATAGAAAGTAACTGGAACTCCAATCAGGAAGGTCAGTCTTGCAAAAAGGTGCTTTATCAAATTAAACTGAAATATAACAAATGAACATTCTTAATTTGAAAGAATAAAAGCATTGATATAAAGTGTAAGTTTTTTTATTAAATCTTTGAAAAACTTCACAGTAACTATGAAGTAGAAGAAAAAACAATAAATGCAGTAATCTCCTTGTTTTTTTTTTCATGAAAGTTTCATCTCATGTGCATCAAACTGAATATTTCTTTTCACTCACTCACAAATTTATTTGCATTTTTCTTTTATTGGAATGATTCAATTATTACTAATAAAAGTTCACAAGAGTATTAATTTCACTAATCAATCTGATTTTCAAATGAATGTGTTTTAACCCTTAATGCTTTCTATATCTCTAGTTGTTTTGGTATTCCTTTACTTAATACATTCATTGTGGTGAAATAGTCAAGTTAAAATCATACCTTGAGCTATTTCAAATTTCCAAACTAACCTAAGATTTGTAATTGAACTGCAACTATGGTATTTTTCGATCAGGATGTATAAATGTTTGTGTTGAACAATCACTTAGTAAAACCTTTTGACATCAGGAATAAGTACAGGTTTTCACATTATCTTCACGTCAAATATTAATTTTCATTAAACAAAATTTCTTTTCAATTCATAGGTACCAAGTTTCCTGGCTTGAGAAATAATTGTATTTACTGGATACTTAATTTCATGGTTTGGACAATGCTACATACAAGTTAATAGAACCTTTGTAATTTTGTTGAACACTTCAATTTGTGGTTCACAATCATCCAGAAATCAATGAAACTTAGTAACTCCCAAATGATCATGAATCCACAAAAGGTTTAATCTTTGTAATATAAAGAGCAAACCTTCTCCACTGTCTAAGATCACACTTACATCAGATCTGTAATTATCAGCCAGCATAAACCAGAAATCTTTGGCACATAACAATAATATTACAAACGCTGTAAAAAATCCTACATACTTCACACTGAAAATAAACAATAATAATATCACAATCACTGTGAAAAATCCAACATACTTCACACTGAAAATAAACAACAATAATATTTCAAATTCTGTGAAACATTCTACATACTTCACACTAAAAAATGAACAACAATTACATTACAAAAGCTCTGAAAAATTCTACATATTTCACACTGAAAATAAACAACAATAATATTACAAAGGCTGAGAAAAATCCTACATACTTCACACTGAAAATAAACGACAATAATATATTAAAAGCTGTAAAAATTCCTATATACTTCACACTGAAAATAAACAACAATTATATTTCAAGCATTCTACATACTTCACACTGAAAATAAACAATAATAATATTACGAACTCTGTGAAAAATCCTACATACTTCACACTGAAAATAAACAACAATAATATTACAAAAGCTGAAAAAACTCTACATACTTCACACTGAAAATAAACAACAATAATATTACAAAAGCTGTGAAAAATCCTACATACTTCACACTGAAAATAAACAACAATGATATTACAAAAGCTGTAAAAATTCCTACATACTTCACACTGAAAATCGGGAGGTCGTGAGTTCAAACCCAGGCCAGGTCAAACCAAAGACTTCAAAATTGGTATTTGCTGCTTCTCTGCTAAGCACGTAGTATCAAGGAGTAAGAGCAAAGACTGTTCTGCTAGGAGTCAGAATAATGTGTCCGGGTAAGGTGACATGTCTTCCTGTGGACTGTTACCTTGTGAACTAGCACATTAAAAATCGTGATCAGAGTGTCAGTCTAGTACAAAGCAGGGTTAATATTCATATTACATTAACATGTTCTCGTCCTGAATATGCATATTAATTTGTTGCTGGACATTAAGCAGCCATCCATCATCATCACACTGGAAATAAACAACAATCTTATTAAAATAATTGCACAAAATCTGATATACTTCACATTGGAAAACAAAGCAAAATAGTAAGCTGGTGCGGTCTGACAGTGAAAGTCACTTGATAACTAGACTGTTTGACAAAACAAATGACTTCAGTAGTGACCATTACATTTCATGCTGGTACAATATTCCAAAACTTGAGTTTCGTTGAATTAATACACCTTTTGAACCTCAGGACAATTTAGAGCTTGACATTGTATACACACTTGTCTATTGTTGAAAACCATATGTTAACCACTAGATGCCTTTTTCCTTTTACAGTCGTCGTCATGTAAAATTGGCACAAGGTTTTAGATCTAATATTTTTAAACTATTATTTGCTTTTATTTGCAATGATAATTTTCACTTGTGTCAATTTTACATGACAGCATTTATAAGAATCTTTTCTTTAAGAATTCAAGAAAGTCCACACTACTTTAAGTTTTTACCAAATATCTGTCAAAGAACACCATGGATATATTTCATTTGTCATATCCATAATCTTGCACTCACTTTGGCTTGTACAACTTAATGCCAGAGCCAACTTGTTGAGCAGGAAGTCTAGTATTTACCAGAGTATGAATCTCACACAAATGTACTGGTTTGTTGCACTTAACTTAGTGTAGAAGTGTAGGAAACATATTTTTAGTGTAGAGGTATGTAGAACTTACCTTAGTGTGCAGGTGTATGAAATCCCTGTCAAAAATAACCAGAAAAACCATGGCACTGAAAATTCTCTGCAAAATAAGAGGTATAAAAAGATCATGATTGTATATTCCGATAAGAGTTATCTCTTAAACAAATACATATCTGAGAAGAAATAAAATTTTCAGTTTTCCAAAACATTCATAACTATAAAATTTAAGCATGTTACCTGCAAGCAGTTATATGTGAAAATACACAGTGTGGTTACAAAAGCACAAGTAATGTACAGTCTAAGGAAGACATGTTATGCTATCATCTGCAGTCCACTTTGACAAGACAAGTGAAAATCACAAAATTTATAATATAAATGTATCTCCATTGATTGTACTTCACACTACATATGTTAGCAAATAGCATACAGTATGTTAAAATAATTGTTTCATTTGACCTTTATATTGACCGTAAGATTATTTTCTTTTTACCACCTTACCTGTGTGTCAAACTCCTGAACTTGAGAAAACTGTAAATTGAAAGACACATGAAAAATAACAACATTCCTTCCATCAACATAAATCTTGACTGCACTAATAATGCATTGTCTGGAAATAGAAGAGAATATAAATATATAAAATAAAAGAAGAATGTGTCTGATGACATGAATGCCCCCCCCCCCCCCCCCCACAAGCTTCAAACAAATGAAAATGGGACGAATGGATGGACGGAAAGACGGAAGGTCAAGGGTAACACTTAATGTTAATGCCCTTCGTCGCCTACTGTAGGGGCATTAAAAAACACACACAAAAAACTAACTAGCAAATCAATTATCATATATTAGCTGATTTCCAACCATTTGATACTAAATTCAATTTACATAATATCATTAATACAGTATTTTTGAAAAGCTAAAACTATAAAATTGTTGTTGAAACACTAAAATGAACTCTCAAACTAAGACCAAATGATAAAGAGTCAGACAGATTGACATACACCCATTACAACCAATCCAAATATTGAATTTGGTTGATGTATTATGTATAGTTAATGAGGAACAGACCTTATACTAAACTTGACATGACCAACAGAGCTTGAAATGAGGTCAATGCCATATGGCATATGTCAAAGACTTTTAAAAGACTCCTCAGAACATATCCACTTATTATATATTGCTTTTCTACCATGTATATCTAACAAGGGACATATTTCATCTAGAAGAATTAACCTGACCACTGAAACACAGGGATCATTTTCATTGTAAGGAATGATGAACAGACTGATATATTACTTATCATATTTATTTCATTATAGAGTAACAGAAATATTTTCATTAATTGTCATTTGTAACAATTTCAATGTCAAGCCTGCATGGCTGCCCCTTAATCAAGAATGACCACTAGCTGTCTTTATGGTTCCCAAGTTGTTTTCTTGCTATTTTGGTAATATTCTTGGACTTATAAATCAGGTTCTTTTTTTTCACTTTTTCAGAAGTCACAAACTGGGAACGACGATTTGCAGCATCAACAACAAGAAGTTTCGTACCGGTTTTGTAAAACGCTGAATAAAGATTTGGAGGGCAAACGTTTACAACTTAAATGGTTTTAATGACTTTAAATTGCAAATTTCATAGTCATTAACTATGTTACATGCATCTTTCGATTCTGAATATAAACTTGACGTATTAATTTGATTGTAAACTACGAAATGAATTCGGAATTACGATATGAAATTTTATTCAGATTATCAAGTTGCAGTAAATATTCATGTATTTACTTTTAAACTTGTAAAGTGATTCAATATAATCGATAATTGTTGTACTCAATTTATTTGGCATGAGATTGTGTTCTGTTTTTAAATTCTTGGATTTAAATTTTATTTTTTAATCTAAATTTGCATTAGCATTTGCTGGAACGTAGTTAAATAATGCAATTAATCGTCTATCTTGATCAAGTGTTCTCCTGTCAGGTGTGTCGATCTACCTGTACAAGTGATTAGCGATCTTCAGCGGGATATCCCTTGGGGCTTTAAAACTGTAATCAGGAGGACCCTTTAGATTATAATACAATAATAGTTTTGCAATTACATGCAATTGATTATAATTGCTCACAAAAATGGCGGCGGCTAGCAAAACAAAAACAAATTTTGACTTCACCTTTCAGTCATAGCGCAGTTACTTCACAATGGTGTGGATCATTTGACGATGGCGGAAGATAATTTAACGATGGCGTGGATCATTTGACGGTTGCGGAAGATAATTTAACAATGGCATGGATCATTTGACAATGGCGGAAGATCATTTAACGATGGTGGTGCGCCATCATAAAACAGGTCATGGAGATCCCTGGAAATATGAAAATGAAATCAAGGAAAGGTGACAATAACAAGCCCACAAGGTCTCATTATAATTATGAACAACTTTATTACAACTTTTTGTCATCCTAGGTGAAAGTGGGGATTGAAATTGAGGTATTTTCATTGGTTAACACTGTTGAAAAATTCTACCTATGTCTTTCCTACTTTGAATTTTGTCACATGAAGAAAAAAAAAGCCATGCCATCTGACATTTACTTTTCTCTATGCCAAATGTACACTCTTTACAACCTAGTCAAAAAAGAAATAGATATACTTACCTAATAAAACAAATATTCCTGCTAACAATGCAGACCATCTTGACATTTTCAGTTCCACACAGATTTGATATATTATAGGTACCACTAAACTACCCATCAATGCTGGTGGTAATCTCAGCTGGTAAACTGGGAACTGTGGTGAAAACTCTGAAATAAATCAATGGTTATTGTGATAGACACAGACATTTTTTGTTGCGCTTCATGCCGATCTGATGAGTCAAGTCTTTTTCTAACTGATATTTACTGTTTGTTCTTATATTGTTCTATTACAGCACTGTCCCAAGGTTAGCGGAGGGTTGATGGTCCACAAACATATTTAATTCACCACATTATTTGTGTGCCTGTCCCAAGCCAGGAGCCTGTAATTCAGTGGTTGTCATTGGTTGCTATCTACCATATTTGTTTTTTTGATAATTGTTTTTAGCATAAATTGGAAATCATGCCACATCTCCTTATTTTTATATTATCCACAATATTTATTTCTCAGAGGGGTCTTATGTAACAGCATTCAAATAAATTAACATAGAAAAAAGTCACAATCCTCATTTTCAACAATATGTGTTCAAATCATAATAATTATATAGTGGATCATTGTTTGATGAATAAATAAATATAATAGAAATTGAAAGTTTAGGGGGACATTTATTAAAAATCAATTGCTTTCAGGAAATAAAAGAAAAAAATAGGTGCCCATTCCTGTTCATTCTTGTTTTCTTACTATTTCTTAATAAAACGATAATAAAGACAACAACACCCATCAATTACCGCATGGTAAGAGTTTATTCGAGGGTTTCTTATCGTCAAATTGCAAGTTGCGAGTTGAAAAGGCCCAAGTTGCGAGTTGAAAAGGCCCAAGTTGCGAGTTGAAAAGGCCCAAGTTGCGAGTTACAAAAGTCGAGTTGCAAGTTACGAAAGTCGAGTTGCAAGGTAGAGTTGCGAGTTACGAAGGTCGAGTTGCAAGTTACAAAAATTATAGTTTCTCTAATTTCTTAAGAATTATATATATATATATATAAACGGTCGTGTCGTCTGATTTTTGAAACAGAATTTTCAGGTTTACTTCGCATTTAATAAACAAAGCATATATGTACCCGAACTTAGTTATACACTGCATGAGGAAGGGTCCCGGTATTTTGATTGCAGGATTTGAAAGAGTTATGTGATACTTATTCATAAGAGTCTATATGTTGCAAAGTCATGCACGCTTAAATTTCTTTCATGAGAGCGACATTGTTTATTTTCTAAAATAAAACAGGATATACTGAAGATATAAGACAAAATGTATACCGTACTGAACAAATCAAGCATAAGAAAATAAATCATGTAGACAAAATGAAATATACTTGCAAATTATCGACATCTCACAGAATATGGCACTGTGTTACATGTAGGCCTAAAGTAAATACTTATCAAAGGTACCAGGCTTATAATATTTTCTAGACTCATCAGTGACGCTTGAATGAAGGATATTCATTAGCATACCAAGTGCTAACTCTTCGTCTTTCGCAAAGGTTTAGGGTGATATAGGCACAACTGCATATTTAACTTAGGAAAATATCTCATGAATTAGTCAGAAATGTGATATGCTATTTGCTTTATGTGATAAATTAAATAATTTTGAACTTTGTTAACTTTGTGATTCAACCCCAAGCGGAGAGTGCATATATATACCAAATAGTTAATAATCGAGTTGTTCAATGTATGTATATCTGAATACTACTACAACGCAAAAATAAGCATGCTATAGATGTCTTTCTATGGCATTATGTTAACTTCCTGGCAAAGGAGATCATAATATGGATTTTTTTTTTTTATTTGGAAAGACGTTATTCTACAATAAGCTATACCGCTGTTACAAAAAATAAAGGAACAGTTTTAAGGAATGTTATGGCATGTGTTTTTATGGTATGAGCATGGAAGCCTTGTCTGTCACAAGTTTACTTTTTTACCTGCATGCAGCCTTGATAAAAATGTTGTAGTAGATATCAGCTGGGTATTGTACATTTTAGTATGATTAACCCCTTTTTTAGAAAGAAGTTACATATTCCAAAACTGCGTCTTTTGTCTCTTTTACAAAAGTATCTTTGACAGCTACATGTATAGAATAAAGAATGGAAACGGGGAATGTGTCAAAGAGACAACAACCCAACCAAAATATACAAGTCAATCCAAGGCCACCAATGGGTCTTCAACACAATGAGAAATCCCACACCCAGAGGCAGCCCCGAGCAGGCCCCGAAACACAATGTACACTAGATCAAGAAAATGGACACCATTCTATGCTCCAAAACATATAGATGGACCAAAATTAAAAAATATACAAGACCAACAAAGGCTAGAGGTTCCTGACTTTGGAGAGACGCAAAAATGCGGCTGGGTTAAACAGGTTTTATGAGCGCTCAACCTTCCCCCTTCACCTCTAGCCAATGTAGACATATATAACTTAAACGTCCACAGTTTTGAGTGTCACTGCCAAAGAATAAATTTTGGGGTCCCTAACAAATATTGCCTCTGCAGCTGTCCCAAAGAGCTCACTCTTAATGAAATCTGCAGAAGGGGTCTTTTACATATATGTTCTATAGTTTAGTTGCTATCTCCCTTTATGTTTAATATGACGGTGCTAGCTATGAAATTTAATAATAATTACATGGGGAGAAACATGTTTTAAGTTATTAGGTATAAGCTTTGATGTTAATCTTGATAGAATTGTAAAAATTAATTATTATGAAAAAATTGTACAAATAAAATGTGTAATTAAACAATGGTCAAAACGAAATCTTACTGTTATTGGTTAAATATATAAATAGAAAGTGAAAGTGAAATAAGAATTTAGTTAAGTTAAAAGTGAAAGTTAGTCAATAAAGTTATTAACGATGTGGTTAGCTGCTATTCACACACGCCTGTGTAGTTATTCTCATGGAGGATTTCCAAATGCGTTGTTGAAGCAGTACCTCCCTCGGAGCGAAGCCAGTTGAATTGGTACGGGATGACCAGTGAGGTGTTGTCTAATTTGGAAATGAACTGACATTTTATGATCTACTTCCATCATTTCTACAACAATACCACTAGAAACCTCCATGAGAATAACTACACAGACATGTGTGTGAATAGCAGCTAACCACATCGTTAATAACTTTATTGACTAACTTTCACTTTTAACTTAACCTAATTCTTATTTCACTTTCACTTTCTATTTATACCTATAACGTCGTCATAACAACCATTATTGTAACATTACTTCAGGCGAACCGCATGAACCACCAGTAGACGACAATACAAATACTAAAAATCCAGGCTTTAAATAAGGCTTTTGTACTTTTATTCAGTCACGGACCTGTGACATCGCGGATGTGTTCTAGTATTTCTTAAGTTTACCTTGAAAAAATGAGAGAAAATGTTTTAATGAAGTTTATTTCTAAGAAGACAAAGAATTCTCACTTGATCCTAATGTTTCCACATAAAAAAAATAAATGGGGAATGTGTCCCAAGATGATGCCCCCGCTTGCATATAACGCTATATAGGGACATAACTCAAGAACAGTAAGAGTGACGCCACCCAAATTCAACCTTGATCTGTGTTTTGTGGTAATAAGCTTTACATGTATGTATAAGTTTCATAAAATTTGGTTGAGGCAAACTTAAGTTAGAGAAAGGAAACAAAAAATTCAGCAATTTTTTCATTTGTAAAGGGCATAACTCTAGAAAGGTAAAAGTGATGCCACCCAAATTCAAACTTGATCTGTGTTTTGTGGTAATAAGCATTGTGTATAAGTTTCATAACATTTGGCAAACTAAGTTAGAGAATGGAAACCAATTTCGGGACATATAGAAGGACATACAGACGGACAAGGGTAAAACTTAATGCCCCCTCTCCTACGGCGGGGGCATAAAAATACATGCATATAGTTCTGACTTAAAACAACCAACAAAATACAAGATGCTGACCATTATAGCTACACAGATGGTGCTCAGTTTAACAGTATATATCTACCTAAAATATCAACCCACAACTAAAATGTCATGCTTTTTATTTCTTGTATTAACAGAATAAATATCACTGCAGAAACATGAAATATAATAATTAATGTTAATTCTAGTTAATTTTTACCATATCCTATCTTTTTAATATACCAATAAGTGGCTGAAACATCTAAGTTTTTAATGAGAACATTGCTTACGATACATGATGGGATTGCCCAGTATCGAAATTCTAGGTTGTTAGCGCAACAAAAATTATAAAAATGTTCATTACAACTCCTATTTATGTATTTGTCTATTTTCCTGCTTGTAGAATCTTTACTCTAAGGTTTGTAGGTTGTAATAAAATCATGTTGTGACAATCCAGTTTTATAGTATACACAATAACACTTACCTGCACCAATTCTGTCAAAGTTTATGTCACCTTCAAAACCACTGTAACCACCTGAAAAATATATATTCTAAATAACTGTTTTCTTATATTTACTTTAAGACTATTTTATTAAAATGAATGTGGGAGGGTAGGAAAGGACTCCCAAAATTCTCCCTCCCACACAACCAACATACTTGCTTTGAGTAATTTTGCATTCAACTAAGAGACATGTACAAATGACCCACAACCCATGTCCAAAAATAAAGTTGTCCATTTTAACAGGAATCACCCTTAACTAAAACCTTTTTAATTTGAAAACTTAACAGTACATGAATGTCACTCAATCCATTAAATAAAATTATTTCTAAACACAGATAAATCAAAGGTCTTCAATCTATTTTATAAACCTCTTGAATTTAATTAACACATTTAGATGGTTAAAATAGCTACAAAAAAGTATGTATTAAATCATGCCTTTTCCTCTCTTGGTTAACTGACTAGTTTACATTGTTACAAATATTATTCTGAGCAATGTTTCTTTTAGTAAATTCTATGTTTTTGTACTTGATATGAAATTTAAAACTACTTTCTAATAAATAGTTGATTTGGTTTTAATGGAACATATGACAAACAAACAAATCCAGGTATTTTTTAGATTATATGCCGAAACCTGATATATTCCCCATAGCTGTGGACCCCCTTGTAGGATGTGGTACCAAGACGTTATAAAAACTTCCAAATTCTATACCATAATGTTCCCTCAGGGATCCCTCTGTCAAACACTATATATACAAACCTGCTAAAGCAAGGAGCATTTTTCCTAATGGAGGATGTGAATCAAAGAAGAAAATTCTCTGTAGGTATAATGAAGCATATTTTGCAAAGTGTAATTCATCAAATCTGAAAAAAAATTATCAAACATATTATATATTTTACTGTATCATCATGTAGCTGTGTATTAAGAAAGATATGAAATAATTGTTATATACAACTAAAATCACTATCAAATTACTATCAATTTATGAAAAGTGACTGTTTCACAATTATCTTACACCATAGATTACTTGAAATGAGTCATTGAAAAATCAGCTTTTATCAATAGATTATTTATAAAGGATAGTACATGTGGAGCAGGAATTGATTAACCTTCCAGAACACTTAAAATAACCCCTGGTTTTGGTGGAGTTACAGATGTAGTACAGATCTATAAGATAAACTGTGTAAGGTTAGTGGTTCTAGAACTGTACATATTATCTTTAATCCCACATACAGCGATTATGAAATGATACCTACACTACAGCCCTAGGAAATCCTAGTCTCCAAAGCCTAGTGGCTACTGATAAAATAAACAACAATAACTGGACAACATCAATTTCAAACTGTATGGAGAAAGGTCGTGACCTTTGAGATGATTCTTCTCTTCTGCCTTCATCTAAACTACTTGGTCTTGGTGAACCATCACCCTGTAAAAAATAATTGTAAAATGTATAATTGTTTAATGTATTAACTGGCCTCTCTGTTTGGTCTGATTTTTTCTGACTCCAAATTTATTGAAATTTTATGTGACAATATTTTAAAGGGGCATTAGTTGTCAAATTCATGTTCACCAATTTGAATCAAATTCTCATATTTGATTTATAACATACTAAAACGTGTATCCAAATAATAAAAAGTCTAGAATAAACAATTTACGATGCATGGACTTGATAATATGTATCAGCATTTCGTGTGTATTTTAGTCTAGACGCCATCTAATTAACCATCGAGGTGACCTCCAAAGACTGCCAACAGTCATATAACCCGATATAAATAGATAGCGAACTCATGCAACTGAATTTTTCTAGGTCTATTTGACTTCATATTGTAGGTCTAAAAAATATGTTAATAATCATTTTTACCTGTATAAGAATGAGTTTTTGTAGATTGAATCAGTCAACCAAATGGTTTACCCTTGTTTCACTTCCAATTTGTAGCTAATGCCCCTTTAAGTTTCATGTAAATTTGGTCTAAAATTTTGGAAATATAATCTAAAAATCCAAATAAACATTGCTCTGTTATCAAAATAAAATCTTACTTATTATGCATGCTTATTACTTTTCAGTATTGATTGTTTATCAGGGTCACGATCGTTACACTATAATATTTTAATCACAAGAAAAATATTCATGTGACTTTTAGCCAAAATGGAAAAGTTATTTAACTACTCTCACCAATTTCTGATACAACCTTTTTATTTCTATTCAAATCACAAAAATTTTTGTATTTCTTTTATCTGATTAAATCGGACCTGCATAAACATTTTGTACATGTACATGTATCCATGTTTAGTATATTTGTGATGTTGGATTATTGTATCATTATTCAAATGACCATAATTTCCCAGTATTTACCACCAGACTGGTCAATACTGATATTTAAAGCTTTTTTGCCAACCTTGCAGTTATGTTTTGCAACCCAAAATGTAATATCAAGTACGTACCTCTAGTCTTTGTGGTGTAGGTAAAGATCTGTCTAATGTAGATTCTGTCAATGAAGTTCTTTCTAATGCAGCATCTGATTCTGGTCTGTGTGGGGTTGCGATTGAACCTACTTCTGTTGTTTGTTCTTCCATCATTTATGAGATCTTTCAGTATTAAATTTTAGTAGATGAATTAGGGAGTTTACATATGCATGTATCTTTGGATGAAGTATTGTAGGAATGAAGATACTTTGTGATATATACAACAGACAGACTTCCAGTATCTTAAAAAGAAATAAATATGACATCTATGATCTTTATATAATTATCTTTAGATGAAATCAAGTGCACAAAATTATTCTCATGTAGTAAATGAGACTTTTGGTAAATGTAAAGTATTTACTCCTTGGGGACAAAGCACCAAGTAACTGTTCATGAAATGAGGGATATTTTTCTAGTGTTGATTCTTTCTTTAATCCTCATTTTATATTTTAAAACGTGAAATGGTACATCTTCATGAAAAATGCAGCAAATTTTCCATAAGTTTAGATGAATAGTCCTCAACTGATTGCCTGGGAAGTTATATATAAGCCTATGAAAACTTATCAGAATTGACAATTTTCAAGGCTATTAAGTCTGACTTTAAAAAAAAAACCTAAATGATAATATGGTTCTTTACGAACAAATTATTGCATTTGCTATAAAGGACAAGGTACGATAAGGCCCGTTTTTGGCCCCCCTATTTTCTCATTTTTCAAATTCTGTTTTGGAAAGCTACGTTAAAATATTCCCTTAGGTTTGAAATTTGTTTGGATGAACTTCAAAACCATTTATTTCAGAAAATAGGTTAGTATAGGGGGATCAAAGGGCATCAAAAACGCCAAAAGAAGGAAAAATTACGATTTTTTTGTCATTGTTTCCTAAAATTGAATAGGGTGCGCCTACGTGACCCGGAGAAAATTACGGCGATTTAGACAGCAAAAACAGTGCTTATGACATTGGAATAAAAAAAATCCTGGGTCACGTTGGCGCACACACTTAAAAACTAAAAATTCGTCGTACGGAACACCTGCAAAGTGAATAATATTGACAATATTTGAATAATAACAGAAAGTTTACCCCCCTCACCTCACCCAGTTGCTAAAATAAGTGGTTTGAAGTTCATACAAACAAACTTCAAGCATCTGGGAATATTTCAACATAATAAGTAGCTCTCCAAAACAGAATTTGAAAAATGAGTAAATAGGGGGGCCAAAAACAGGCCTTATCGTACCTTGTCCTTTGTGCCATGTTTAGTAAAAAGGTTCTTTAATTTATAACACTATCTATTTATTACTCAACTGATGGATTGTTTCTCATTTGGGAAATAGTTTCATATTTGGAGGGCATAAAGATTATGTATGTAAATATGTAACATTAACAGATTATAATGTCTAAAACCTATTATTGACAATCTGGTTTTTTTCTCATTTATCTATTTAAAATGTAGTGTACCTTTTTGTGGATGCATTTTTCATAGGAAATTGCTAAAAGTTGTAAGGTGCTACAAGTCTTTTTTAAATGCAGTAGAATATGATTTGCTTGGCCTTCCAAGATCTGCCATGGAGGACCAACAAGGGGTTTTCTAAAGTCCAGGAATGTACATGATGTAGCTATAGGCTTTCTCAAGCTAGGTTTGTAATGGATGTTAGAAAATAAGCATAAGGGTGAAGGTTTAGTACCATTAAAACGTTTAAACCCGCTGCAATTGTTTGCACCTGTCCTAAGTCAGGAATCTGATGTTCAGTAGTTGTCGTTTGTTGATGTGGTTCATAAGTGTTTCTCGTTTTTTATATAGATTAGACCATTGGTTTTCCCGTTTGAATGGTTTTACAATAGTAATTTTTGGGGCCCTTTATAGCTTGCTGTTCGGTGTGAGCCAAGGCTCCATGTTGAAGACCGTACTTTGACCTATAATGGTTTACTTTTATAAATCGTTTATCTCGAGATTTGAATAAAATATTATGGGAACAAGCCTTATAACATTAAGAAATTCAATAAAACTATAAATCAATATAAAAATCAACATACTAATGAAATCATAGCGTTTCTTTGTTTACATTGAAAATGACATCACAACTAAAATCCCTAACAACAGGACCAACATCGGAAACATTTCCGTATTTCCGTTTCTTTTTTAACAGATTATGATGCTAAAATATGCTTTAATGATTTAAAAAATAATGTATACAGACTTCGTCCCCTTTCACAGGTAAAGCCTGCCTCATATTACTTGTTTTATTATTATATTGTATGTCCTATGGACATCCTATGGACGACGTGGAAGTATGGCCGTCGCGTCTCGAAAGACAGTTTGTAAAACGGATTTAGGAGACTCCACCAAAGGCAAAGCCCAAGTAAATTATTGAAGTATTGGGTGGAGTTTCCTAAATCCGATGTTTAAGTCCAGGAATGAAGGAATGATATACATTGGTCAAAGACAGAGCAATGACGTAAAGAATCCGAAAATACTGGTCAAATCTAATACACCTTTGAACAGTTTACTTACCTATTTTATATTTTCAAGAGAAACAGAAATAAAGAAACTACCGGAAGGTTGAAACACTTCTTAAAATGAAAAGATATCTGGATGCGGATACCAAATTTCCCGGAAAATACTCCAATTTATTTAAAAAATAGCAGATACTTACTGTTTATTAATTATGTCTGTATAAAGCACTTTTTGTTGAAATGAAATAAAAGAAGTCACATTTGTTTAATATAAAAGGGGTCGAATTTGAAGAATTTTTTCCATCCGAATATGGCCACACTTTTCCGTCATCGATTTAATATTTATACTTTCAATTGGTCATCAAAAAACATAGTTTAACCGAATTAGGCAGTAAGGGGAAACAACTCCTTTCTATAATGCAAACGCCATTTTTATGCGGGGAAGATCAAGTTTTATGTTTACAAAAAGGTTGATTTAGCGGATCGTACATATCAGAATGACACGTAAGTCTGCCACATAATATTTCATAACATGGTCTTTTGATCTATCTAAATGACAATAATAATCGCACTGTAAAAACTCTTGAAACCAGACGGCCAAAAAGTTGTGCTATTGAAAAATATCGAAAGGAAATCGCAAGGTACTTGCGATTTCCACTTTTTCAAGAATATGACATAAAAAGATAAACTATTCGATTATTTGACATAATATCCATTACAAATGATTGACAAAGTTATAATAATCGATATTGAATGACAAAAATAAAATCAATCAACAAAATAACGAGTTTGCAGTTGCATGTTGACATTGTTGTTGTTCTATTGATATGCTAATCAAACACCACCTCACAAATTGTTTACCACACAGTCACGATAGTCCTAGAAATAGTTCCTACTTTAAGTGTTGGCAGAATGTAAGTGAATATCATCCTAGATTTTATTATATAATTTACACTGCTTGATATACAATGATATAGTCATGTATATTTTTTGCAAAAATGTACCATGTTGTGCTCTCAGTCATTGTTTAATTGTCACTGCTGCCAGGTCAATATTAAATCTTTGTATACTGCACATGGTAAGCATTTTTGCTCCTTTCATAAAGGCAACCAAATTTAAAGTGATTAACTTTTAAGTATTTACTCAGATTTTTTTTAATCCATGATGATGACCATAAAAAACAAAAGACTGGACAGCTTTGTTTGAAATAACATTTCTGATTATATGACAAGTTTGTCTCACAAAGTCTTTAAAGTAAAGTATAGTAAAGTAATCTTTATTTAAAGTCGGGTTGCATATATAAATATTAATAGCAAGGAACATGAGCTCTTAATTAGAGCTCTTTAAGAATTATGTATCCTTTTGTTGTTTCAATGATAAACATGTAATTTTAAATAAAATCTAGCCTTTCCCTTGTAATCTAATATTTGACCATTCTATGCCTGATAGATAGAGGAATATTGCATGCAGTGCTAGCAATGATTTCCTTAGGACAAGTTTATAAATCAAAATATTGGTCAGAACAAATATAAATACATGTATGGACCAATTCAAGTACACCTTCTAGGGTGCACTCGACTTTAGTGACTCAGCATGAGGTTTTTTGGAATTAAAAGTTGTTTAGGACTTTTTGTAAACAATAAATGCTAGCATATCATAGAAAAACAAGTGAGTAATCTATGTTTAAAATTTTATAACAAAAATCTCTTTTTTAAAGTCTGTGGATTTTCTACAAAAATCTTGGTTTATTTGCCACAAAATCCCCCTTTTCTATTAAATGCAATGAAACAATAAATAAAAATGCTTTGCACGAAGTTTCCCCTTGGTATATGTACAAAACAGCCCATCTCTATTATTCATTATCTTTGCTGTTTTGATACTATTGCAGCTTGAAAATTTCATAATTCACATGGCTACAGAAGGGGTCATAAACCTTAAATTTTGGTTGTTGCAGATGCTGTTCTGATTGTAGAGTTATGTGAAATGGAAAGAAAGAGATACATGTACATACAGAGACTGTTTTGATATTAAGGTGTAAGTACATATATGAAATAATTATTAGAAATGACGTATCAGCTTATCAGTGAATGTACAAACATTTATTAGAGTTCTATATTTCAGTTAAAAAAACATTTTTTTGTCATTTGTGTATATAAGCAAGGCAAATGGACTTGTTTGTTAATAGTACATTACTCATCTTACATACTTCTAGAAAATATAATTTTATTGGACTGTTTTTCTCTGCTGTATACACAATTGATATTAAAATGAATCCGCAGTAACAGTAAGACAATTTTATTTTCAGAGGTGGATTTAGGGGGGTTGCAGCGGGCCGTCCCCCCCCCCCCCCCCTTTTGTGGGAAAAATTTGGTTGATTATATAGGGAATCACTGAATCATGACTCGAGTGGGCCCCCTCTTATGAACATTTTGTGGATCCGCCACTGATCTTTTATACATGTGTAATTACATGCCAATTTTGTTAATTCTTGATTGATATTATATGACTTCTCTTTTTCAGGTAAAAATGAGCTACCAGAAAAGATGTTAAAAATTTTAAAATTGTTTTAACAAGAGCATAAAAAAATAGAGAGAAAAAAGAACAATACCAGGCCTGGACCTTTGTGGCTGCATGCAATTAATTCTAAAATACCAGGAAACAAGATGTAGCTGCACAGCAGACATGGCAGATCTTAAAATTGCTAATAGACATCAACTCAACATTTTCAAGCTGCATATCAAAAATGAAAGCTTTCCTTTTCATATAATCCAAGAAATCTTTTAAACCAAG